AAACCCGACCAATGACCATGATATGCATGCTATATATCATTCATCATCATTAATCAAGAATTTAAGATAAATGCATCATCATCAATAAATATATCAATTCTCAAGAAAATTTATATATGATATCATAATCAAATTTCTCAAAGAAATCAACACATACATATCATTATCATCACAATAATATACTTTTACCCAAATTAAACACATCTTCACATATACATATAACATGAACTCATGTGAAGCAAAACAAAATCTTAAGAATTTCATCAAACAAAATACATCTTTCACATAAGCATGCTTTCCACAAAATCATATAGAGAAAACTCACAAAAAACCCAAGACTTTGTAGTTTAGACTTTCCTACGTCAAATAAAGAAATCAAGCTCAAGATCCAAATATGAAATCCCACCAAATGATGCAAAACCGGTGTCAAAAGGTTCCCTTTTTCAAGCTCTATCATTTCTCTAACTATGGCTTTGATCAATTCCCACCCATGTGTGCTAGATCATAGAGAGAAGGAGAATGGAATAAAAGAAAAAGAAAAATGGTAAAGAGATAGTAAGAGTGCCAAGAAAGAGGGAGAGAGAGGTATGTGGTTCAAAAAATAGGTCTTTGACCCCATTATTCTAAGTTGGTCTCCCATTGACTTGGCAATGAACCAAAATAACCCTCTCTTCCACCACAAACTACATACATGCCACATAAAAATCTTCCTCCACTAACCATCCACACACATGCGCACACACACACACACACACACACACACATATGTAACACTTCAATGTCCCAATAAATAAAACAATGCAATAAAATTATCGGGTCACACATGGCACGTAGAATGATGTATGAAAAATAAATAAAATAAAATACCGAAAAATTCGGGACAAAACAAAATCTCAAGAATTTCATCAAACAAAACACATCTTTCACATAAGTATGCTTTCCACAAAATCATATAGAGAAAACTCACAAAAAACCCATGACTTTGTAGTTTAGACTTTCCTACGTCAAATACAGAAATCAAGCTCAAGATCCAACTATGAAATTCCACCAAATGATGCAAAATCGGTGTCAAAACGTTCTCCTTTCCAAGCTCTATCGCTTCTCTAACTATGGCTTTGATCAATTCCCACCCATGTGTGCTAGATTATAGAGAGAATGAGATTGGAATAAAAGAAAAAGAAAAATGGTGAAGAGAGAGTGAGAGTGCCGAGGAAGAGGGAGAGAGGTGTGTGGTCCAAAAAATGGGTCTTTGACCCCATTATCCTAAGTTGGTCTCCTTTTGACTTGGCAATGTACCAAAATAACCATCCTTTCCACCATAAACTACATACATGTCACATAAAAATCTTCCTCCACTAACCATCCACACATATATATATATATATATATATATATGCACATATATATATAACACTTCAATGTCCCAATAAATAAAACAGTGCAATAAAATTACCGGGTCACACATGGCGCACAAAATGACGCATGAAAAATAAATAAAATAAAATACCAAAAATTTGAGACAAAAAAAAATCTTAGGAATTCATCAAACAAAACATATATTTCACATAAGCATGCTTTCTATAAAATCATATAGAGAAAACTCACAAAAAACCTAAGACTTTGTAGTTTAGACTTTCTTACGTCAAATAAAGAAATCAAGCTCAAGATCCAAATATGAAATCCCACCAAATAATGCAAAACCGGTGTCAAAACATTCCCCTTTCCAAGCTCTATCACTTCTCTAACTATGGCTTTGATCAATTCCCACCCATATGTGCTAGATCATAGAGAAAAAGATAGTGGAATAAAAGAAAAAGAAAAATGGTGAAGAGAAAGTGAGAGTGCCGAGAAAGAGAGAGAGAGGTGTGTGGTCCAAAAAATGGGTTTTTGACCCCATTATCCTAAGTTGGTCTCCCATTGACTTGGCAATGTACCAAATTGACCCTCCCTTCCAGCACAAACTACATACATGCCACATAAATATTTTCCTCCACTAACCATCCCCCCCTCCTCCACACACACATATATAACACTTCAATGCCCCAATAAATATAACAATGCAATAAAATTACCGGGTCACAAATGGTGCGCAAAACGATGTATAAAAAATAAATAAAATAAAATACTGAAAAATTCGGGATACTACACACCGGCAGACTATCACACTGGGCGAACTACAGGTGCACAATCCCACATCGCCTGGGTGTGGAAATGGGAAGTGTGTTATAAATGTAGGTGTGGGTGGGAGTAGGCCTGTGAGAGAGGCAAGGCTCTGTTGCGAGCGACTTACCTCCTAGGAAGTCCCTGCTCCGAGAGAGCAAAAAACGGACAATATTGTGTCGGATAGGGTGAGGGCCGTTATAAATGGAATCAGAGTTTGACCCAGCCAGAAGTGTGCCGATTGGGGCTTGGTGGGCGGGTTGAGCTACGTGTGCTCACAATTCCCACATCGCTTGCGTGTGGAAGAGTGAAGTGTTATGCGTAGGTTCATCATCCTTCTATGATATAATGCGTTTTAAAGCCATAAACTTATCAGAATTTCGGAATTAAGCATGCTTAACCTGGAGTAGTACCAGGATGGATGTCCTTCTGGGAAGTCTCTAGTCCAATGAAGCTATACAAACCTCCCCTTTGGTTTGTACAAATTACACACAGGTAAAACGTTTGACCTTATTACTTTGACCTCCCCTGAATGTGTAAAATATATGTCTTAATTTTATGATAGTTTAATAATTAAAAATTTGTCAAACCAAAAGACTTTATTACATTTTATTTCCCATCTTGTAAAACACTATATTACCCTAGTTAATTTTTATTTTTTATTTTTAAAAAACAAACTAATCAAACCTTAAAAAGAAACCTAATCAGATGTCATTAACCAAAAAAAAAAATATCTTTTTTGTAAAATTTAATAATATAAAATTGGTATGAAAATTGATACATTTATTTAGATTTTCATATTACCTTTATTTTTTTAAAAGACCAAACAAATATTAATTTGAGACAAATCTATTTAGATTTGTTAATCTTTTTAATATATATAAACAAAAACAATCTAAGTAAACATTAATATTTTCTTGTAACTTTTATTGTAGCTATTCAAAATTTCGAACCATTAAATTGGAGTCTTTTACAATCTTATAAATTATATTTTCATTCTAACGCTTTCGCTCCCTTGACTTAACCTTATATTAATTTTACTTTCTAATATTTATTCCCTCAAATCAACACGAAGCCTACGCTTAAAACATTCAAAGGTGAATTGTATTTGTATCAAACACAATACAGCAATCTACAAGGACATATTTATGTCGAGCACGTGTTGAACGAACACCAATATTTCTTATATACCTTTTAAAGGAATAAATTAATAATATAATTTTTGCGAAAAATTGAACGTTTAAGTTCTCGAAGAACATGCAAATGAATGATTTGTCAAGATTAAAAATAAAATAAAATAAAATTTGTCTTCCTTGTGTTTGCGTGCGTTATGCCTCTTTTTTTTTTTTTTTTTTTTTTTAATGTGTGATGTTTAGATTAAAGTTATACAATTCTTCTTAACGGAGTCCTCACGTTTTACGTGCGCGCTTGCTTAAAGTCTCACCATTTATTACTTAATTGTGCGGTTCTTACGTTCTCACTCTCAAATTCACTCCCGCTTCCACTTCTATTTTATGTGACTTAAGTATAAATTAGTCCATGTTATATTGTGTGACACTCGAAGATTTGAATTAAGCCAGGAAATCTGAAATATCATATTGATCATTAGTTCAAATATTAGGAGATTCAAATAAGTGGATTTTGTAGTTGTCCTGTCTTATTTGTTGTCCAACAAAAATTGTTAGGAAAAAGCAAAACAAAAATTATGGAACATGGAATAACCCATAATGATCTGTTTCCCACATCATCTATTATGGGTTAAATAAGGTTTGAATCGATTAAAGGGTAATTCATTTTAAATGGACATGTAATTAGCACTACCACCCAACTCTTCTTTTTTTTTTTTTTTTTTTGGGTAAGTAAAGTATGTGAAATTACCCAACTCTATGTGATAGTAAGATTGCAAAATAAGACCTAACTTTTGATTTTATTTTTTATGATAAAAAATAAAATTTAAATGTAACCAATAATTCTTTTTGAATCGAGTTTTGGGGTGTCACTTAATAAAAAATAAAATTTAAATGTAACCAATAATTCTTTTTGAATCGAGTTTTGGGGTGTCACTTGGAGGGACAATCTAAATCACCCACAGTACTAACTTTTTGGATTCCGGTGGAGGATTTTTATTATTGTTCAAGTTAGGTTTGGGTTGAAAATTTTCCACTAGACATCAATTTGGATTGGATTTGAGTAGAAGTGTGAACCAACCAGATCTCAACAAATATGAACTTAGCCTCCATCTAATCAGCCCAATTCATAACTGGCCGAGTTTAAAACATGTGTACTTCGTTGACAACTTCACATCTAATTAGACATATTGAATTGGAAGTTAAGATACGCAATTGAAATTCAATTCAGTAAGTTGAGCGTATCAACCCCCACCCAACTAATGAAAACTCATTCTACATTGAAAAGGTTCTTTCAATTTAAAATTATTAAATGGTCGTGCACATTTGACACTTAATGGACCAGTTCAATTCAGATTCTACACCTCATAAGAATGTATTAATATATTACAAAGAATTCTCAACGTTAGTTTTTATTAAATTAATTTACCTAGAAGGGCCTCTCACTGAATATTTTATTTATTTATTTTATTTTACTTTATAATTGAACTTTATTAAACAAGAAAGAGAAAAAAGCTCAAAAGCAAACCTGGGCTAAGCTCACCAGGCCAACGGAACAACAACAACCCAGCCCACAGGATTAAACAAGCCCACAAACAAGGCCGAGAAATAAATGGGCAAAGCCCACATAAACGACTAAGCGAGCTTGGTCTGGCACGTGGTTCAGCGTATAAGACGCGTCTTTCTCAGCGCACCGTTAATGTTCACCTGATTTTAGGGCTTTTTTGCGCTCTTTCGCTTCGAAATTTTCCCATCCCCCGCCCAAAATTTTCTCATCTTCCAACCATTCCCTTTCTGTCCTCTGCATCCTTCGTTTCGCTCTCAAAAACTGATTTCCTTTCTCTCTCTAGGTTTATGCTTCAACATGGCGACTGATGAATACCTTGGAAGCATAGGTTAGAGCTTTAGCTAGTGGGGTCAGTTTGCAATCGGAAAGAAGCAAGTGGAATCTGTACATCATTTCCAAGGCGTAATCTACGTTCGGTGTTTAGCATTATCAAGGTATTATTCATTTTACTGATTTGCATTTTGATTGCTGTTAAAAAAAAAATTGGAGTTTTGTTCAAGTATTTTGCATGAATTGATTTTGTTACGACTGTGTAGTGATGATCAACTGTCATTTTTGAAGTACTTTTAGTTCACAGATATGATTGTGTACCTCTTAAAGAGGAAGTTGGTGTTAGCATTTCAGGGATTGTATGTAATGCGACTGAATGAGCTGATTGTTGCTGATTGTTTCTGGCATTTGAATAGGTTGCTATAGATTCTGGGTTGCAATCTATTGTGGGTCACTGTTTTTTTTTTTTTTTAAATTGGGATTGACTGGATTATTGTTGGTTACCATTTATGAGCAACCAATGATGATGGAATACATGGAAGGTTCTTCATGCAAATGCACTGAACAGTGATGGGTAATGAGCTTTAATTTGGGGCAAAACTCAAAAGTAAAGAGTCAAGTACATTGTGAAGTAAATGATAATCAGTAATTCCAATCACAAACAACCTTTATCCATACACTTCAATGAGTTATACAGGATATTTAAATTAACTATGGTTTTCACGTTTCTAGTTAACTCTTCAAATCATCATTTATGATTTCAGAGGGTCAGATTACCTTATCCTCGGGGGAGCAATGTGTATGCATAGGAAGTGTCGGATCAAGTGTAGAAAATGACGAATTGTGGGAGTGATTATCAATTGCAAGCCTTGATAATGCCCATCGTCAAGTGACTGTATACTAACAGGAATTCAGTAGGGGACTCCACAGATTCTCATCTATTGTTGCAACGCTGTTGATTGCGGACAAATTAATCTTGGTTTCGATAAAAATAGACATTTGCATTTTAAGGACTAAGCTGCACACTGATATGGGCAGCCTTGGTCCCACTGCTATAGATTATATGCTACATAACGAGTCCCTGCAATCTATATTATAATTCTATCATGCGAGTTAGCTTTTTCTTGTATATTTGCTTAGTTTGTAATCATTTTCATATTACATACTCATATGCACATTGGCTTATTCAGTACTGATGTTGTGATGTCTTCTGTTGTTGAATTTTTAGGTTTGACGTCTAAACCGCATTATGTCTCGTGATGGAGAAGTAAGTGGTGACTATTTTCATTTTGTCTACCTTTTGCATCATTTAAGGATATGATGGAACTTATGTTCTAAAAAATTTTAATGGGTTCTTTATTTTCTCATTTTGCATATAATATATATAGTCCTCTAGAAAGGGTGCTAAAAGAGCACGAAAGCAGTTGTTAGCAGTTATAGCTGCCACAATGAATCAAGAAAAGGAGGGTGTGAACATATCAGAGTGCTGCAATTCTCTTCATACACCCTCTGCTGAAGGAATTAGCCCTTCACCACTGTTTGACTTAGCTTCAATAGGTGCTTCAGTGCATCCAGAAAATACAGGTGTGAACACAACAGAGGAGAGTTCCAATTCTCCGGACACCACCTCTACTGAAGGGCTTAGTGCCCCTTTACCCAATCCCACTGCTGGAGTTAGCCTTCCACCGAATGATTCCACAAGAAATAATCGTAAGAGAAAGGTCAGGGGCAAGTCAAGGTTAGAAAACATTACCAAAGGAGAAGAGGGACCCCTTCCGATTACATTTAATGAAAGAGGACAGCCAATTGGGGAATTTCCTGCTAAATTTACTTCTTGTCTAGGGATCCTAGCAAGAGATTTAGTACCGGTGACATTAGAAAAATGGAAAGATTTGTCAGAGGACATCAGAGACCAGTTATGGACTTCCATACAGGTATTAAAAATATATGTACTTTAAATACAAAATTAATTTTGTATCTAGACTTCCATTATTGTTAATGGTTCGTTTCATGATGGCATGCAGCAAAATTTTATAGTTGATGATTGGAACAAAAAAGTAACATTTCAGAACATCGGAAATTAATTTATGGCATGGTCACAAATCGAAAATAACAAAAGAAATAATTGCCCAAGGAGAAACTGCTGCATCTCTTCTGAAGACGAAGAATGTAAAATCAATGGAAGAGTGGCAACAATTTGTTAAAGAACGATGTTCTAAAGATTTTAAGGTAAGCATATAGTTAACTGTGTGTGTGCAATTTTATTTCCAAACTATATAAAGTGAGTTTTTTTGGTTTACAGGAAAAAAGTAAAAAGTTTAAAGAACTGAGATAGTGAGATCTAAGCAGAAAATCGTACACACAACGAGCTGTAAGGGTTACGCTCGGTTGGAGGATGACATGGTAAAATTGTTTTCTAGATTGATATTGATTTAATAATTTAAGTAGCTAATTCTACATATTTCGTCATGATGTCATCTAATGATCCAATTTTGCTTACTCTTTCTTATATTATTGTTGTTGTGTAGCGGAGAGAAAGTAAAACGCCCGGTGCTATTATATTATTGTTGTTGTGTAGCGGAGAGAAAGTAAAACGCCCGGTGCTATTTCAAGAGTAGATATTTGGATTAGAGGGCATTTGAGGAAGGACGGTCAACCAGTAAATGAAGCAGTGAGAGACACAATGGTAACAAATGCATCCTATAACAAATGCATCCTACTGATTTTTTCATTGTTCATTTACATTTTTTCCATTTATAAATAAATACATTGTGTCCCTGTAATTCAGAAGAAGATGCAAGAACATATCCAAACTGCCACTCCTCAGAATACAAACTCGCTTCGGGTTGATGTCGTCACAAAAGTACTGGGCCCCGAGCACCGAGGACGAGTTAGAGGACTTGGGTTTGGGGCAATCCCTTCAAAAATTGATGTGCGTGTAAAACAACGTGGACAAGTACAAAGAAATGATGCAAAGTTTCAAGCAATGACTCAACGGGTTGATGACCTTCAAGCTGTAATCGATCAGTTAACAACCCGCTTGGTAAGCAATCTCAATAGATATGGTTATATATATACATTTCATGAGGGCCCAAGTTTCTAGTTTTCTGAACTACCTTCTCGATCGTCGCAGGATGCAAATGCAAGTGGTCTATCTAATGCCACCCCCAGTGTGCAGCCTTCAGAACACGTAGAAGGGGCACAATGCAAATTGTTGAATTGGTGCGGGACAGGAGTTGTTGCTGTGGGGGAAATTGAATCAACGGATCCCAGTGCATGTGTGCAGGATGTTCCTATCGGACCCGATTGTTGGAAAGTGTGGGTCAATGTTGCATCCACACCCGGTGTTCCTTTATATCGGCCGACACAAAATTTCTTCTTCATTGAAGATGCTATTGGGAATACAATTGCATGGCCTAGCAAGTTTATTAAAATTGATTAGTTGTACTTACCTTTGGAGCTAATGGTTTTAATGCATGTGTGATCTAGATGTTGATATTTCCAGGCCATTTTTGTGTGCTGTTCTTGTTAAAACGAAGCCTACACTTAAAAACTGTTAAGCGTGCATTGTACTTGTATAAGTCATTTCTGTTTGACTTCTTGTACTTATTTTTGGAGGTGAGAGAACGGGGTGAGTCGAATCTGGCTCCCAAACGAGTCGGGAGAGGGCTTACCAACTGGGCTCATTTTACCTGTTCAATATTTTCAAGCATAAGTCATTTATCCATGTCTTTTCAAACCCTTCCATTTTCAACCTCCAATAATACGCAATGGATTGGAATTTATGGGTTTGTAATTCTGATAACGGTTTTTTGTTTTTAAAAAATTGAAAACAGAAAACTATATAAAAAAATTCTGCTTTGTTTAGTTTTTTGAAAATTATTTTATAAAAATTCAATTATAAAAATGTTTGTTTTTAAATAATTGTCTTTTATAATTATTTGAAAATAATTTTCTGTATTATGAATTCTTGAACACTGTTTTTAGAGTTTGAAACTAAGCAAGCCCTAAGTTACCATTCCAATAAAATTTTGTATATTGAATCGAGCTTGACGATTCATGTGATTGAAAGAGTATTTAAATAGTGGGAATGTATCTTGTCAAGTTATAGAAATAAAAAAAATTAAAAAAGAAGCTGGGCAAAAGGCCAAAAGCAAACCTGGGCTTAGCTCACCAGGCCTACTGAACAACAACAACCCATCCCAACAGGAGTAAACAAGGCCTAGAAAGACAACGAACAAGTCTAAACCAATGGGCAAAACCCACAAACGAGCCCTGGTCTGGGGTCTGGCCCGCGGTTATGAGCTCGGAAAACAAAACGTGTTTCTTAACGCCGTGAATGTCCACCTGATTTAGGGTTTTTTTACGCTCTTCCCCCCAAAATTTTCCCATCCCCCGCCCAAAATTTTCCCGTCTTCCAACCATTCCTTTTCTGTTCTCTGCAAATCTTCCTTCATTTCTCTCTCTAGATTTATGCTTCAACATGGCGACTGATCAATACCTTGGAAGCATAGGTTAGAGCTATAGCCAGTGCGTCAGTTTGCAATCGGAAAGAAGCAGTGGAATCTGTTCATCATTGCCAAGGCGTAATCTACCTTCTGTGGTTTACATCATCATTATCAAGGTATTCTTCATTTTTCTGATTTTCATTTTGATTGCTGTAAAAAAAAGGAGTTTTGTTCAAGTATTTTGCATGAATTGATTTTGTGTCAGAGTTTGAAGTGATGATCTACTGTGATTTTTGAAGTATTTTTAGTTCACAGATATGATTTTGTCCCACGAAAAGTGGAAGTTGGTGTGAGCATTGCAGGGATTGTATTGCGACTGAATGAGCTGATTGTTTCTGGCATTTAAATAGGTTGATATAGATTTTGGGTTGCAATACATTGTGGGTTGTTGTTTTGTGTGTGTGTGTGTGTGTTTATTTATTTATTTTTTTGACTGGATTGTGGGTTATTGTTGGTATCCATTTATGAGCAACTAATGCACTGAACAGTGATGGGGATAATGAGTTTGATTCTTGAGCCAAAAGTAAAAAGTTAAGTACATTGTGAAGTAAATGTTAATTAGCAGTTCCAATCACGAACAGTCGTTATCCACACACCACAAACAGTTATACAGGATATTATAAATTAATTATTCATAACTCATTTCTAGTTAACCCTTCAAAAATCAGCAGTTGTGATTTGAGGGTCAAATTACCTCTTATTAGGGTGGAAAATCAGTGACATGTCAAGTGTAGAAAATGACGAATTTTGTAAATATTGTGGGAGTGATTCTCAATTGCAAGCCTCGCTAATGCCCATTGTTAAGTGATTGTATACTAAGAGACATTCAGTATGGAACTCCTCATATTCTCATCAATTGTTGCAACACTCTTGATTGCAGACAAATTAATCGTGTTGATAAAATAGGCATTTGCATTTTAAGTACTAAGCTGTACACTTATATGGGCAGCCTTGATCCCACTGATATAGATCATATGCTACTTAACAAGTCCCTGTAATCTATGTTATAATTCTATCATGTGAGGTTAGCCTTTTCTTGTATATTTGCTTAGTTTATAATCATTTTCATATTACATACTCATTTGCACATTGATTTATTCATTATGCTATTGTGATGTCTTTTGTTGCTGAACTATTAGGTTTGACATCTAAACTGCATCATGCCTGGTGTTGGCGAAGTAAGCAGTGACTATTTTCATTTTGTCTACCTTTTGCATCATTTAATGATATGATGGAGCTTACATTCTTAATTTTTTAACCGATTCTTTATTTTTCTCATTTTGCTTATAATATATATATAGTCCTCTAGAAGGGGTGCTAAGAGAGCACGAAAGCAGTTGTTAGCAGTTATAGCTGCCACAATGAATCAAGAAAAGGAGGGTGTGAACATATCAGAGTGCTGCAATTCTCTTCATACACCCTCTGCTGAAGGAGTTAGAGGCCCTTCACTTGTTCCCGCTAATGGAATTAGCCCTTCACCACTATTTGACTTAGCTTCAATAGCTGCTTCAGTGCATCAAGCAAATGCAGGTGTTAACATAACAGAGGAGAGTTCCAATTCTCCGGAAACCCCCTCTACTGAAGGACTTAGTGCCCCATTACCCACTCCCACTGCTGGAGTTAGCCTTCCACTGAATGATACCACAAGAAATAATCGTAAGAGAAAGGGCAGGGGCAAGGCAAGGTTAGAAAACATTGCCAAAGGAGAAGAGGGACCCCTTCCGATTACATTTAATGAAAGAGGACAGCCAATTGGGGAATTTGCTGCTAAATTTACTTCTTGTCTAGGGATCCTAGTAAGAGATTTAGTACCAGTGACATTAGATAAATGGAAAGATTTGTCAGAAGACATCAAAGAGCAGTTATGGGCTTCCATACAGGTATTAAAAATATATATACTTTAAATATAAAATTACATCAGAATCTGTACTTCCATTATTGTTGTTTATTGTTCATTTCTTGATGCATGCAGCAAATATTTATAGTTGATGATTGGAACAAAAAAGTAACATTTCGAATCATGGGAAGGATATGGGGCAGTCACAAATCAAAATTTTCAAAAGAAATATTTGACCAAGGAGAAACTGCCGCATCTCTTCTGAAGCCTGACAATGTAAAGTCAATGGAAGATTGGCAACAATTTATTAAGAAACGATGTTCTAAAGAGTTTAAGGTGAGCATATGGTTAACTGTGTTTGCAATTTTATTTTCAAAATATATAAAGTGAGTTTTTTGCTTTACAGGAAAAAAGTAAAAAATTTAAAGAAATGAGATCTAAGCAGAAAATGCTACACACAACGAGCCGTAAAGGCTATGCTCGGTTGGAGGATGACATGGTAAAATTGTTTTCTGGATTGATATTCATTTGATATTTTAAGCAGTTAATTTTACATATAGTGTCATCTAATGATCCAATTTTGCTTCCTCTTTGTTATAAATGTTGTTTTTGTGCAGCGGAGAGAGAGTAAAACACCTGGTGCTATTTCAAGAGTAGATGTTTGGATTAGAGGGCATTTGAGGAAGGACGGTCAACCACTAAATGAAGCAGTGAAAGACACCGTGGTAACAAATGCATCCTACTGATTTTTACATTGATCATTTACATTTTTTTCATTTATAAATACATTGTGTCCCTGTAATTTCAGAAGAAGATGCAAGAATATATGCAAACAGGCACACATCAGAATACAAATTCGCTTCGGAATGATGTCGTCACAAAAGTACTGGGCCCCGAGCACCGAGGACGAGTTAGAGGGCTTGGGTTTGGGGCAATCCCTTCAAAAATTGACGTGCATGAACAACAACGTGGACAAGTTCAAAAAAGTGATGCGAAGTTTCAAGCAATGACTCAACGAGTTGATGACCTTCAAGCTGTAATCAATCAGTTAACTACCCGCTTGGTAAGTGATCATGATAACATAACGGTTAGATAGTTACAGATATATATATTTTTCACATATTCGTTACTTTTGATGAGGGTCTCTTCAAAATTTTAGTTTTCTTAACTACATGATTGTTGCAGGACACAAATGCCAGTGGTCTATCTAACGCCACCCCAAGTGTGCAGCCTACAGAAAACATAGAAGGGTCACAATGCAAATTGTTAAATTGGTGCGGGACGGGAGTTATCGCTGTTGGGGAAATTGAATCAACAGATCCTAGTGCATGTGTGCAGGATGTTCCTATTGGACTTGATTGTTGGAAAGTCTGGGTCAATGTTGCATCCACACCTGGTGTTCCTTTGTATAGGCCGACGCGCAATTTCTTTTCCATTGAAGATGCTATAGGGAATACAATTGCGTGGCCTAGCAAGTTTATTAAAATCGATTAGTCGTCCTTACCTTTGGAGGTAATGGTTTTAATACATGTTTGATGTAGATGTGGATATAGTCAGGCCGTTTTTGTGTGTTTTTCTGGTTCATTGGAACAAACGTTTGTGAAGTTCACATTTTTGCCAGGACAGTTGTTGAACTTGGAACAATAAATTAGTAGCTAGGGTTCGGAAATATGTTTTTAAGTTAATTTTTCCTATTCCGGATAACTATATTTCCTTGTTTCTCTCAGACTTCTGCTGCTATTTTGCTATGTAAAGAAAGCTTCTGAGTTCTGGAAGTGACAATCAATTAACAAGAATTTTCTCTTCTGATCGTGCTGCGTAGAGAATATGTCATTCTTGTTGTTTGATGTTTGATGTCATTATAATGTGAAGAGTTATTAGGTTTATGCGGGGACTGGATCGCCTCTGTAGACGTGTTAAAAAAACTGTGAACTGACTCTGTTCTTGTTATGGGGAGTTCTCTCGTAACGTTACTCTTTTCAAAAATATTTTTTTCCCGCTAATTTTATTATTATTATTTTCACGTTGATGGGCTTTGGAGCTAGCTCACAATTGAAAGATTGTGCCTTATTCACCGTTTTGTTTGGTCATGTGGTCTTTTTTCCAACTACGTGGTTCAGTTGGAGCGGTACATGTTACTTCATGAAAATTATATATATATATATATCATGAGTGATTAGCAAAATTGAAAAGAGGTTAAGTGGTGATCATAATGATGATGATCTACAACTTTTTCATTTAATAACAAAAAGCATTGCTTCATGCATAGAGTTTTTAGGGTCCCTCCATTTCACTGCAATTTTTATGTTTTCTGCATCTCATGTAACTACTCGAATAGGCATGCACTAGCGCATGCATTTTCTATGCTACTTGATCAAATTATGTTTTCACTTTTCTGCATGTCTCTGTAATTTTGAGAAATTGGGCTTCCAATAATCATTCATATAATGCCAAAAGCTCACATTACTAAGTCCTAAAACACGTGTTTTAGCACAAAGAAATTACTTTTTACAAATAATATCAAATTTTAAGAGCTTACTTGGTTTGTAAATATGAAAACAATTTTATGTTCTCGAAAAACAGATAACTATATAAAAAATTTTGTTTAGTTCAGTTTTCTGAAAACTCAATTATAAAAATGTTTGTTTTCATATAACAGTCTTTTATAGTTTTTTTAAACCTGTTTTATGTTTTCTGATAATTATTTTCAGAGTTACAAATCAAGCATGCCCTAAGTCTCTATTTGTTCTTACATTGTCGATTATCGAAAATCATCCTGAGTAACAACGCTTTTATACATATAATCATTCATATATATATATATATATATATGGTCGGTTAATTTTGGAGACATTAATTATTAAGACTTCACTTTCGGCTACCTAAGAAAAAAATAATTCAGACCACACATACAAATGATTGAATGCACTGCATTGTCTACATTGACAAAAACACATTTCTTGGTAACTTTGTTAAGTATGCTCCTTGTTTGACTCTAAAAAGAACAATTTAATGGAACACATCAAGAGTCAATGCATTAAGGTTGCTTTTTGATAAAAATTAATCTAAGGAATTTGGGGGAAAAAAAGCTGAGATTTTTTCATGATCGATCCACTCTTGATTTAAAGAATATTGATAGGAATGATTGTGACCGTCCAAATTGTTGACTATGTAACCATGGGCTCCTATTTTACTTTCCGACTGATGTTAGAGATCCATATAGCATGTGTATTATTATTGTATAAGTCAGAAGATTGAGATGGTTAATCATGGTCTGGTCCACCATTTTTTATGCTCTCAAGCTATCTCAAATGTCTCATTCTTGGGATTCTCCTCTTAAATTTTACTCTACTACTTTTATAACCGTTGAATTATGGTCTAATTTGATTCGATTAGGTTAGTAAAGTAAAATCCATGTCGAATTTTAGGCTATTGATTGTGACCGAGTTCTCTCTTAAATAATAATGATAAGTAGTTTGAAAGTCAATTTAGATGCATCCGATCATTTTATGTGAATAGGAAATAATGTCAAATATCATTTCTTACTCACATAAATTTAGTTGAATGTGTCCGACTATCGGACTCATTATCATTACTCTTTTCTAAATTTACTTTTGTCCTCGTTCACTCTCAATCGTCGAATTGAAAAAAACAGTATCTCAATTATTTGGAGTTAGCTCCATAAAATTCTCGATTTCAATTAAATCACTATACCATGCTTTTCCTTGATATCTGAAACCACATTATCATCTTCTCCATTTCCTAACGTTACCTTGGATTAGTCGATTAACATAACGTGATTATCATGCAAACTTTAAAAGAATACAGATTATAGAGATATAAATAATTCTTTAAGGGCTACGCTTGCGAACGTAATTCGAACTTTGCTCGATGTGTTTGAGAGGCGCCTTACACGGATCCTATGAATTAATCAGGGTAAAGCCCCTGACACTCCTATTATCAAAAAAATAATAATAATAAAATAAATAAATTGGAGGACACTATAATTAATTCAAATGGAAGTAAAAAACAATGGAAAGATTTGACCTTGAGACTATTGCTTCAAGGTCATTCTCATAAATGTTCCTTTCACACATGTGACCAAATTGGCAAATTTAGTCTCAAAGTCCGCATTGGGTGCTTGTTACTCTCAATTAGTAAAGAGTCAAAAAGAAAGAAGTGTCCAAAATATATAGGAGTTTGTGATCTCCAAGAGATTGCTTTATGGAATATAAAGAATTTTGAATATTGTATACATGAAATGAGTATGTTTGGCTTGATGGAAAATCTTCACTTCTGGGACAAAATCTATCAATGAGACCCATCAACAGATTCTTTGTTTGTTGGTTTGAGTTCAGAGAAGGGGTAGGGAGGGAGACAGATAAAGTGAGAGATTCCACCAATGCTGTATAATCAAATTTTACTTTGAGGATTTTACAAGTTAGGAGCATAGTCAGCAGAATCCTGATAATCCGACTCTTGGACTAATTTTACTTTTTCATGTAAGTAAAAAATGATATCATAATCGAATTAGTCCGTGGGTGAGACTACTTAACATGTGAGCCATGCCCCCTAACCTACATACCCTGTTTTTGTAAGTGAAAGATACAACCACTCTGTATCCCAATTAAGATCACCTTTTTTTTGTACATTGTTATTTTTTCTTTTTTTGTCAATTCTAGATTTTCCATTTTTTTTTTTTTTAAATTCTCACTCTCTTATTTCAATGATACCTATTCATTTAAAAATAATAATAATAATAATAATAATAATAAAATTGGTATGGGTCTGCAAAGGGATGGCATGGAGGAGTATATTACACACACACAACAAAATACCTAAAAAGCTTTGGAAACTAACTTTTGACAAAGCTAAAAGATTTTATATCCTATACTAAGAATATAACTATATAAGCTACCTCTGACTTCCTGTTTTGCAGTTTATTGTAGCTGAGACTAGTCATATATATATATATATCTTACTAAGCACTTAAGCTTCAATTCTGGTTTTTGATTAGTTTCTACTTTCCATTCTCATTAATTTTAAGACAAAATTGCCCATCATCAGTTATCAACTAACTATAGGTGTGAAAAGCAGAATTCCAGCTTTTACAAGAGCATGAAATAGTGAATTATATAAACACACTTTTAGTTTAGCTTTTTTAGTACTCATCATTTTTATAGTCAAGACTAATTAATATCTACCTATGCACCCAATCACTCCCAATCCACTACTAATTCACGTTTAGTTTAATTTAATTATAACAATCTGCAATATTTTTAACTTTACATTAGACCCTGTGCAACATGGTCGGCTTATGAAAAAGCTCTCTCTCTCTCTCTCTCTCTCTATATATATATATATGTGAAGATTGTATAAACTATAGCCATCCACAAAGATTAAGAAGTGGCTTTAAAATTTGGACTCTATTCCTATCAAAGCATGTGCTATACACCTCAAATATTGAATGATTATCAAAAATATAATAAATGCAATATATATATATCTATATATTTTAAAAAATATATAATTCAAGCACTATCCAATGTTATTTGTATAAAATAATGAAGATGAATAAAACTTTTACATAACTAAATTTGTTTTGGCTTATGGGTAAGAGTATAGAGATGGATAGAAAATGTGAAAAGGTACAAAAAGGCAACTTATTTTTAAAGCCAAAAGCCATAAGTTGCTTTTGAGTGGGTAGATATATATATAGGCAAAACTATTTTTAATAAGCACTTGTGTATATGGACTATATATATTAGACGTCATGACAGCGTGGGATTGGTGTCATCATAAACCCCACAAACAAAGGGCTTCTCGTGGGTTAGGGTAGTGGAACTAGTGGGGGTGGAGCTATCATCAAATCTTTGAATTAAGGGATTAAAAATAGCATAGACAATATATATATATAGTTATATACATATTCATATAGATGCATATACGTATACATGTGTACGTATGGAAAAGAGGATAAAAAAGGTTAAAGGGATGGGGACCAAAGGGCCATGCGTGTGACCACCTTAGGGTCCAATTAACCCTTCTCTAAGCTTCCATGCCCTAAAGTAAAAGAGTACCACAGACAGAGAGTGAGAAAGAATAGTGGCCATGGGCAGACTTAATGGGGTAAAAGATGGTGTCCGTACCAAAAGAGGGTAAGAGATGGAGCGATAAAGGAAACATTGGAAATCAGCTTGTTGGTGTCTACGTTTTATGTTTTATTTATTTTTTTTTTGAAAAGTAAAGTTGAATTATGTTATATAATGAAGCATGCGGCCATTCAAGTGAAAGCAACGTTTTATGTTTACGTTTTTCAAAACGCGTCAGAAATTATAGGACAACTATCTTTACAGATGTTATTTTCACACTTTGTATGTACTTTCACTTTCGTTCTCTCTTCATTTGACTTAAATTGGATCGTTTTTACGCTTTCGCTCTCGCTTTATATGAAGGAAGCGTCTTACGAGCTTGTGTAATTACTAATTACCACTTTTAATGACTGTCAAAGCATTTGAGCAAAATGTTGTCTCTCTCTCTCTCTCTCTCTCTAGACTTTTTACTTTTATCATAAGAACATAGGTAGCATGGGTTAAAAGGGGATTACTTCTTTAGGACCAACCACCTAAAAAATGGAAGCATAAACTGCGGCTTCTTCTTTGATACTAGGGATACTAGGGCACATGTCAGAAGTGATTGGAAACATAAATTATTCCATACCCTTTTGGCCTTTCAAAGGATGAAAGTTACCTTGCAACCAGGTAATTTGTGTTTGGTTTTAGAGGGGTTTGAATACTTGGGAATGTATATATATGCCCAATTGTAACGCACTTGAATAATGTTTTAACATATAGGCGTGATGGTGTTTTTTTTTTTTTTAAAACCTATAGGCGTGATGGTGTTACCTAAGTAGTGAAAGGATCAGGCTTAAAGTGTGCTCTCATCCTATTGATTGTGTGCCCCTACCCTATTGATAATAGGTTCGATTTTTTCTTCCCCAACTAACTACTAACCATTGTCAGATAAAAAAAATATATTAAATTTTTTTTTTGAATAATGCTTTAACATATTTGTTTTAAAATTTAATAAATATTTTTTGTTTTAAATTTTAGAATAAAAATATATATTAAAATTTCATTTCAATATCATTATTTCTAATTTTAAAGCACTTAAAATATTTTCACACATAACAAATTAATGTGCTGATTTAAGATTTAAGTACATTAAAAATCTCTATAGCACATGCATTACAACAAAGGGATGCTACAGCAAAGGATCCGAACTCAAGTTACATAATTCTTTTAAACGAGTGTCGCTTGCATGGTTTGCACCAAATTGATGCTTTGAGAACAAATTATTCTTGAATTCTCTAATTCAATTGTGTCAAAATTCACAACAATGAATGAAAATGTACTTAATAACCCATAAAGTCGTATATAAAAAAAGGTGCATAACTAAAAATCTCTACAAGCTAGATGATGAAGGGATGAAATAAATTCTTAATATGTTGTTGCCTCGTCATATTGATTCTTTTTTGTTTTTGTTTTTATTTTTATTTTTTTGACAAATTAGAAGGAAGGGATAATCAAACATGGACACATGGGGATAATTTTCAATTCTTTTTTGTCTTTATTGTTTATTTGATAACTGTCATAATTACAAAGGTATTCAAACACGTTCTTAAAAGAATATAGTAGCCTAAAAGTATGAAGTGAAGGAATGTTTGTATATATTTGTAAACAAATTATATAGACATTTGTTAGTTTTAGTTTTTAGTTAATATGGTAATCATTTTAGAATTTCTTAAAGCAATCCTTTCATTGATGAAAATCTAAACAATATTTCTTTTAAAAAAATTGAAATGTATAGATTTCTTTGTATTTCTTTAAAATTAAATTTTTTTTTTAAAATTAATACTAATATCATGTATCTCCTAACATAGAATAAAATTAATGATTACAACATTCTCTCATGCTTTATAATTAGATTTTTATGGATAATTCAATTCGGCACTTAATTGCTTTCTACATTTAAATTACGTGTAGTGTTTTAATGACACATTTTTAAATAACATTTTATAAAATAAGTGTAACATTTTAAGTGACAATGGCTAATGTTGAACATTTAAAACTTAATAATAATAATAATAATAATAATAATAATAATAATAATAATGAAAAACTTATCAATTTACCATTATTGTTTAGAACTCCAACACTAAAAAATTTCAATTATCAAAAACAACATATGTACAAATATATATGTAGTGATGCACATATGGTTGGATTTTATTCGATTTAAAGGGTAAAACCAAAAAAAAAAAAACCTTTCATACTTGGCTCAAAATTCAAATATGAGATTATTCCATTATTGTTTAGAACTCCAACACTTAAAAATTTATAATAATAATGAAAAACTTATCAATTTAGCATTATTGTTTAGAACTCCAACACTCAAAAAATTTCAATTATCAAAAACAACATATGTACAAATATATATGTAGTGATGCACACATGGTTGGATTTGATTCGATTTAAAGGGTAAAACCAAGACAAAAAAAATCTTTCATACTTGGTTCAAAATTCAAATATGAGATTATTCCTTTATTAGGAAGTACGGATACAGATACTGGATACAAGTATGACATGATACGGATATAGATACGGGATACAAGTATGACATGATACGGATACGGCGACATGACAAATCTCAAAAAATATAAGACACAGGTAGGACATTGATACGTCTAGAAATAATAATATAATATATATTATTATATGTATAACATTTTATCTATATAATTATAAATAAATCAATAATTTGGAGTTTAGAACAAAATGTTTGTTATTATTTTTTTTAGTTGAATGGTAAGCTTTTATAAAAGAATAAAATATTTACAAGTCCAAAGTTGGACAAATTAACCTCAGGAACATTCTCCTAAGGGACAACAGACAAAAAAAAAATATATATGCACTAATTAACAAGGCAATGTTACACTTACAAAACAATGAATCTCCTAAACTACCAGCCCTGCATCTCTACATCTGCAAATACATTCTGTCAGCAATGTCAAAAACAACAAGCAATCCAGTGAATTGTTAGACTTATTCTTTTAATTGGTCAATTATGTAACAAATAAAGAAGTAGAACGCTCCACTTAGTTGTATTTGGTATAAATAGTCAATTAAAAATTATTCGGTTAGACAATTCACTAAGCAAAGGCCTTAAGGACCCACAAAACAAATAAACTTTGGAAGCCTCCCCTGAGATACGAAACACAAGAAGCAAAGTAATGATAAGCATCAGACATAGGGTGCGAAAGTACATGTGGCCATCACCCACCAACATCCAAGAAAGAACTTGTGCAATACACTTCCAAGACGTCAGCGAAGACAACAGAGTAAAAAACGTGTCAAGAAAGGAATGCAATATCACTGCCATACACACGTGACCCTAGCCCACCCAACTCCCAAAGAAATCTTCCAAAGGACAGGTCCAAGACATCAACCATGACGTCATGCCTACCCTGGCTGAAAACCCAAATCCCGACCACAGTAGCCGACACGCCGATGAGTCGACATCCATAAAACAGTATCCACAACGGCCACCAAACTCCTAGATAAAAAGCAAAGCACACCGATCTTGCGCCAGACACAAAGCATCCAGAGGATCAACAAGCCATCCATACACCAAACACAAAATCACCCTTAAGGACGAGCGCCAAAAAGGCCCGATCAGACAGATCCAACCCCTGTTATAGACACGATAGCCGTCGGACTCCTTAAGCCAGAGCACACTAGAGCACCTACATAACCCAACACACTAAAAAACCAAAAAAGAAAAGCAACAAAGAATATAAACATCCAGTATAATATCAAAACAAACCCACAACCCACAATAACAAGAGAAGATAAGATTTCCATAGACAAACATATAAGCATAAACAAATAAATTAACTAACGATATAGAGCACCACCAAATCTTCCAAAAGATAATTAATTTACCAAGGGTTATTCGGAATCGAGAAAATCCACAAGCAACAGACATGATGAGAGACAAGATCGGAAACCCGACACAAAAAGAAAATCACACAACACTGGACTACAACACGGGTGACCTGATGCCAGCCAAGGAGCTTGTGAATCGTGCCACCTACACTACCAGATAACCACAAATCGTGTGCACAAAGGAACTTGAAACCTTAAAATTAAAAAACTCTAGACCCAAGTTGATCTATAGAACACCACCTAGCACCAAAGGAACTGAGCAGAAAGAACCAATCACGAAAGCAATTGAAAGGACTAAAGATGAGAAAGGGGAGGGAGGAAAAAAAAAGATCAACAGAGAAAGGAAAGCACTCTAACAAGTAGAGGAACTCCTATAGAAAGGAGAATTCATACAAAGAGGAGAGGCATAGAGAAGTAGCGTCATAAAAGCATCATTCCATATCCCGAATGTGTCCAAAACGAATCATTGTTGTGTCTATACCGTATTCGACCAAAAAATAAAATATTCACAATTCACGATACTTCTACTCGTATCCGAAATGTGTTCGAACTGTATCCCGCAATTCTGACAAGTGTCCGAATATTTAATACCATCACTACACCTTCATAAAAGTATATGTTCTTCCTAAATCTTGAGCTACATTTTGCAGTATGAAAATATATAGTATTTTGGAATTCATCAAATTTTAAGACACAAATTTTGTACTGACATAAACCTAATTTAATACTAACCTTAAAATTATTTCTTGTCCTTGTGCGAATTTTGTGATGATAGACGGTACTCAAACTCATTACTTTGTTAGTTATGCTGGAATAGTCGGTTGCTACTACTACTACTAGTTACTAGTACTCACTCTGGTGATCCTGGTGTAGAGTGCCTCTTATTTTTGAATATTGAGCACTCACTTTTTAGAAAGACAATAATACCCTTGTTAAACCATTACAATTCCCTACACTGAAATTAAAAAAAAAAAAAAAATCAAACAATTCCCAAAATTCCAATGGCCAATACTATTAGGGGTCGCCCCTACTCACCAAAAAACTTACGTGCCCTTAATCAATCCATGAGGAGCAGTAACAATTTGCAACTGAAATCGAGGAAACTCTTATCTTTTCACTTATACAGAGGAATATAGAGAGAGATACATGGAATTATTTTTGTACATGTAGAGAGAGAAAATGGAGTAGGGGTGGAGTGTGTTCCAAGACACAATCATTACATGGTCTTGGGGAAGCAGAAAAGGGCAGCGTGGAAATAGCTATATATGGAGAGAGAAGAGTGTGTGTGTGTGTGTGTGTGTGTGTGTGAGAGAGAGAGAGAGGAGTGTTTGTGTGTGGAACAACGTGGGGGCTTGACCAAGGAGGTACCAAAGGCAGAGGAAAGCTATAAAGCCCTTTTTATCATTATACTACATCACAGGCACAAACTCTCTCTCTATGTGTGCTTTAATATTGTCTTTGGTCGGTCGACAATCTGTGCGTTGTGTGTTCACTGTGCTATGCTTGTGTTTCCCCCATCCCCATCTCTTTCTCTCTCTAGCTTTCTCTCTCTATCTGTTGCTGCCGCTCCAGCACTCGCAGAATGTAATCATACACTTCGAACCAACCAGAAACCAACATGTACTCTCTTCTATATATTTCAATACTTTATTGAAAAGAAAAAGAAAAAAAATACCAAGTCTGATAGCTACGGAAATGGACAGTGAGAGAGGGAAAGGAATGCCGTAAGAAGAAAGGAAAGGAAAGGAGAGAGCAGTACTTACACACACATACCACTCTGTATATTTAGGAGTAGTGGGAAGACCCAAAAGAAACCAAAAAGAAAGAAACAAAAACAAAGCACAAAAGAAAAGGAAAACTTTGCTTATGCTAGCTTATACTTATGCTTAGTAGGATAAAAAGACTCATCCCATCCTCCCCATTCCACCCCCACAAAGTTTGTGGCAGAAATCAAAACCTACCCAAGTTTTAGAGAGAGAAAGCCAAACCGAGACCACCCTTCTCCCCCCCCTCTCTCTCTCTAACTTCCTTGATATCCATTTTATGATCACCCCTTTTTGCCCAGAGGAAGCATATATATATATATATATACATATATAATCCAAGTGTTTGATCCTTTTCTTTATGTCTTGCCTTTTCATCTTTATATGAAAGAAAAAAGAGATGATTAGGGAACAAGCTTAAAGTCCTTTCAATTTCAAACTTGTTTTGTACTAGCTATTTCATAAACATATATATAGAGAGAGAGAGACATATATAGAGAGAGAGAGCGAGAAATGTTTGGGAAGAAATTAGAAGAGTTTGGGGAGTGTTCTCAAAGTATCCATAACCTCCAAGGCTACCAAGAACAATTGATGTTTCAACAGATGCAACAACAAAATAGTAGTATTGATGCATATATAGGCGGTGGTGGAGGAGGTGGTGGTGGTGGTAGATCAGGATTGACCTACCCTGAAGTGTCTCAAATCCTACCATGGTCACTCCCACCGGTTCACAGCTTCAATCCGGTTCATTTCCCTTCGAACCCGGTTCGAGACCACGACCCATTTCTGCTTCCCCCACCACCATCACCCTATGGGGCCTTATTCAACCGAAGATCATCTCCTGCTCTACAGTTTGCTTATGACGGCACATCTTCAGACCACCTCAGGCTCCTATCCGATACACTCGGTCACTCGGGTCAACCCGGTTCTGCTCCATTTGTTCTCCAAGCCGAGTTGGGTAAAATGTCTGCTCAGGAAATCATGGATGCCAAAGCTCTTGCTGCCTCCAAGAGCCACAGTGAAGCTGAAAGAAGAAGAAGAGAGAGAATCAATAACCATCTTGCTAAGTTGCGCAGCTTGCTACCCAGCACCACCAAAGTAAGTATATATATATATATATAGAGCAACCATCAACATTTTCAAATTTTATACAAATAAAATACAATCTGTTTTTTAAGCAACTCCAATCACCAGTGTCCAATAACGACTCTTAGTCGGTAACGGATAAGGGGTGTTTTATCATTTTCCATATAGTTTTCATTTTCATGCACATTACATGGTCTATATATATATATGCATGTATATATATATGTTATGGTAATGTTTTTATCATACCCTTTGTTTAATTTATTATATATATTGAGCTTTTGTGTTCAAAAATTCTCTGTAGATCCACTACATATACTTTAAAATCAAATATATGAGTAAGGAAGAATTTAGGTACAAAGTGTATGTGTAAAACAAGACAAGCACACAAAGTGCGGTTTGATTTCTTATGTGTCTGTTCATATTCTATATTATTGCCCGGATATATTTATTTGATTTGATTTGATATTCCAATGAGTTTGGTGATAGTTCCGAGGAAGGAAAGAAAGAAAATCGAAAAAAAAGTTTGGAGAGCGTTAATGTCGCTCGGTTGATGTGTTAAAGAGGAACCACGGAGCAGTTGAAAAGGCTTCCATGGAAAAATTTTGCCGGATTGATTTAATTGCAGTCAAAGTGATGGATCAGTAGAGAATGAAAAAGAAATGAGTGACAGAGACAAACAAAGCATTCTTGTCAGTCACTAAATATACCTACTCTATTTTCACTGCAACATTTTTTCAAAATTCTCTATCATCAAACAAGCTACAGCAATATATACCTACAAATCTCATAAATATCTATTCTTTTCTCCCAATATATATATATATATATACCTCCCACTTCATTGTGTATAAACAACATAGAAAAAGTAATTTTGAATTTGATTCAATGTCATCTCATAAACATCTATGGATTATTTTCCTTTTGAGAAATATGTTCAATGCATAAAACATGTTAATTGAGTGCACGAGATTGCTGCCATTGCATAGTCTAAAGACTCTCCTAGGCTAATTTTTTATGCATATGTAGATATATACATACACATATATATATATATATATATTATGGAATTAATGATTAATTATGTTATTGGGTACTAAATACATTTTCATTATTTTGGTTGTAATTTAGACGGACAAGGCTTCATTGCTAGCAGAAGTGATACAACATGTGAAGGAGCTCAAGCGCCAGACATCTGTGATAGCCGAATCGAGTCCGGTCCCGACGGAGCTCGACGAGTTAACTGTGGATGCCTCCGACGAGGACGGTATGTTTGTGATCAAAGCTTCACTTTGCTGCAAAGACAGGTCTGATCTCTTGCCTGACCTCATCAAGACCCTCAAATCTCTGAGACTAAGAACACTCAAAGCCGAGATCACGACGCTCGGCGGGCGTGTCAAGAATGTGTTGTTCATCACCGGCGAAGAAGATTCGAACAGCGACGATCAACAACAGCAACAGCAACAATTCTGCATAAGTTCGATACAAGAAGCACTTAAAGCAGTGATGGAGAAAACTAACGGAGACGAGTCTTCTTCAGGGAGTATTAAAAGACAAAGAACCAATATGAATATCCTTTAAGTAACCAGGATCTCACTCTTCTTTTTTTTAAATCTTTTTTGTGTGTGCTTTTTGGGTGTGTTAATGTGTTTTATGTATTTTCATGATCATCACTCTGAAACATGATATACATATATATATATATATATATATATAGAGAGAGAGAGAGAGAGAGAGAGAGAGAGGGAGGGAGGTTGTTAAGAGAGAGAAAAGACAGGGAAGGATCTTTTTCGTGAGGAGAGAAACCTCATATCAAGTCCTAAGATAGAAAATGTGGGCATTGAATGCTGTTTTGATCCGGTTTGGACGCAAATATGCAGTTTGGGGATTGTTTGTTTTGTAGTGTAGTGATTTTCTTGTTCTATCTCTGTGTGTAGTCAGAGTGTGGCATTGTGTGTAATGATCATATAAGAATGGTGGTGACGATACAGTTCTCGTCATATGCTACGTCCCCACCATTATCAACTTCTTCCAATCCGTACAATGTTGGCAAAGGCTTCCAGCTCTCAGTGTCCAGTAGAGAAAGAAAAAAAAAAACAAAACAAAACAAAACCCTAGTGAGGCATGCAAGGTCAGAGCTTGTGATGGACTGAGATTGTGGGATTATATGTCTATGATATGATATATATAACTTGATTTTCTTCTTCTTTTGGCTCTTTTTTATTTCTGTTGTAGTGTCTTGGTATGCGGTTTATTCTCATATATATGGTGTATGAAATACTGTAGTATTAGCATGCTTAATACACTTCTTACGAACCTTCATTAATGTGCTTATATATATATGTGTGTGAGTGTTACCACATATCATTTCGTGGAAGGACAATGCTATTCTAGCATATAAGTTACACCTAAAATACTAACAAAATGACATTTATCTCCCTCACAAATATAAATCCACTTGAACTCAATTTAATTTAGGTCCAACTTATTGGCCTAAATATCATTTTAGTTTCTTGGTGAAATTGGTCTATCTTGTTTTAGTTCTTGTGCCACTGATGATTAGCATGCTAATGGAACGTACCATGTAACATTTGTTTGTGGTGTATACAGTATATATAGACGCACACGTGCATGCATATATATATATATATATATATATATATATATATATATATATATAATTGTTCACTTGCTTCCTGATTGTGTAAGAAAATGTATATGCACGCCTCAAGTATTAATCGTTAGATTCCATTGGGCAGTTAAAAAGGTAGTTTATTTTTTTATATCCAACGATTAAGATTTAATTCGTATATAAATTTCTTATACACCAGTGAGAAGATGAACAAACATATATATATATATATATAGAAACCTCACCCATATATAGTAAGTTATATCATACATAAAACAAAACCACACAAACTTTAAAATGTGTGTGTGTGTTGATGACCTAACAATATGTATGTTTCCTACCTAATAGCATATATGACAGATCTAATCCTCCTTTTTTACCTGCATGGTTCACCACCATATATCTGACCTATAATCCCAATAGCACTCTATGTAGTGCATGAAGATCATGAAACTTTATAATGTAGGCATGAAGGCAAATCAATATATATGCATATGTGCATGAAGATCATGAAACTTTATAATGTAGGCATGAAGGCAAATCAATATATATGCATATATATTGATTTGCCTTCATATATATTGATTTGCCTTCATGCCTACATTATAAAGTTATATATTGATTTGCCTTCATGCCTACATTATAAAGTTTCATGATCTTCATGCACATACATATATATTGATTTGCCTTCATGCCTACATTATAAAGTTTCATGATCTTCATGCACTACATAGAGTGCTAACGGGATTATAGGTCAGATATGTGGTGGTGAACCATGCAGGTAAAAAAGGAGGATTAGATCTGTCATATATGCTATTAGGTAGGAAACATACATATTGTTAGGTCATCAATACACACACACACACATTTTAAAGTATGTGTGGTTTTGTTTTATGTATGATATTACTATATATGGGTGAGGTTTCAACCATCTTTGTCCCATAATTTCAGATCCTACCTTTACCTTGTAGACTTATAGTAAAAATTGGATACATGTAGGACAAATTGAGATATGATAAAGTTATTCAGATTTATGAATATTAATTTATACCTAAGACATAGGTTTATCTTACTTGTCATTTGTTAGGAGTACTCAAATAAAGAAACTTTGTAATTGATACTTAAAAGTGCACAATGGGTAGGACAGAGTTACTGCATATTCGTAACCAGTGAGATATAAATAGATATATATATATAGACACACACACACACATATGTACTGTAGTAAAAGTGGGCAAAAGGGTAGAGTGGTGGACAATGTTTTAAGCTGAAGAAATTAAAGTTCATTGATGAAATGGTCCTACTTTGTGAAATCAAACGAAACTTGTTGGACAACTTGGACCCTAAAATTATTATGATCTTGTAAATCATTTAACTGGCTGTTCAATAAAATTATTATGTCATAACGATTGTTCATTATTAAAATATATGGATCAATCTGATTATAGGAATTGGGCTTGTCTTGATAAATTAAAAACTTCCATGTATGGCTATTAATGTTGATAATTTAAAAATTCTATAAAAAAATTTGGCCATTTGGAAAAAGTCCATCCAAAGAATCTATAGAATCCAATCCGTTATTTCACATATCGATTTGAATATATTCAAATTGAGAATTCCCATGAATTGGGGACCGAATTGACTTTAATGCTTAATTCCATTGGTGCCCCCCTAACAACATTAGTGAATTCATTGGCCTACACTTTAGGTTCTCTTCCGGTTGGATCAAGACTATAGTTGGGAGACTTGTTCAAGTACTCACAACCTTATGATGTTTGCTTGGCAGAAAATTTCCAAACCATCAAGAATGCTTAATTCCATTGGTGCCCCCCTAACAACATTAGTGAATTCATTGGCCTACACTTTAGGTTCTCTTCCGGTTGGATCAAGACTATAGTTGGGAGACTTGTTCAAGTACTCACAACCTTATGATGTTTGCTTGGCAGAAAATTTCCAAACCATCAAGGTTATAAAGAGTTTAGGGATTAGGGTTCCAAACCTAGGGTTATGGGTTAAAAAACAAAAGAAAATTTAAATTGGCCCATGCAGGTCTCGAACCTGCGACCTTCGCGTTATTAGCACGACGCTCTAACCAACTGAGCTAATGGGCCTTTGCTTAAAAATTGGAAATATAACTTACTTCATCTTTCTAGCCAAGATTTAGTACTAGATTAGGACAGAAAAACTGATATTGGGCTCGAAGTGATTGTCCAAAAACTAAACATAAGTGACATGACCATAGACCTACTTTAAGACCTCATCTTTTTATTAACATTGTGTTTTTAACATAAAGACATGAGAGGGCTACAGATACCATAGATAGGCAAAACAAGGCCCACAACGGTAAGCCCAAAAAAGATCCAGGAAGAGTAACAGCACAGGGACCAAAAGGAATGGGCTACAATTATGCACCATTGAAATGTCAAGAGTGAGCAATTTTAGCCTTTTTCTTTTTTTCTTTTTTTCTTTTAAACTCGAAACTCCCTGGGTAAGGCCCTTTGGACCCACTCCAAGCTACAAACCAAAGGTGCTGCAACCAGTCCTACAACAACAACACCGTTAAATCAAGGATCACAATGAGAGTATTAGGGTTTGAAACCGGGACATATTAGAACCCAACCCCTTACCTTAGCACCATCACCAAATCCCTGGGGCCAATCTTAGCCATTTGCTTCTTGCAAAATTACTTTCACTTTTTACATCTTCTTTTTCAACTTGAATTGAGAGAAATAGGTTAATTTTTTATATATATATTTATTAAAAACAACCAATATAGTAAATTATGTAACATGTAATTCTTAACCTACTTATCTATAGTTAAATGCCCTTGACCCCATCTTTTCTATAGCATTTTCTTTTACGTCCTTAATAAAATTTTGTGCTTCAACTCGAGACCAACTTTAAAACCATAATTGAACCCAAATTTTTCTTTCTCGGAAATTCTAATGTTATGTTTGGGATATCGAAGCCTTAGATTTAGAATTAAAAAAAAAAAGTGTAGTTCAAAATTTGTACTAATCGAACTGCACTAATAAAAAATTGATAAAATCGTCCAACATCAGTAATTAGGAAAAAGTAAAGCATCCATACATAATAAACTAGTCACTGAAGTCCATAATTTTGAGGCCTTTATTTTGTTAAACTTGTTGCATTTTAATCATTCAAATGTCTACATTTAACAATACAAATCATTCAATCATCCAATTGAAAAAATTTTGCTACCAAAAAAAAAAAAAATACATGGGATATTTTCCCTTTCTTCACCCAACTTTATATCTTAATATATATAACTAATTAAAGTAGGAGAATTATTGAATAAACTGTCCATAAGATCATCCATATATATCAAGCACACATTGCTGTGATGGGCATCCTGTCAATTACATGATTCTGGGCAGTGATCCCATCCATGGAGCCGGTACGGTTGGCAGCGTCGATCTGAAGAACAAAATCATCAAAACATTCATCCATGGTTCGAAAAGTTTCATCTGGATAGAGAGCAGTCACTTCAACTTCATCAGAACCATCGATGGTAAAATTAATTTGACAACCCTTTATGAATATATCGTGCGTGAACGAAGCCACTATGCTTTGTGGGATGATCTTCTCTGCAATTTAACAAAAGGGTGATTAAATTAGTGAAATGGACCGTAAGTATGTTTATTACTACTAAATAGAAACTGTGACATTGTTATATATATACACCTCTTGCCAAAGCTAGTAAATCATCTTCTGTGACTGTAACCCTAGGGAGGCTACGTCCGATCTTCTTCTCCCACAAAGATGCAAGCTCGTTAATGTTGAGAAAATTGCAGGACGGTCGGAAATGAACAGACTTGTTAAGAGTTCGGATGTCGTCCACACTTTTCATTGTGAATTTTCCAATATCAGTGCCTGCTACAAAGTAGGCTGTGTAACACAACCATAAAATAGAATTAGAATAGATGTTTCATAATTAAAATGGGTGGAGTTCTGGAATTTGAAATGAAAAGTATCATTAATTAATTCATTTGGAAGGATAAAATTGTTATTTTATAAAATTTGGTAAAACAAATGGGTTGGAAAGAAAATGTTTAGGAGTATAATAAGCGTGCACACGTAATAAAAGCTGAACCGGACATTTTTTTTGGGCCAGAGGCAGTACATATGTAGTAATATATATGTGTATATATATATTATACAGTAATTAAGTGGATAAATTACATTAATGTCCCCAAGGTTTGGACAAATTACATAAACAGGTAAACTGTTCAGCTTTTATTACGTTGTGTGAGTAATTTGGGACAGAAGTAATACTAATTTGTAAGTTACGGTTTCCCAAATAAGACATCTTTTTTGGAATAGAGAGAATATATATAATACATATATGTGTGTGTATATATATATATTACTAGAGTAATTGATTGGATAAATTATATTAATGTCCCTAAAATTTGGACAAATTACATGAATAAGTAGACTATTTAACTTTTATTACGTGTGTATGTCACAATTCTCTAAACAAGACACTAGTTTGAGATAGATACAGTACTATATTACTACAGTAAGTGAGTTTGGTACTCGTCAATTCAGTGGGATTAGGCTTGTACTGTCGTGTCACCATAACTCACCCTATATTCGGTGTAAAAAGCATTAGGACTAACTAATGGCTATGTGAAATGACTAATTAGGTCGTACGCGTATTAATGTACAGTAGCAATGAGTGTGACTTTAAGATTAATTACTCCTTGGCAGCATCCTATTGGCTAAACGAAACATCAAAAATAAAATTTTGCACCTATTATTTTAATCTAAACTAATAAAAATTCGACGCATCCCCATCAATTGGATTAAAAATAAGAAAGAAAATATACTCCGCAGATTCTCTGTCTCTAAACTTAGGACCACGAAAGGGACTCTCCTAGTGCTACCTTTTGACTTTTCAGTTCTAGATGAGATTATTTGTAAAGTGTAAAAAAAAAAATCAGACTATTATTATTTTACAAATAATTTCTCATAACTAAAAATTGCTCCCTATATGTTATAATTAAAAATAAATTCATCACAAAATATTATTTTATTTTTTTAATAAATTATTTTTTATTATATTTTTTCTTTTTTAAATATTAATTATATCATTTACCTTAATTTTTTAATTAGTATCAAATTATCATAAAAATAAAAATAAATAAATAAAAAGATTTGCAGATACTATTTTCTAAAATGATTAACTTATTATATTCACTTTAAAAAAAATTAGTGTAAAAAAATACCTTTTTGATACCATATTCATTAAAATTTAATAAATTACTTAATTAAAAAATATATTCTTTTTATGCAATATATTCATTAAAAAATTAGTAAATTACTTAAGTTATTTCAAATTTTTCTACTTAAGATTTTTATTTAAATAATTAAAGTCAAACTTATGCAAATTTAATGAAGAATATTTCATCAAATTAGTATGAATTTTTTTCACAATTTATTTCAATAAGAAAAATATATGAAATGTAATTTAATAAGAAATGATAATTTTTGACAAATTTGAACATAGTTCAGGAGAATTTTTTGTACTTTACCCTAAAAGACATAAAGAAAAAGAAAAGTCCGGCCATACTTTTTCGGTACCAAATAAATGATTGGTCATGATACCATTTATAACGAATTAAACGACTTGTTATTCAATCGATTAATTAATTCAATATATTACCTTAGTCTAAGGCCAACTCCATCTTGTTCCAACTTGAGCCAACAACATCTAAAACATTTTCTATTTTTCCCCTAGTGGCTTATGGATTTTTGTATTTTATTATGCATATTTTTTTATTATTTAATCCTAAAATTTAAATATATTGATCAAAATAATATGATTTTTTTTTTTTTTTTTTTGGTAGGTTTCATTTTCTTGAATACTTGGATTGAATATTTTTATGGTTTTGATGCATGCTAAAAATTAAATTAATTAAAAATATAGAGTTGTGTCATCTAAAATTATATACTTCGTTAATTAAGGGGATAGAAGAAAATTATTATAACAAATAGAATAAAACAAAAAGAGGATAAAAATTACGAATCCTTGCATAAATTGTAAGGTGACGTATCTTTATAATTAATTGGTCAGAGCAATATGGTTCTCGACTTTCTACAGAGTGAAAATTTCTCTAAAAAACTATAAAAATTATTATGTAATCACGGAATCAATTAACACTAAACACATCAACAAAATGTTGAATGAAGTGTATATCATTATGACACATTTGTTAAAATGTCAAGCGTTAATTAGTTGGAGGTTGGAACTATGTACGTACTAATGGTTTTTTATTTAAAGAAGACAAAAGCCCTTGACACGTGACAGTGGCAGGTGTCGACCAGGACTTACAAACACGTGGACATCAACACAAGGCCCACTCTATCTGTTGCTCGGTTTCAACTTTCGTTTAGTCTATCGTTTGAACTGGTTCCAGGAGGACCACTTCGTTCTCTTGCTGTATTCTTATTCTTAACTTCTTCACGTGGTCCCAGTTTCGAGTCTCACAATGTGAGCCTGTTTGAATATGTGTGACCATTTACCTACTCACACTCACGAGAGTTTGGTGTCTCACATAACGTCTAGCCCACCACCACAACTAGGGTGGCAATTTTTATTCGCGAATCATAATCGTGTGTGTCAACGTATGGATATTATACTAAATAGTTCAATTTGAACACAATTTATTTAATAAATGTGTTAGAAACTCTTAACACTACCCGTCTATGACCTAAACCTGTTTCAAATCAATTCAAATCCATTTAACTCGTGTAGTGTTCGAGTCATGTTAACGAATCGTGTCAATTTTTACCACCCCTAATCACAACTATTTTCTTTCATGTATTCCAAAGATGAAAAACATGTAATTAATCCCCACACACACACACACATATATTACCTTTGACGCTACCGTCGCCATAAATTTGGAATTGATCCAAAGGAGGAAGAACCTCGGAAGGGTGTGTATTATCATAGTAGGGCCAAGAAGCAATGGAATTGCAGCATATATAAGTGTAGGGCACCCCATACTCCTCTATCAACCTTCTCACTTTCCGCTTCTCTTTGTACATGGCCAGTCCCGGCTCCACCGGATCTGCCCTGTCTACATCGTGCCCAAACTCGGACGGCAAAAACCTCTGCAACACCGAAATAATCTACAGAAGTAAGACTACGTGTATCTGACCATTTCAGGGACTTCTGGTGTCCGTAAAAGCATTCAAGTAGCTCCGACACTAATTATGACGATCATAATAAAATTATCATATGTTGTGTACCTTTATGGTACCAACAGCTTTTATGGCATGGATGAGTGTGAACTGGTCTGTTATGCTAGCACCACCCACGGCTGATATCACTGTATCAATCTCAAGCTCCCTCAATATCTTCTCCATGGATTCTTGATCGTTTATAACGCCCTGCTGAAACAGAACAATCAGTTTGCTAGAGAGTTACCGTGTATATATATATAAGTACAAATGTGTGATATATATATATGTACATGTATAACGATTGCGCCCTTGTCTTGAAGAGCTTTGATGGTGTTGGCCCTAGAAGGGGAGCGAGCGGCCGATGGCCGGGCGAGAATGTAGGTGGTGCGGCCGGTGTTGAGGCTGGCTTCTGCGATGAACTGGCCAATGAAGCCGGTGGCACCGACGATGAGGACTCGGCTCTTGGCTGCTGCAGGAAGAGAAGAAGGTGACACAGTCATGTTTAATTTGCAGTTTTTTGGTTCAATTAATTGGATTGTCTAAAGAAAAGTGTGTTTTGAACAATGCTCACCAAGTGTTGAATTATATAGATGACTATCGTGCGCCACCTATCTACCCTTCCAACTAATCAGTAAAATCATTTTAAATTTGGTATTTTTTTAAATTTTCTTTAAAAAAATTTTTGCATTTAAGTGTTGACTGATAGTTGGGAATCAAAGTCCAATAATTCATTAATTTCAATGGGCCCTAGGCAAGTCACAAAAAAAAAAAAAAAAAATGATACTACTGCGTAGGACATCCACATACTGTTTTTTATTTCAAAACAGAAGTCTTCAGATTCTAGACTCATTACACTCGTGAACTTAAAAATAAATAAATAAAATTGAAAGGTACTTCATCTCTGTTTAGGTAACCAAATACATCTTAATATAGTATTTCGAGTTTAGAGTATGCAACATAAAATGGTGGTTTGGTAAAGTTTGGTTTTCATTTTGTGAAAATGACAAGTTTGTAAAAGTTATGCTGTCAATTCTGTCAACATAAAATTATTGCACGGCAACCGAGTTCGCTAATACTAATTAATAAATCAAATCATACCATTAAGTTCTAGTTTATAGCTATTTTTGACAAGTTATTAAGTTCCAGCTAGTTACTAGCTACAAATTAATAAAATGACTACACGACCTGATGTGTTTCCATCAAAAACATATAGCAATCTTCTGCAAATGCAAGGGTACGAACCTTGTGGAAATAAATTTCTCAAGTCAATTTCCTATATATGTAATTATGCCAAATTTCCTACATATGTTATTATTGGTATATATATATGTGATACTATAATGGTAGGTAGATTACTAAAGTCTAATAAGATGAAAATCATTACAAAACAAAATTATCACAATTGATTGGCAAATCAATTGTGAGCTGTGACTCATGTTGTCCCATGACATTGAATTTTTTTTTTTTTTCGGTGCATATATATATATATGTGTGTGCTGGAATAGGCTAGTTTATGTGGTTCTTTTATATCCATGTTATGTACTTGTTTTGTTTGTTAGTGCTGGACTGTTGGCTTCTTGTTTGCCAGGACCCAAAAAAAAAAAATGGCCTGCTGGCCCTCAATGTCTTGTGTTCAACCATTTTATTTTTCAGAATAAAAAAATTATGATAAATAATTTAAAAGTAAGATGTATTGAATCATCGTAATATTATTTTTTATTTACATAATTTTCTTTTGATATACCAACAGGTCGGTGGTTTAGCGATATCAAATTCCTATTTCTCAAAAGGAGATTAGGAGTTCAAATCTCAATAAAGATATGTGTGTGTGAGTACCAATTCTACTTTATGCATCGTTACAATTTATTTATTACAAAAATACTTTAAATGTGAATTCTTCATGTGTACGGAATTTATTTATATTGACATTGCCCTACAACCAAAACATCATGATCACAACGCTTGATTTTGACCTACACCTTAAAGGACCAATTAAGTTAGTTGTTGAAAAAAATTATAATGAAAATATCACGTGGCCATCTGCTACATAATTAAAGCTATATGGTATGATGATGGTGGAAAAAGAAAAAACGTGAGAATTTTCTTGAAGTTGTAGAGATGGTGTGTTCCAACTTTTGTGGAATACAAAATTGAATTGGTATTTTACATTACTATCTTTCAGATTTATTACTTAATTTGCTCTTATAATTAAGCAAATATAAGATCTAAATACATTACCCAACTTGAAATTTATATTTCTATCTTTCAGATTTATTACTTAATTTGCTCTTATTTTTATGGCTTGGGATCTATTAGAAGAAATGAAATTAGGGTTGTCTTTTGGAAGCACAAAAACAATGCCAAAATATGTTCTTGCTTTCATGTCTGTTTTATTGGAACTTTTGCTACTTCAAGAGACTCTCTTCTTTGAGACAAAATTTAGTTGACATTTGGGATCAGCTTTGTCAAACACCAAATCTATTTAAATATTTGTCAAAATATGAAACACCTAGTTGATAAATATACTAGTAAAAGGTGCGAGTAATAATTGTCACACTTGAACTTAGCCAAAAGGCCGAAAAATGTGTAATTATTATTTCTTTAGGTCTATAGTTTTATAGGAGGCTTTCATGTAATCCTTTTTACTTAAAACCATTGTGGGACAAGAAAAATAAATTTTATTAGGTAATTTATAATTTGAATTAAATTTTTTAAATAATTTTTAGGTAATTTTTTGTTTATAAAAACTCTTTTTTTATAATAATAAATAAATACTAAAATACTGAAACTCTTTACACAAAAATCGAGAAAGCAGTACTATAATTGATCTTAGCCAAAAGATCAAGAAAGGTTAGCCAAAACGTTGACCCAAAAAAATTTAGTACTATACTTGATCTTAGCCAAAAGGCTAAGAAATGTGTGATTATTATTTCTTTAACTCTATAGTTTTATAAGAGGCTTCCACGTAATCCTTTTACTTAAAATCAATGTGAAACAAAAAAAATGAATTTTATTAAGTAATTTGTAATTTGAATTAAACTCTTTAAATTAAATTTTATAAATTTTATTTGGTAATTTATAATTTGAATTAAACCTTTTAAAATAATTTATAGGTAATTTTTTGTTTATAAAGACTTTTTTTTTATATTAATAAATAAATACTGAAAGTCAAAAGGCTAAGAAAGTAGTATTACACTTGATCTTAGCCAAAAGACCAATAAAAGATAGCCAAAAGGCCGACCCAAAAAAATTTAATACTACACTTGATCTTAACCAAAAGGTTGAGAAATATGTGATTATTATTTCTTTAGGTCTATATAAGTAGCTTCCATGTAATCATTTTTACTTAAAACCAATATGGGACAAGAAAAATAAATTTTATTAGGTAATTTGTAATTTGAATTAAACTCTTTAAATTAATTTTTATAAATTTTATTAGGTAATTCATAATTTGAATTAAACTCTTTAAATAATTTATAGGTAATTTTTTGTTTATAAAAAATCTTTTTTATATTAATAAATAAATACTGAAAGCAAAAAGGCCGAGAAAGTAGTACTACACTTGATCTTAGCCAAAAGACCTAGAAAAGTTAGCCAAAAGGCCGACCCAAAAAAATTAAATAGTACACTTGATTTTAGCCAAAAGGCTTAGAAGTGTGTGATTATTATTTCTTTACATCTATAGTTTTATAAGAGACTTCCATGTAATTTTTTTTACTTAAAACCAATGTGGGACAAGAAAAATGAATTTTATTAAGTAATTTATAATTTGAATTAAACTCTTTAAATTAATTTTTATAAATTTTATTAGGTAATTTTAATTTGAATTAAACTCATAAAATAATTTTTAGGTAATTTTTTGTTTATAAAAATATTTTTTTTATATTAATAAATAAATATTGAAATATTGAAACTCTTTGCACATTTAATAATAATATAGATATAGATATAGATATAGATATATATATATTATGGTTGGTCGTATCGGTCTATATGCGATTCTTTTTTAAATTCAATACATTATTTGTATCGGCTAATTTACACTGATTTTGTCCGAATCTATTATACCGATACTGCGACCGTTATTATTATGGCAAATCATAATATATATATATATATATAGACACACCCATATGTGCCAATTGAAGTGTCCAACCAGCAATGGGGACAACTCTATCCGCCAAGAGTGACAACATTAGTAATTAATTGCGACGGATACACGGGAGCCATCAGTACAGTGATGATTCAACAGCTCCTATGCATCTATTGCAACAATAACAATTGCAACTAATTATTTCACCAAAACGAGGCCAGCTACCGTTACTGGCGGCCATCCCATTCGGCGAGCCATTTGTGGGCCCAGACAAAAGAAGTAGGAGCAGCCCTTATTTTTTTTGTTTTTTTTTTTTTGGTTCCTTTCACTGTTTGGGTTCACTCGCAAGCTGGCAACAAATTTTTCTTTTTATTATTTTTTATAGAAAATAATAAAAAGAAAATCTTGCCTTTTGAATTTTATTTTCTTTTATAAAACAGCTGTTGAGAATAATACAAACAAACCATAAATAAATAAGTTTTTTATAATTTTAATTAAATATAAAAAAATAATATTAAAGTAATAAAAAGTAACCAGCACGTACCTAAATACAATTATATATAGCCGGTATAGCCACTATACTAGTTGCTCTAAACTTATAAAATGTTAGAAAATTTTCCATTTCCTTTATTTTCTTGTTTAGATTTTGATTCAATTTAGTTGAAACTTGAAACCGATGTAACATTATCACGAGATCTCAAACATGACAAATATTAAGGCGCGAATTTACCTGATTAAAAGAGAATTATACCATCAAAATTTCGTACTAAAATTTATTTACATAAATTGAAAGAGAGCTCATAAGAATTGTCCAAAGAGAGACCTCATTGAAAACTAAATTGTTCAAAAGTTAGGTTTGACGATTATAGCCTACGTATTTGTAAAATATTAAAAAGTGCCCCCCGTGAATTTTCTTTTATAAAAAATCTTTTTATTTATATGTAAATTCCTCACTTCGTCCCTATCCCATAGAAAGTTCAATTTAATGGATGGACATTTTTTTCTTAGTGTAACCTAAAAATGCTACCTATAATATATAAAGTGAAACCTATAAGTTAGGAACTCTTGAAAATAATGGATGTGGATGGCTTCATTTTGACCACCAACATCTCTTTCTCTCCTATGTAGATGGAACATTTCTAACCCCCAAACCAACATACTAAAACACCTAACTATCACACAATAAACTAACTAGCTACACTTCTAAAGTGCAAGCCTCCACTTTTTCATTCAACATATTTAGAAATTAACAATGGTATGAAAACATACATTTTTTTCATAAATTATTAAGGATCAATAAGTTTTATTAGTTGCCCAAAAACTAAGAATAAACAAAGATATTCATAGCTCTCTCAATTACGCATTGTTTCGAAATAATTAATTTTTATCCATCCACAATTATGTTGTCATCCTTGCTTTTATCATCGCAAGTCAGTTGCATAAATTCTCTTTTTTCATTTCTCAATATTATACACCATTTCTTCTCTTATATTTAATTTTCTTTTTAAATCGTGAATTATTTTAATACTGATCGAAGTGCAAAAAATTTTAAGTGCTAACTAAAAAAGAATTTTTTTTTTTTTTTTTTTTTTTTAATTTTCAGCATTCAGTGATAAGTGATATCCGTTTTACTTAAACTTTTATCTCATTTTGTAAGTGTCGCTTTATATTATCAACATACTCTCATGTAAGTTTTGGTCCGACAAATAACTTTTTCTTTTCTAACCGATGCATTATCTGGTCATGATTTAAATGTGTCTTTTGCTCTGAAGATTATTTTGAGATTTACCAAAATAAAATAAAATAAAAAGTTTGCACTTTTCTTATAATTATATCCACAAATACATAAAAAGTTTCTAAAGCAAAGTAGCAGAGTAAAAAATAGTTTATAGTTGAAATGGTTGGTAGTGATGATGAAAACAAAAGGCTTGAGAACGTACTAGGGTTAGGTACTCACGTTGGTGGATTCGAGTTTTGGTATGTTACTTAATTGTGCTTTAAATTATTTCTCATTATATTATAGAATTGTCGAACTATTTGTGGGATATTTTTTTCAATCCCACATGAAAAGTCTACAATTTATTATTACTCTTAAATGTCTATTATCCTTAAATGTCTATTATCCTTAACCATCTTGTGTACCTTTCATTTGGTCTCTAATTTTCCTTTGTTTCAATTTTTTATTTATATTTTTCAACAAGACAAAAAAGTTTCAATTTTTTATTTATATTTTTCAACAAGACAAAAAATTGTGTACCTTTCATTTGGTCTCTAATTTTCCTTCGTTTCAATTTTTTATTTATATTTTTCAACAAGACAAAAAAGTCATGCACTCACCTAACACTTCCGCAAGACCAATACCATCCTTTTGGTGAACTTTTGTTGGGGACTTATCTACACCACAATCATTTTTTATTGGTTAAAGTGTTTTGATCCTTGTCTTATTCAAAAAATCGAATTTCAAAAAACAACTAAAACATAAGATTTATGATAAATAATAAAAATCCTAATACCGACTTAATCAACCGCGGTTTTATTACCAACTGAAGTATCTTTTTATTGATTTGAACAATAATATATATTTATTACTAATTAAAAGTTATAATAAAAAAAATCAACCATAAAGTGTAGCAATGCTCAAATTGGTGGTCTTGTTTTAGTAACTTTTGCAGCTTCAACCCTTCATAACGTTTAAATTGTTTTTTAATTGTTAGGCTGCATTTATGGAGTTCATATCATATGATGATCATTATAGCTGTCATCATCTAGAAGATCAATCATATACTTCTTATTTCACAATCGGTGTTGAATATTTTGAGATTCTATTGTTTAAATTAAACTCTTATTTGCAGTCGAATTCCAATTTTTTTTTCCTACTAAAATATCAATTATCTAAATCTGAACGTCACTTTGACTCACTAAGGTCTCTCTCTCCATTATATTATTCATTAAAGAGTAAAGAATTTTGTTTCCTATCTTTTGAGTATTTGATCAATTCATAGAATTTTTATATTCTTGAGCTAGTAAAGGATTTAGAAAATTATGTGAGAGCAAATGACCTTAAACTAAAAATTAAGTGAGAACACTTTTAAAATTTTAATAAAAAGTATTAAGTAATTTTATAAATAAATTTTTATTTTAACAAGTACGCCTAACGACTGCCCCTACTAAACCCTTAATAGGTTCGTCCTGCCTTCGGGTCATAAAAATTTGTGACTTTAAAATTATTAACTTCACAATACAGATGTTTATAGCATTTTTTTTTTTAATTTCAAACCTCGCTGATCCTTTTGTTCCTTTTGTTTGTTTGTTTGTTTTTTTTTATTTTTTGTTTTTTTTTATTTTTTCAGTGAGGAAAACAGTTGTATATTTGAAAATAATTTACAGAACTTTAAGCCCAAAGACCAAACAAAAATATAGGCCCAAACAAGGAATCAAAAGAGCCCAAGAGCTGACAATCTATTAAAGCCCAAGAAGACTAGGCCCAATCTATGTCCACAAAAGAGGATGGAACTGGGGCATACCTCTATGGACTTTAGCCCATGCTTGATACCCACTATGGACTCCCCCTGGCCCACAAGGAATGGGGACCAGATCATAGTGAAGCAACACCACTGATTTGGTATACGGCTGAGTTACCCTCGATCTTTACCAGCCTAAGTAGATTAGAGATTATTAGAATTGCACTTTAATTTATTTATTATATATCTTAATCATTTAATTTATTTTCTAATGCTTGCCAGTTCTATTTAGTGTACAGAACAGTAACACAGTTTTGAAATTCAAAACCACCACCCATCAAATATAAAATATAAAATTAGGTTTTGCAAAAACAAAATCAATAGAGTTGCATATGTTTTTTTTGGCATAGTCAGTAGATACCCAACGAAGGGGAAAAGAGAAGTGAAAGAAGGGATACCGATGTTTTGATTCATTTGATCAGACACTCTCCCATGGCAGGGTATGTTCCTCTCTCTCTCTCTATATATACACACATACATATACACACATACATGTATGTATATGCATTTATATCTCTCTTACAGGAATGCTAAATAATCGGGATTTCAATTGACATCTTTGATCTGTATACAATAGTCGGTATCTTTTCAGTACTTGTTGAACTCCTAATTTTTCTGTTGACTTAGGTTGACTTGCGTTCTGATTATCGTTGAAAGAAGAAAGCATTCTGTTTAGTTCTCTGGTTAGGTATTAGAGCACCCATTGAAGAGTTACTAAGCATCTCTGTCTAAAAATTGACCTAATTGATTCAATGGAAATAAAGAAAAAAATTCTGGTTTCGATGGTGACCCTTTTGATTTTTGGCGGCGGTTTTCCTAATGATTGAATTTTTGAATGCCCATTTTATTAATATTTGATTTCATCATGATAAGAAACAGTGGTTATGTTCGTGGTGGCTGGGTAAACTGAGGATGTTTCGGCTTTACTGTTAATGTGCTAGAATTCAACAATATAATGTAATTCTTGTTTGACAAAAAAGTTTTGAGGAATCATTCCTCTGTCATTCATAACGCTTTCTTGTAATCAAGAAAAAGGAGTTATTTTGTAAGACTATAACTTTAGTGTTCATCAATGGTGAAGAAGTCGATCATCTTACTAGTAGGCATTGTACAAGTACAACATAATTTTGGAGGTCAAGTTGTCACTCACTTTACATCTACTTGCTAAACATGATAGATTTTTATCTCCATGTAACTCTGGTACATGGGTTGGGTGTGTGCATGTATCTTAAGTGTTAGATTACCAAAGTTGCAAATCCAAGGACAAGGGGATGCAGCTATATATTCATATATATTTTTAATATTCTTATTTCCATAGTTTGACTATTTGAGATAGATGATGTAAAAATGTAATATTAGAGTGTTCAACATGGGCACTTTACTTGTTTTAAAGTGTTAACTACCCATCTACTCTAAAAGAGTAAGCTGGTAGAGACGGTGCAACTTTAATATTTATACCTTCAACACGCCTCCTCACGTGTGGCCTTCTTTTTGGTCCTACACGTGTTTTTCAAATTTTAATTAGGGTGACGGTGAGGTTTGAACTCGAGACCTTTGGCTCTAATACCATGTTAACTACCCATATACTCTAAAAGCTTAAGTTGATAGAGAGGGTGCAACGTTAATATTTATACCTTCAACATAAAGCAACAATATAATAAAAGAGATTTTTATTTAAAATATATAATAAATTGAATTATCAGATATGCTTGCTAGGTGCATGCAAACATAGTGGCGTGTTTCCATACATAAAGATCGTGTGTGCAATATGTGTAGTTCATGCATTTAGAATACCCCACTTAACATAGGTTATTGGAACAAGTGTATTTTTCCAAATCAAGTGGTCGTACTGCCTACTTTCTGATTTTATAGTTACAAAATTTACATTATGTTCATATGATTTTTTTAAAGAGGAACATCAGTCTTTCTTATTTACGTTATGGAGGTCATATTGTCAGCATGCATACTTTAATTCATCAAATGCACTGCATAGTCGTGTATAATTGATCTTATCAGTTATCACTAGATTTAAGAAAATGTAGGATTTGCTGATTAGAAGGTGGTTTTCATGTACTAAAGAAGTATGCTGAGCAGTTTTAACGAGTTCGTGTAGCAAGTGTGAGCAAAATGTAGATGCTGAAATTAAGTCATCTACAAAATTGCGCAAGTTACAACTAGCACCAATTGGAGATAACTTGAGATAAAATTTAATAGGATGGTTTGGCCATGAGCAACAAAGACTAATGACATGGCACATTGAGGGTGTTGTTGGGAACATGACAATTTTATGTTTCTATTGAAATCTTGGCCCATAGAGTGGAATGACAAATAGTTTTCATGTACACATGCTACATAGTTGGGATAATGATTTATTGAGTTTATTGGAGTATTGATTGATCCTTATAAGTATTCGTAGTTGTTGGCTCATTTTTTCACAAAGTCTTTTTTTTTTTTTTTTTTTCCTAATTGGTACTCAGACACGCATGCCTCCACCGAGGCTCGAACTCCTAACCTCCCTTTGGGAAGTAGGAGCCTGGTACCGCTGGTACCGCTAGGCCACTGGCATGTTGGTTTACAAATCAAGGTCTAATAAGGCATTTGTATGATTATTTGCTAGGTAACCGCACAATACACTATTAGCAACAAATGAAATAGAAAATTTTCTTTCAAAAAAAAAAAAAACAACAACAGATGAAATAGAAAATACTAATGGTGATGAGAAACCCTAATTTAATAAACTGGATTTGTTGCCAATGTTTTACTCTTATTCCTGCAAGCTGATACTGTGTTATGACCCAAAAGGGGGTAAACAAAGAAAAGTTGATATTTTATTAGGAATATTAAAGATTTCATATCCTTGAGGAACCCAGTATTTTTATTTAGCAAAGGCATGGATATTGAAACAAACTTGATGGCAGATGAAAGGATTCAAATAATCAAATTAACACCTTCAGTACTCAGTAGTGAGTCCTTTGAAGGAAATGATGGTTGAAACATAATTCGGTCTCTACTACAACTGCTTGAATATAATATTCACCACTGGTCCTGCCCCTCCATTTTGTTCATTCAAGAGGACAAACTATTTTGGAAATGAAATGTGATTTTCTTCTCATTTATGGGGTCTCTTAAAGGCCTTAAATAGTTTTTGACAATCTTCTTATCTTAAAATTTGATTTTATTATTTAATGGATTTTAATTCCATAAAATGATTGAAGTTTCAAGTTTGTTATATTTAAAGTCACGAATGTCAATGAGTAAAATGCTCTTGGTGTTTGTAACTCGGATCCGATCTTTATTTTTTATTTTTTATTTTTTTAAGAATGTAAATTCTTATCATTGTTATCTTATAATTAATAATAATTCATGATTGTGACTGTATTTATTTCATTGTGCAGACCTTCATGGTTGGTTGACAGTAATAGAATTGCAACAAAAATCAAGAGTGCATCTGGTGCACGTGAAACTGGAAGTGCTAACTGGAAAAGCAACCCGACTAGAGCTTGCCCAAATTGCCAACATGTTATTGACAATAGTGATGTATAATTCCTACTTTCTTTTGCCTTCTGACATGACTCTTAATTAGTTGAATGATACTAGCTGGGTGGCATGTTTCATTACATGAATAATTAACCATACACATTGTAGATTGACATATTGATTTTTTTTATAGGTTGAAATAAATATTCTCTTAAATGCTTAGTTTTTTTATATTTCACATATTCTTAGACTTTTTTTTCTCATTTTAAAATTTTCAACAAAGAAGACTGATTATATATATCAGTCTGAGTGCCTGCACAGAAATCAAAATATAGACTAAAAAGACATTCATAGTTGTCTCTGAGTTGGATCAAGATTGAAATTGGGCAGTTAATATTGTTTCATACTCTAATAGATGAGCAAGAAGCTCTCTCTCTCTCTCTGTATATATATATGTATATATTATATACCTATATTTATGTATATGAGGGAGCTGTCTTTAAAAGTTTTAGTTAAACATAGGCAGTCAAAAGTTGGGAGAATTTTTGTTCTTTTATATTTTTTAGGTGGAACTTCTCACTTGTTTCTTGTCTTCATTAGTGCTGTAACTGTACTAATCTGAAGAGCCTATAGGGGATTGGTAGCTTGCTTACCCAGAACTGTGCTTCTGAAGTGGGAAGCAATACAGTAATGTTTTTAGTGACACATGCTGTAAAACCACATCATTTGTGTGCGTGTGTGTGTGTATATTTGTGTGGGCGAATGTACATTTGTGTTTCTTTTTATCATGAGAAATAAAAAATTACATTCCTTTTGGAAAATTCTTGACTTCTGAAATTTATGGGTTCATTCTGGAAGTTAAATGGTTTGAAAATTGTCCTTCTGTATTTTAGTTTGAAAATTAAGGAGTGCCTCTTAACGTCTGAAATTTGGTTTGGCAGTGGTAATAAGCTTTTTATAAATTTAAATTCCATTGTTATTGATACTTTTTTGTTATATTACATGCCCAAAAAAAATCTAATCTTTTATTGCCACTTCTAATTAATTTTGGTTGAGTGTTGATTATATATATCAGTCATGGGAAGTACTAGGACTTCCATTGACATATTATTGAATAATAGAATCTGTTTCAAGTTTGATGAGCTTATGTTCTTTACATCTTTTTACTATTTTTTTGTGACCATATCAACTATATTTTTTGGATTTCTGGAAATTGTATTATGTTGAGATCTTGATGAAGTGCCACAATAATCATTCCAGGGTTTTCTAAGATATTTGAATTAAGAAAGATTTTTTATTTGCCTTCCCAAAAAAAATATATAAAAAAGGAAAAACAAAGATAGAGTTTTGTATCTTTCTTATAAATCTTTTACCTGTCCAATTGGTATTTTGATAAAATGTGCATGTTGCTTGATTTTTTTTTTTTTTTTAACCTGTCCAGTTAATAACCTAACTGTTGATTGATTTTTGTAGTAAAAAGAAGTCTGTACCACTGGTGAATATTTAAAGCATTTGAAATTTGTCTGCTTTCAGGTCGCTCAAGAGTGGCCAGGATTACCCAGAGGTGTGAAATTCGATCCATCTGATCAAGAGATCATATGGCATTTACTTGCAAAAGTTGGTGTTGTGAATCTGAAGCCTCATCCTTTCATTGATGAGTTCATTCCAACTGTTGATGAAGAGGATGGAATATGTTATAAGCATCCTCAGAAGTTACCAGGTCAGCACAATAATTTAGGTTTGCCTTTTCTGTTGGTACTTTTGTATTCAGTTAATTTTTAGCTCTAAACCTAGAAATTTGTAGGTGTTAAGCAAGATGGAAGTGCATCTCACTTCTTTTATAGAGCTATTAAGGCTTATAACACTGGAACTCGGAAGCGTCGAAAGATACATGATGATGATTTGGGTGATGTCCGTTGGCACAAGACTGGCAGGACCAAACCGGTTATCTTGGATGGGGTCCAAAAGGGGTGTAAAAAGATAATGGTGCTCTATGTGAGCCCTGTCAGGGGTGGGAAATCGGAGAAAACCAATTGGGTCATGCACCAGTATCATCTGGGTACAGAAGAAGATGAAAAAGAGGGAGAGTATGTCATCTCTAAAGTTTTTTATCAGCAGCAACAAGTCAAACAGAGTGACAAAATTGAACAAGACCTTCCTGATGACATCATAGTTGCAAAAGTAGATCCAGTCACTCCCATGTCTGTGACTCCTGTACCACCTCGTACTGAAAGACGTACTGGTTTTGACCCAGGGCAAGATTCCATGGTAAGTTGCATAGATCCCTCCACTCAGGTAAATTAATTCTCCCCCAGTATCATGGCTACATTTGTCTTTTTTGCTTTCTGAAAATGTCAGATTAAAATACTATTTTTTTTTTTTTTTTTCCTAGTTGGTACTCACACACACGTGTCTCTTTTGAGACTTGAACCTCTGACCTCCCTTTGGAAGGTAAGAGACTGATACCGCTAAACCACTGGCCCGTTGGTTAAAATACTAATTTTGGACCCTCGTTGTCTGTAATTAGCTTTTTTATTTATTAGCGATTTATATTTCAAATCAAGGAATACAAGGGTTTTAATATTTACTTAAAGTTTTAATCTGTGGCTGAAACCGATAACTTACAAAAATTTCCAGGAGATAAGATATAGTTGCGGGGAATATGTTTCCTTTACATTTCATGCATGTTTCCTGCAAAAACAGATAATGATATCTGCATCCTCCCCTTCCATTTCTTTTAACCTCAGAATCATGGGATCGTGGACATAAAAGATGAGGCAAAAACAGCACGTGAAGAGCCTATTTTGCAAGATCAACTCACTACAGAAAATAATGCCGATCAAATAGTAGATAATGATGAGGCAAAAACAGCACGTGAAGAGCCTATTTTGCAAGATCAACCCAGTACAGAAAATAATGCCGATCAAATAGTAGATAATGATGAAAATCAAGGTGAAGAAGACCCAAAATGGTGGGATGGTGAATCACAGTATCTGTTAGATTCGCAACAGCTTGTGGAAGGCCTGTCTTTGTGTGATGAGCTTCTTCGGAGCCAGTCCCCAGATAGAGAGGAGAACAGGTATGGTGGTGAATCGAATGGCAAACCCCGCCTTTCTGATTATGCTCATTTAGGACCAGAGAATTTAAAGAAAGATTTAATGGAGTGCCAAGAATTGGTCCTTGATCCAGCAAACATAGAACTCGATACACCTCCTGATTTTCGACTAAGCCAGCTTGTATGTTATGTTATCCCATCTTCCATATTGTTTCTTTGTGCTGAACTTTGATTATTTTATTGTATTTAATCTCCTTGGTTTTGATTCTTTTCTTGAATACCTTTTTAGGAGTTTGGATCGCAGGAAAGCTTTCTCGCTTGGGGTGGTGGGAACGTTTGACTAAGCATGGTTTGAGCATCCTCGTTCGTCTTAATAATCATGGAAGACAAAACAGTGAACCATTTGTTTTGTGGACGCTTTATTCACCATGTCACTTTTGACCAAACCGGAAATGCTCTTCATGGTGATTTAATTATAGTTTTTTGATCTATGCTGATGCTAATGATTTCCGAATATCTCATGCCATTTGCCCCTCGGAGGAGCCTTGAGCTAATTCGGTCGTTTCTATCTGGTGTTTTTTTGTTAATCTTGTCTATGGCTTCAAGGCTTGATGTAATGAACTGTTAAAAAGACATCTGGTTATGTTGTATAGTTTGGGGAACATCTGACCCTTTTGTGACATGGTGTGTTATATATATGATGATTTTTGTTAGGAGCTAAAAAAATTGCTGGTTATATATTTTATGTGAGAATAAGGGCTCTGCGAGAATGTAGCTTACCAGCTATTTATGTTCTAGAGGGCTGCAGATAGCCAGTTGATTTACACACAGTGACAAACACGCAGTGCTTGAGAATGCAACAATCAGCATAAATATCTGAGGAAGTTGTGTTGGTGTGTGCTCTTTGGATCATTTTGCAATGGAAGTTTGCATTGTAATGATAGAGATACAGCTCAAACCAAGTACGAGGTGGGACATCTTGTTATTGGAAGAACTAGTGCTTTGTCGACGCCAAGGAGACCATAACTGATTGGTTACATGAGGCAACTGAGTGCAGCACAGACCGGGCAAGCAAATCGTTCATGAACCTGAACCTGGAAGAGCCTTACAGGTCATTAGGGTTGGCTTGAAAATAGCTTGAGAGACCAGGGGCCCTGGGCTTGTTTCCAGCTAATGAGCGGCCCCGGGTGCCCTGTTCGTGACCGGCAAGGGTGAAACCCTAGCTGGTCTAGCTAGGGTTTCTCTCCTTGAATGTTATGATGAACCAAAGGAACAGACATATAGGGTCTTGACACTCTGGCCTGCTTCTCTCTCACCAAAATGCATTTACAGTTTGGCCTCTTACACAAATACAAACAATCAATATTGGTGATATTAGTTGCTTTAATGTTTAGAACCAATTGTCTTTGTGTGTGATTACATAAAATTCCTTAAAAGACATCAATTTATAAGGTATCAAACAATTACAATGTGATCACACAGTTATGTCATGACCTGAAGCACACTTCACCTGAAAAAAAAAAAAAAAAAAACTCTGGATTCTCTCAATAAAATTACAAAAATAATAATTCCAAATTACATATACATATTTCTCGTTATTTCCAGCTATTGGTGAATTTTACTATTATAACGGTAAAATTTCAACAATAAACAAATATAAACTGGTGAATAATCGTGAAATTCACTATTCAATACTCGTCCTGTACTCACTCTGGTCATGCTGATGAAGAACATGATGAATGTATACGTGTAGGTATACTGTATAGATATATGTATATACATATATATACATGGGTAAGTAAATAGGAGTGGTAATAAGTGGGGACCAGAAAGTTGATTAGAAAAGAATCAGAGGAGAGTTGAGTTGAGTGAGATGAGAGTGGTGGGGTTGAAGATGAGGAAGTGCACGTGGGCAGGATAAGGCTGACATTTTGACCGATCACGTTATGTCGGGGGTCTTTCTAGTTGAGGTGGCAACCTCTTGCGTGGCCGACAACGGAATATAAGATTGGTGATTCAGTTCCTGTACCACCTGACACCATCTGACCCACACCACACACGCATCTACCAGTAATACCAGTCACGTGCACACACACATAACACACTCTCTCTCATCATAAAATTTTCAATTTTAGTGTTATATTTTCAATTTAGTACTTTTTTATATATATATATATTAAAAAAAAAAAAAAAAAAAAACCTGTGTGGAAATGTGAGATTTAATACTTCTTCCATTCTATATTAGATGTTGTTCATGGAGGATAGAAATTTTTAAAGAGACATGTAATTATTACATTGTTCTCCTCAAAAATTACAAAGCTACCATTTCAAGTATAAATATATATATAATCAAGTTTGAAATTTTTTTAAAATTTTAAAGGTCTTTTATGAAAAGATGTGAAATATGTTATCTAAACTTGATAAGTGGACAAGTATTTTAGGACAACCCAAAAAGAAAAGATAGACAATTAATATGAAATGGAGGGAGTACTTTATTGCTTGCAAAACCATGAATCTTAATAATTTTATTTACACACTAAGTCACACAATCCTTTTCAATATGTGTTGTTCTTACGTTTCGAGCGCACTTTCTTTCTCATGCTCCACGCGCACTCTTACTCAAATTCTTAGTGTTTAGAACAACTCCAATATTCTCTCATCTGAGCTCTCAAACTCAAAATATAAGAGGTGGCTAAACGGTAGGCTCTCCAATGGCCTCTCATTTCACTTCTCAAAATTTGAGATTCTCAAATTCACTCTCAAATCTAGCGGCTGCCAAATTTTTTGACAAGTCTCTTATTTCACTGTTTTTCACTGTACGATACCGTTTTGTTCTCATTTTATCTCTCCCCCTTTTCATCCTATCCGAGAGAGCCCTAATCTAACCCCACCACCACCATCACCGATTTCTAATCCATCCATCCCATTCTGTTATCTGAATCTGACAACAATTGCTTGAGGTCTTATAATTGAAACATCTATATGCATAAATTTCCCAAATAATTCCCAAGTTAATAAGCAACAAATAATTTCCCAAATAATTCCCAAATTAATAAGCAACAAAAAAAACTGTAGGAAGTCCTTTGCAAATATAGAATTTGGCTGTGGCCGAGTTCATCCTCGCAGAACTCATCGCCAACCCATCCCCACCTGATCCATCACAACCGCTGTTCTCGGTTGTCGCTTCATCTCACCAAGCACCGCCGCAAGCCACTGCCATCCCAAGCTCTCCGTTGTCGCAAGAACAATTCCTTGCTTGTCGAAGCTTTATGTCGTCACCGAAGTTGTAGTTTGCAGTTGCAGAGAGAGAGAGAGTGCAAGTTCTCAAAGTTGAGATGGAGAACAGAGATGAAGGCGATTGGGGAGGCTGAAATGATTTGCCCTAAAAATATATATATATTTTTAATAATAATATAATCAAATATATATAATATACATATAATATATATAAATTTCCGAAAAAGAAAAAACAAAAATTATATAAAAAAATTAATTCAAAAATAGTGGTAAAAAAATTATAAAAAATTTGTTTTTTGACCAGATATTTTAAATTTTTGCTTTTTTTTAATTAGGTTTAATTTTAATTTCCTTCTGATGTTTACAACTTGACCTGAAATTTGCCTAATATTAATATTATTGATGCAAATATGAATGGTGAGAATGGTAATTGAAAAAGAATGGCGGTTATGTCAAAAAATAGCATTTTGCATGAAATGCAGCATTGAAGCAGTATTGCGAAAATGTAACATTTTGACACTGTAGCACCTGTCAAAATATAGATTTGGCATGCGAATTTAACTTTTAGCATTGGAGATGCTCTTATGACTTAATTCTGCTACTCTCACGCTTCCACTTTCGAATTCATTTTCGTTCGCGCTTCTATTTTATGTGACTTAGCTTACACACACACACGAGGGTTAATTGTTTTTTTTTTTTTTTTTTTTTCTGTTATAAAAATAACATAGAGGGCAAATTTATTAAAGTGAAACATGAGTACCAAGCTTAAATGGCCTGCCAAAATATATAGAGAGAGAGAGAGAGAGAGAGAGATAACAACTCTAGCGGTGCATTTATGCGTACATGTTCTAAATAAGGTGCATTTAAGAAACATGGCAGAAAACCTCTCGTGTGGTGTACCCCCAACTGTTTAAAATGATTTTAATGCTTTTTTTTTTAACACCACTCACTAGTAGTTGGAGTGTGTGTATATATATATATATATATTTGCGTGTATATTTGATGTATTATAATATATGTACACAAAAATTTTGGATTAATTATTATTGTTTTTTTAGATCAAGCCATTATTTTATATTTTTTTATACAAAAAAGATATGCCAATTTTATACCTTTTGTGTAAAAATATATATGCCAATGACAATTAATCACACGTCATACCCAAAACCTCACATAACTTTTACAAAATTAATTAACATATGGTTAATTCATTAATAGAATAAGAAAGTGGGAGGTGAGAAAAAGTAAAAGTGGTGTAAAATACACAATAATTTCATATTATATGCAATGTGTAACGACCCACCCTTATCATTCCCTTTGGAGCCCAACGTCCTCGTTAGTCACACTTTCAACTAGGTTGGACCTGATATCATTTGTAATGGTTCACTTCACCATATAGTATGATATTGTCTGATTTGGACCTGAACCCGCATGATTTTGCTCTTGAATTTTACCCCAAATATCTCATACCAATTGGAGATAACACCAGCACATATAAGCATTTCACATTTTCTTTATCAGGCGATGTGGGATTGTACACCCGTAACTCGCTCAGTGTAATAGTCTGTCAGTGCCTCGCACCCGTCTACAAGGTCGCCACAATGTTTATATTTTTCACAAAAGGGTGATTGCTGGAGATGCTCTTAATAGAATAAAAATAGTAATATTTAAAAAATAATTAATGTAAAATGACCATTTTGTTTATTAATGCAATTAAATAGGAATTAATGATGCATTTTTTTGAATTAAAATTGCCTCTCCTATATAAATCTTAACAGCTAGTAGAAGCAGTTTTAAATGAAAATTTTAATGAGAACGTCATAAAGAGAAGCTAATTGCATATTTAGAGAACGAAAATTATAACAAGCTGTTGGAATAGTGTATACGTATTATAGGTAATGGAGTCATGAAAGCAACTGGGAAAGAGAAATGATTTATATAATTTTTCCTAATAAATAATAATTTAATAATTTATGTAAGAAGAGTTGTGGGTTTCATTACAAGATATTAGGGTGACAGTAAGTAAATTATTGAGAAAACACCGATAAAGTGGCCGAGATATTTGTATCTTTTCAAAAAAGAGGAAGTCACTGTGCACAAAACCTATTGCGTTGGAAATTTTTTCTATAATCAACCCTAATTATTGGAATAACACCTGTACCAAAAAATCGATTGATTCAAGGTACATGTCTTGTCATTTTTACTAAATATCTACATTATGTACTGCATTATGTCTCTGCTTATGTGTTCTTCTATTTTAATGTTAGTGTCTAAAGTATAAACTCATGCTTGTGCAAAATGAATTGAAAAACTACATGTTTTACTAAACAAAATTACTACCTGACAAAAAAAATTTATTTTCCAAATCTCAAAATTAAATGTTGTATCAAATTATTATTTTTTTTAAAAATAGTGATATGCATTGCTAAGGATTTTCACTTAAATTCTCAACCGATTATTCTTAAGTGAAATTTAACACGGGTCATACTTCATTATACCACATACTTGAGTACTATTTGGTCGAGAATTAACCTTTGAAAAAAGAAGATAAAAATCCTATTCGGTCGAAAACTCAGTGAAAATTCTCAATTGGAAAAACATTTCTTTCAAAATAGTAAATTGAATATAATTAAAAATCCATAAACACATACTAATGTTAATAAAATACATTTTTCGTCTCAAATTAAATATCGTCTTAGAAAACTGTGACTCATATTCATAAAGACGACACTTTATTTGAAACAGAGAAGTAGTAAACATATATAGATTTTTATATATATATAATAAGTATTGTGATTTGTGACATTTTATATGTATATAATAACTATTGTGATTTGTGACATTTTGAAGCCAAATGCAAATAGATTAGATAGAGTGAAAGAGTAGACGTTCTACCCACAAAGATATCCTAACGATCAAAAACCACCTCTTTTCTTGTTCATGTGTTTTCGGTGTACTACTCTTTGCTTTAGCTAAAAGTCTTCAAAACAAACAAAACGGCGCACTGTTAATCACAGGTCCTTTTCTAGCCGTACACGTGGCACACGTGAATATGTGTTGGAACCCATTATTCAGTAGGCCCCACAAAATGAATTTTGACCATCAAAGCATCAAAATTATTACTATTATACAACCACGAGGTTTTGTTTGGGTGCGGAATTTTCAATGCCATTCCTTGAAGACAGAGTCTTGAAATAGAATATATATATTTTTTTAAGCTTGTGCCGTTTCGTTCAAGACAATAAAATCTTAAAAAAAAGAAGAAAAAGAAAAAGAAAATTGTAGCTATCGTCAAAACTCATTTTTTTATTAAAAAGTGTCTAAGAATACACTTTTTAATTATCATACCAAGCATATCTAAGAAGACAATTAGTGAGACTATAATAAAATCCAATGTATTTACCAAAGGATAAAAAAATATGCCTCAGGAATTACAAAATCCGGTTTGATAATTTCATTAATGTTGTGTTTGGTGGCAAAAAAGTGGAGTTTAGAATTGAAATTGGTAGAATTAAAAAAAAAATTTGATTTAATTTTTTGAATTTCTTCAATTCCACAAAATTCAATTCTTAAGTTCCAATTCCATGTTTGTCAAATATAGCCCAAGTGTTTAGTGTCAGTTTGGTACAATAAAAATAGAAGGTTAAAAAAAAAAATTAATAATGGTAATTGAGGGAGATGAAAAATTGTGTTTGGTCTGAAATGTTGGAAGGAAAAATAAAAAATAAAAAAATAAAATAAAATAAAATAAAATAAAAAAGAATTTGGAGAGATACAACCTATGCCACATAATCGGGAGTGAGATTGGTAGCGCAAAAACTTTAAAATTTAAGTCGCACATGATAAAAATCGGAGCAAGAGTATGTGCAAAGCGCAAGAGCTGAAGCACACGGTAAGCATAAAAGTAACATCAGTTTAGAAAAATTGTATAACTTAGGATACAATAATACATGAATTGTAACTTTTGTCATCCTCTAAAAAAATGAGAGGAAATGAAAAGATAGAGAAGAAATCAATCATATGCTTAATGAAACGTTGTTAATAACAATTCTGCCCTTATTTTTATAAATAAAACAAAAAAAAAAAAAAACAAAACAAAACAAAATCTATGAAAAAAGTGTGATCATAAATTCATTAAAATAGTTTAATTTCCTTTCTTTTAATTAGCAATTACTATACTTTTCTTTATTTTTCTTCAAAATAAGTTGCTTAACAAAGGAAGGAAGGAAGGAGGGAGGGAGAGAGATCTGCTTGGAGTTGGTTCTTAAGTGCAATTTTGGCATATTATTTTTAGCATTATCACACAAAGCATAATTAATTTTGAATGATTTTGCGTTTACACACTTTTTGGACGTGCTTGTCAACAGTACCAAAAGGTTGGAATTATGATTTCATGGCCTGAAATATTTGAATTATTTGAAGTGTACCACAATACATATGGTAACATCAATCCTCAAGATAGATGATGATCACTTTAAATGATTAATGGGCCCACAAGAGGGTCCTTTTTCTTGCTTAATTATCAACTAGTTCATCATATCATGGTAGGTCATATGATCCATTAGCTATAGGTGGACCCACATGATGTTTTCTTTAGATTGATTAGTTATCCTCTAATTTATCATTTATTAATTTCTTGTTGTCATAGCTTGTCACATGAGTTATGACCATTAGCAAAGAGTGTGTTATAATGTATAATTAGTCAAAGCTCAAATAAAATTATTAAATTCCACCAAAAGCTCAACTATGCCTCATGATGCTACCTTGTATGATTAGCCCACTAAATATTTTTTTGCCCTAATTAAATTTATTATTATGGAAAAACATGATGCAACATTGTATGATTAGCCCACTAAATATTTTTATTTAATTTAATTCTCAGTGGGACGTCTCTCTCTCTAGCTCTCTCAAATTGTATACTTATGAGTTACATTTTCCATTTTTCAACATAAAGCAATACCTAGCTAGGTCTAATTTCCAATTGAGAGCTTTAAAATTCTTCCCACTTGAATATAACTTCTCAAATGATTCAAAAGGTAAAGAAGATTATCATATTAAAAGATATATAAAATAAAGAAGAAAGTAAATTGTATGTTGCTTTGCTTTTGACCTCTATGGTAAAGTGATTAGAGAATCTAATTATCACTCAAATCTTCAAATCTCCATACCCTTTTTCACCCACCCACACCCACACACACACACACACAGTTGAAATTTTGCAAGGCCAATCTCATATTTGTCATAGCAAACAATGTCATATGTCATACATTTTATGCCAAAAGCTAAAGAAAAAATTTGTGAAGAAAAAAGAATAGAGGAAAGGGAGAAATAGCGTTGACCGAGTATAATTTCGTTATGTCTGGAAGTACCAAATTAACAGTTTGGATTTGGAATCAGAGAAAATTTAATTAAAACTTTGAAATTGAACTAAGTTTGTTCTAATTTCAAATTCAAGACGCCAATTCGATGTTTGCAGAATTGAAAGAAACAAGAAAATTTTGAACCAAAGCTCCGAAATTGTAAGGCCTAACTCATGCTTGTCATAGCAAATTAGTCATGATCATTGTGCTAAAAAATCAAGAGAGAGAAATTAAAAAAAGAAAAAGAGTGTCAACAACTATAGTTTGTTTAATCAAAATCATATTCTGAATTCAAGCTATCTGATTTACATCAAACCCCCAAGTCCACCAACTAGCACAAAATTTGTTTTAACTCCCTAATAAGATCCGCCATAACTATTTACACTCCAAGTAGAGAAAATAAAAATTAAGAAAGAGAATTTCTTCGTCGTCGTTGTCGTCGCCGCCGCCGTAGCCGCCGTAGAATTCATTCATGCCAGCAAAGGAGCATGACCACGCATCTCCTTATTATGTAGAGCCTAGCTCTTTGCTCTCTAAGGACTCCTCCTAGTCCTCTGCTTGAAATCCTTCTCTTGTTTCCTCCAATATTGTTGCTGCTCATCATCTTCATCTCTATTTTCCTCTCTCTTTGAATGACAAATTCTTGGGAGAGAAAGTGAGAGAAAATGTATTGAGTTTCACCTAGTGAATGTGTGAATCTGTTTGAATTGAATGCTGAGGAGGCAAGAGGTGAAGGGTACTTATAGAGGGTTGGATGATGTGGTCCTGGCTTGCATTGGTCTAGTAAAGAGCCAACTATGGGGGCATCAAAGGTAGTGCAGTGCCCCCTATCTCATAAGACAACACCTTGTGGGTCCCATCCCCACTTGGTATCCATACCCTACGTCAAGGAAAAAATCATAATATAATCCAAACAATCCCTTATCTCACTCTCTCTCTATATACACCTCCATTTCTCTCTCTTTCTATATATGTATATGTGTACGTATAGCTTTCATTTGTATGCCATTTTTTACATCCTAAATTGTGTAGGCATAAGCATCACCCACCAACATAATGCAACATAATGGGTCGGCCATTACCTCAATTAGGTAGCATATTTCTATAGTTTATGACCTGCCTTCAGCTTCTTGATGATGAGATGATAATTTGGGTTATGAAACCCTTTTTCTTTTCTTTGAATATTGATTTTGGATATCAATTTCTCTGTTTTTTGTTGGATCCACATAACCATGCATTAGGAGGGTTTAGTTGATTCCTACTTAACAATGCACATCTTAACTACCTTTATAAAGTTCATAAGCAGCTACAATGGGCTGAGCTCATATCATCTTTATTTTTACTAATAAATATGAATATCTATAGCCTCTCCTACATAAGGACATGAGTGTAAGTTTACGCTTTAAGGTCATTAGGATTGCAAATGATCTGAATCGATTTGAATCGAATCCAGCTTGAGTCTGTTCAGACTCAGCTCACTCGTTTGTGGGCTCAACTTGAATTCGTGACAAGTTCAAAAAATTAAGCTTCAATTTGACTCGTTTAATAAAAATAATAATTCGGGCTCAGTTTGAGCTCGTGTTCAAGATCATCGCATGCGATCTTATATAAGCCTATGCTTGTGAAAATTTTCATAAGCGTATATTCATTTACAAATTTATATTCATTTACAAATTCATAAACCTATACAAGCATAAACTTATGAACATGTTCATGAGCCTATATGAGTTCATGTTCACGAACATTTACAAATTTACTAAACAAGCCCAGAAATCAAGTTCGAGCTTGACTTGTTTGCTTAACGAGTGGCCTCTTGAGAACTAAAACTCCCCCAACTTGGGCTTGAAAGGGTTTCTATGCTTCCTTGCTAAAGGAAAATCAAAATAACAGTCAAAACCTCACGTGAATTCCCAATTCCTGTGCCAAAGTACAATTTAACAACAAAGAGCCAGAGAAAATTAATACTGAAATTCACCGCTATGACCAAGATTCCATTACTATAAAGTTACAATTACAAGATTAAAAAATAAATTAATAATACAAGAGCTAGCCCAAAACCCAATAAGTGTGATCAAAGACAAAGCAATGCACAACTTGCTTAGTCTCGTGTTCCTCCCAGTTCACTTAGGATGCCAACTTCCATTAACACAAACCCTAATAAACAATTTTCTTCTTCTCCCTCTTTTTGAACAATCTGAAGCTCTTAATTTTTGTTATAATAATAATAATAATAAAAGCTGTTCATTTCGATCGATAGAGTAGCTCACGGTCTTTTGTTTCTTCCTCCAGCTATTTAGCTACGTGTGTTCTCGTTAATGAGGCAGATTAGTATATATTAAACCTAATTACCACAGGAATTATTTGTACACAATGACCATCCTCGTACTTAAATATGTATATTCACCAAACAGGTAAAAGTCTACAGAAATATGGGTAAAATGCAATATATACAGGATTAATTAAACTTCGAGTCATCGAGTGATTGAATTGAGGTCTGAATGATGGAGGAGTAAGTTCAACATGTCCATGCATGCTCAGAGTGATGGTATAATAACATGCATTAGAAGAAAAATAAAATAAAATAAAATATCGCGTATCACCAATGCATACATGTACATGAAAGATTGTTTTATATTTATCTGTACTTTGTAATGGCCAGAATGCATAAAATATACAACTATGCATATATAACTACATGTGTGTGTGTGTGTGTATTATGGAGTGTGAAACACCCAAAGCTTTGGGAACCTAACTAGATTAAAGGAGACAACAGTGATTAAATTAAACTCTGAAATGCACTATAATTTAAGTGTTCCAGGCTAAGTTTGAGGTGTCCCATGCCTGAGTTTGTTGCACGGATTATATCTAAAAATATGGCCTGGTTGTACCGGACAAGGAGGTCGAGGTTGCACGTGAAGGTCTCGTGATCGACACGGGGCTACTGCTTGCATTATACTCGATATTATCTAATATATATCACATATTTCTAAGGTTTGAATCATGTAGTTTAATATTAACTCCATCACTATACATGTTCTTGCTGCTTATACACTAAGAAACTTCCATCCCACATGTTCTGCTACTGTCAGTGAATGGTAGGCTTGATTATACGGCATTACAGTTGTCTAATTCATACAGTTGTTTTCCTTCCCACAGATTTGAATCTAAAACGTACAACATTGATATTTTGAATTATTAGCGGTCGAAGTTTGAATTGTACAGTTAATTAAAGTATTTTAGCTATTCAATTATTTCGTTCGTACAAAAGATTCCAAAGTACATTTCTACGTAATACTGGTTGATTTCCTTCTATTCTTAGGCATCATTTGATTCCATCAAATTAAGTGGTTATGATGGCTGCACAAAATATACACAAAAATTTAAAGAAAAAAAATATGTATATATACCATCTTCATTCCTCTTTGGGGATCCACCTGCTCCACCATAAGCTCTTCCTACGCCGATTAAGCTCATCCACGCTCTCGTTCACTGTTTTTATAATCTTCCTCTGAAGGCGAAGAACTGATGCAAGAACATTCCTCTGTGGACTCGCCTTCTTCTTAGGTTGTATTTCCTGCATGGGGGAAAAAGATGATGAGAACTCTTTCTACAAAGATTTTTGTAATGAATTAAATTCAGATTATAGTTAGATACAGACTCTGAGCTCCTGAAGTTGTGCTTCGGTGAAGCCACCATCTTTTTTTGTTCCTGATTTTGCCATTAGCCGAGTAATCCATTTGGCAGCTTCCCCATAATCCTGTTGTGTAGCACGAAAGAGTTGCATCCTTAACTTCTGCATGACTGACAAAGCCAATAGGCCTTCCCTATCGAAGTAAGGGTGAGCTAAAGCTGTTTTTGCACTAATTCTTTGTCGTGCTCTGTACCGAACCATTGATGTCAGAAGTTCCCATCCTATCCCATCGTCTAAATCTAATAACTCAAAGCCCCTCCGGAGTTCATTGCTGGCACGAGGCTCAACAGTCTTCCTCCATGCAACCAAATCATAGCCGCATCTCTTTAGCTGACGGTTGAATTGTATGAGACTACTGTCGGTACGTAATCCTGGGAATGCCTGTAAGGGAGAACACTGTCAGAATGTTGTAGAAACCTAATTGTACAAGCCAAAATTACGAGTAAAGCAAAAAAGAACAAAATTTAAAGCCAACATATATATGTTAAAAGATATCACACATGATCTTAGCCAAATGTGATATATCTGTTCTGCTTTTACAAGAGCAGTTTGAAGGCTAAATTCTGACAAATTTACATCTATCAGGCTTTCGAATTTCAATGAAATTTCAAAATATTGACATCTCATTTGTTTCAAGTATTTCAATCAGTACTTTGATTTTTCCATAAATAAATATCCAATTTTAAACAGAACAGGGCTTTTGGAATTTAAGGATTCCGTCTTAAGTTGTCCCAGACTGTCAGGTATGCACACATTTTGGAGGACAATAATCAGAATTGAAACCTTGGAATTTGGGGCATGGATTGAACTACCTTAAACTTCCTGAATTGAACCCACTTGTGAGTGTTTGAACTTATGTCTTTGCACAATTCTAAAATATTATTCTTTTTTGGCTCCTGGAGATTTTCGTAAATTAAATCCATCTGTAAATTCTAAAAGAAAAAATTAAACCCAAGTACAAATTCAAATTGCTGCATTTTGGAATTAGTGTCCATTAATCACCCCAGATCAGCTAAAAGGTGTTACTACCTAATTTGTTAGATGATTGTTTTGAAATAATAGTTCTAAAAGATTTATTATCAGGAGTCACAGAAATTGGCCTTGTCATGTCTAACTTTCCAAATTATGTCTCTTCTTCAAGTATTACAAGAAATATTCTAAAATAAGTCAACTAAATAAATGAAATAGTCATACAACTAGTAAGCAGTATTTATTTCTCACCATTTGTAGGAATATGAGGCCAGTGCTGTAGATATCAAATCTATCTGGTAGATTCATCTGTTCAACGATTATATCATCACAACCATGGAAAAAGAGGTTAATTGTCTTATTAGTCGACTGATTGATAATTAAGCTATTACAGTTCATATTTGATTTGGCACCTGCCATAGAACTGGGGAAAGTGCTGCTGCCACTGGAGCCGAGGGTGCGGAGGGAGTTTGTGTGCTCATAATGTATTGCTCAGGTGCAGCATATCTGAACAGGAAAGGACCAAAAGGTCATGAATATTATATGAGCAGCAGGATGCCATCAAACCAAGTAGAATAATACTACATGTTCTATTGAATCTCAGATGAGAAAAACAGGTACAAGTTGTGTGGTAGAGTTTGTAGCAAATTGAGTAGATATCGGTCATATGGTTAGCATGACCTAGTTCTAAATGAATTTCAGTGCATCAAAAGTGGTAAGTCTCTTGGTAGTCCAAGTACCAATACAGATTTGAGAATGAAGAATTATCACAGGTTAGGGAGGGTTTATGGCAGTGTGAAGGCCACCCCAATCATGCAGTGCACTCCATAACCACAAAAATTAGTTCAACCTGGTCATGAAAGACATCTAAGCTGGAATTTGTTGTGGAGGATTAGTTTATGTACGTATTTCAATCAGCATGCATGGACCTATACATGAATTTTTTGTTTTGTTAATATATACTTTCTGATTTTTCTTTTTTGTATTATATACCTATATAATTTTAAAATTGCCCCCACTGAAATTACAAAAAAAAACACTCCACTATTGCCCCTACAACAATTTTTTATCTTCTTCTTGTTAGAGGCTGCCCCCTCTTACATAATTTTCTAGGTCCGTTCCTGCCAATCAGTCATTAATCAAAAGTTAATGTAAGGCCAAATGTTCGGCCTGTCATACTGTATGTTATTGGCCTGCAAGAATGGGGAAAAAATGTATCCCAGTCCCTCCACGAACAGTGCATTTCTATATTACTTTTCTCAAAGCAATCTTCTTTTCTATATGTTTCATATTTCAGGACAAGGACATTTGAAATCTTGACCATAAATTAAGCAAAAAGCTAAATATATATGCCACTTCACAGAAAACTTCTAATCTTTTCAAATCCTCCTGATAATTTATGAGTTGAATTATAGGGTTAGTAATTGTGTCCATTCAAAAACGGAGGTAGCTCAGGATGATTACATTGGGAAAAACAACAGAGGCACCATCAGACCACTCCATCCACTCCACCAGAAAAAAGATAAAAAGGGGTACACAATAATTGTTTATACAGCTCATAAGATAAAGACTTGGATAACATGAAGCACAGGTTTTGTAACAAGCATGCAACCAAAAGCAGTTTCTTCACCTCACACTAACCGGCTACCAATGTCACATCATGGAAAAGAAAATACCTTGGATCTAAAAGAAACTCCTTTGGGATGTAGTTGATGCCTACTCGCAAATCAGCTGCAGCTCCAAGATCAATGATCTTGAACGTGCGAGACCCTGATTAAGATTTAATTGGCAATAGTTAAATACTTACTCTTAAAAAAATGTGGGAATTAGCTGTTTCTATATCTAACACTAAACATGCTGCAATTACCTTCAGAGAAAATAACATTCTGTGGTTTAATGTCTCTATGAACAATCCCTGTTGAGTGAAGACCATCCAGTGCGAATAACAGTTGTCTCATGACTGTCTGAATGATTCTATTTTCCCTTCCCAATCCCTTCGGCAGGTCCTGGACCTCTCCAAGAATCATTGCTTCTACCTGATTTTGGAATTTTGAAAGCTAAAGTAAGTTTTTTTATGAAGAATTTAAATCAGAAACCTTCAATAGTCAAGCTGAATAAAAGAGCAGTAAAAAATACGAGTAGACACTTAATGCAATCCATAGGCAATGGAGTCATACACAAGGTGTTGGAAATCATATCCATAAGTTGACTCAATGATTGTGGTAGATTTATTGGGTCTTCAATATAGGATAATATTTAGGGATTTTATTTTTATTCTGATTTGATTTTATTCTCTTTCCATATTTGTAATTTTCCTCTTATATATAATGATAGTCAGGCTCTCAAATTGAGTACGCCAATTTTACCAAGTTACTTTTTGGTATCAGAGCCTCAAACCTACGCCTCCCCCCTCTCTCTCTTTCACCGCCTCTTTTAATCTCTTTCTCTATCTCGTCACAGCCCCTTCCCTATTTCTTTTTTTCCTTTTCTTCACAGACTCTCTCTCTTTTTTAGGCCGCTGTTGCAACAGTCCTAGGGAGAGCCAATCTCCTCTAGGTTCAACCCCTGTAGGGATATTCCCTTAGTCTTTTTCATGCACCAAGGGTCAGAAGACGTGTTTGTAATTTTTTGGGGCTGCCAGGATATTCGGCAGCATTTTCGGATCAGACCGCCGTGTCTCCGACTTCTTGGTTTGATCAAAATCAGGTTTATTCCTCCTTTATTTGAAATTATTGGTAATCTGTTAAATTGTTCTATTTAATATTATGACTGAATCAAGTAATAATAAAGAAACTCTCTTTTCGGCGCAACACACACCGGCTCAACGAGTTACTAGTATGCTGTTGAATGGCCGTAATTTTGAATCCTGGGCTCGTTCCCTCCACCTCTATGTTGGTGGAAAAGGCAAATCAAGGTGGATTTTGGGTACTGAAAAGATGCCAGATATTAAAGATCCTAAATATGCTCAGTGGGATATGGACAATTGCACCATTTTAGGATGGATGTTTAATTCTATGTAGGAACGCATTTATAATATATTCATGTTTTATGACTCTGTTAATGACTTGTGAACTGCTTTGAATCAAATGTATGCTCATTCTACAAATAATGCTCGTATTTTTTAATTATACCAAGATATTGCTAAGGCCTCGTAGGAAGGCCTGAATTTGTCTGTAACTGATTATTTTGGGTATTTGAGATCTCGCTGGGAGGAACTAGCTCAATATGAGCCTCTCAGTGAATTTCCTTCCGAGGCAGCCTCTCTTCTTGTCAAACGTCTTGATCGTCAGCATACCTATCAGTTTTTTATGGGATTACGCCCAGAATTTGAACCACTAAAGTCTCAGATCTTGAATGCATCACCAATGCCATCTTTGTTGGAAGCCTTTGCTACTGTTAATGGTGAAGCACGCAGGCATCGTTTAATTCAGCCCTCACTTGTTCCTCTACCAGTGTCTGAGCCTGCTGGGGATAGTATGGCTTTTGCAGCCAACTTTGGATCACAAGCTTCTGGAGGTCAGATTATTTGTCACCATTGTGGAAGGGTTGGACATGTTAAGGCTCGTTGCTTCAAACTTCATCCTGAATTGAAGCAAAAATTTTCTAGGAACCGTTTATCTGGAACTGGTTCTTCTCGTACTGCGACTGTTACAGAAACTCCTATTACTACTGGTGGATCTACTGTATTTCCTGGACTAAGCCAGCTTCAGTCTCAGATTGGGCAGATCCAGGACTAGCTTGGCTCCCTTACTTCTAGAGTTAGAGCTCCTTCAGCTGCTCCCACTGCCACTATTGCTACTGGTACTCCTACTGCATTTTATGTTAAGGTCAAGCAGCCCACTTGGGTTCTGGATTCTGGGGCTAATGATCACATGACTGGTGAGTTATCAGTTTTTTCTTCTAATGTCATACCTATTACCCAATCTGTGTATCTTGCGGATTGCTCTACATCTTACATTCACAGTAAAAGTGATGTTTGTCTATCTCCTGATATTACTCTTTCATCTGTCCTTCATGTACCTAAACTTGCCTTTAACCTTTTATCTGTTAGCCGGCTTGCAAAAAACCTCCAATGTGCAATTATAGTCTTACCAGATCACTGTTTGTTGCAGGACCTTTGTTCGAAGAGGATTTTTGGCAAGGGTTATGAGCGTGATGGGCTTTACTACTTTGGGGAACCACCAGGAACGAGTCTTCAAGCTTCTGTCCTACCTATTTCTAGTGTTTATGATGTTTTTTTTCGCACCTTTAGTCTGTGGCATACACGTTTGGGGCATGTAAACTTTCAGTATCTATGTCTATTGTTTCCTTCATTAAATAAAGCATGTAAGGACTATAAGTTTCAATGTGAAGTTTGTGAGCTTTCTAAACATACTAGAACTAGCTATATTTCTCATATGAGTCGTGCTCCTATTATGTTTGATCTTATTCATTCTGATATCTGGGGCCCTTCCCCAGTTACTACTTTCTCTGGACATCGATATTATGTGACATTTATTGATGATTATTCTCGTTGTACTTGGGTTTATTTATTGAAAAAGAAATCTGATGTGTTTCTTTTATTTACCCAGTTTCTTCAAATGATCAAAACCCAGTATAACACTGTTGTCCGTAATATTCGTTCTGATAATGGACGAGAATATGTTTCGAATGAGTTTCGGACTGAACTTAATAAAAAGGAGATTTTACATCAACTCACTTGCCCCTACACTCCTGAGCAAAATGGCGTGGCTGAACAAAAAAACCGTCATCTTATGTCTGTGGTCCGATGTCTTCTGAGTGGTATGCATGTGCCTAAATTCTATTGGCACATGGCTGTTCTTACAGCTGTTTTTCTGATTAATCGTACTCCCAGTCGAGTTTTGGGTGGTAAGGCCCCACTCAGATTCTCTAGCCTGATTATACATTGTTTCACCTTCTGCCTCGTGTTTTCGGCTGTACTTGTTTTGTTCATAACCGTAGTCCTTCTTGTCATAAACTTGATGATAAATCTACTAGATGTATTTTCTTGGGGTATTCTGCTATGTCAAAGGGCTATCGTTGTTATAATCCTATGACCAAACATATGTATCATTCTCTTGATGTGACATTTCATGAAACTGTTTCTTTTTATAGTACTAATTCTGTGGTATAATATTCTCTCTCTTTTGATCTGGAGAAGGAGATTTCTCCTATTGCCCGTCCTGTTCCTCTTTTTGAAAATCACACTGTCCTGGAATCTCCTTCTCCATCCATGCAGGGTCCACCTTTGCAGGTCTACTCTCGTCGCCATCGCACTCAACCTCCCATTCCAGAATCATCTTCAGAACCAGGTCCAGGTAACTCTCCTTCTCCTATGGCTCCTACCATTCCTGAGCATACCTCCCCCGTTATCCTACCCGTGATCGTCACCCTCCTAATTGGTATGGTTTTTCTAGTAGCACTAACCACCCTATTTCCCAATATGTCTCCTATGATGGTCTTTCAGCATATAAATCATTCCTGGGCAAGATTGGGACCGTTTCTATTCCTCGATTCATGTCAAAGGCCCTCCAGGATCCCAATTGGGTGTCTTCCATGACAACAGAAATGGATGTTTTACAACATAATAATATATGGGAACTTGTTGCTTTACCTGTTGGGGAGAAAACGGTTGGCTGCAAATGGGTCTTTAATGTGAAGTACTTAGCCGATGGTTCTATTGATCGGTATAAGGCTCGGTTGGTGGCAAAAGGCTTTACTCAGATTCCGGGCAAAGACTTTACTGCTACCTTTGCTCCTGTGGCAAAGTTGACGTCTGTGCGACTGCTTATCTCCTTGTCTGCTGCCCATTCTTAGCCTCTGCATCAGTTCGATGTCAAGAATGCATTTCTTAATGGAGACTTACTTAAGACTATATATATGGATCCACCTCCTGGATTTTGGGCTAAGGGGGAGTATGCTGGGAAAGTTTGTAGGCTGCGGAAGTCTCTTTATGGTCTGAAGCAATCTCCTAGAGCTTGGTTTAGTCATTTCAGCGATGTTGTTCTATCCATGGGCTTTGTGCGCTACCACTCAGACCAAACTTGCTTTATTCGACGTCGCTCTGATGGTCGTTGCATTATGTTATTGGTATATGTGGATGATATCATTATCAGAGGTGATGATGCTTCAGGGATTGCTCAGGCGAAACTTCATCTTCAAAAGTCCTTTGATGTGAAGGACTTAGGTCTTCTTCGATATTTTCTTGGAATTGAGGTTGCTAGATCCCGTCGTGGAATTTCTTTATCTCAAAGGAAATATGTTTTGGATCTTCTTCAAGATACTGGCAGGCTTGGGTGTCGACCCGCTTCCACTCCTATGGACCCCAATTTCAAACTCTCTGTTGAGTCAGGGGAATTACTTTCAGATCCATCCGTGTATCAACGTTTAGTAGGTCGTCTTATCTACTTGACTAACACAAGGCCCGATTTGACATTTGTTGTTAGTGTGGTTAGTCAATTCATGCATGCCCCTCGCTCAACTCATATGGATGCAGTCTACCATATTTTGAGGTATCTTAAGTCGTGCCCTGGTCTAGGTCTGTTCTATGCCGCAGGAAATCAGTCTGGACTCTCATGCTTTACTGATGCAGACTATGCTGGATGAAAGACAGATAGACGTTCTACCTCTGGCTTCTGTACTTTCTATGGTAATCATCTCATATCATGGAAGAGTAAGAAGCAAGCTGTTGTCTCTAGATCCTCTGCTGAAGCTGAATACCGAGCTATGGTTCAAGGTACTTGTGAGCTCCTTTGGCTTCAATCAATTTTGGGAGAGTTGGGTCTTGTAAAGAAAGGTTCTTCAATGCTGTTTTGTGACAATAAATCAGCCATCATGCTTGCTTCCGATTCTGTTTTACATGAAAGGTCGAAACATATTGAGGTAGACATTCACTTTATTCGAGAGAAGGTTCGATCAGGTATCATTAATCCTATTTTTGTTCCCTCTTCAGAACAGACTGCAGATGTCTGTTGCACCTTCTCTTCTCCAGTCTTCCATAGTCAAGCTGGGCTTGGTTAACATATTTGCTCCACCTTGATGGGGAGCGTTGGAAATCATATCCATAAGTTGACTCAATGATTATGGCAGATTTATTGGGCCTTCAATATAGGATAGTATTTAGGGATTTTATTTTTATTCTGACTTTATTTTATTCTCTTTCCATATTTGTATTTTTCCTCTTGTATAATATGATAGTCAGGCTCTCAAATTGAGTACGCCAATTTTACCAAGTTACTTTTCAAGGTTTAGCGAGTGACTGAATGGGTACATTCGTAAAATGAAAAAAAAAAAAAAAAAAAACCTCCCTATACAAAAAAGGGCAAACTACAATGACCTCCCTTGAGGTGTGCCCTAATTGCAACTAAACCTGAGGTTTGCCATTTTTTTGCAAAGACCTCCCCTTATCAAAATTTACTGTAAATTTACTTATTTACCCTCTTTATTATATAATTAAAAATATAAAAATATCTGAAAATGTCAAATGACTCTTTTGCCCCCATATACTTTACGACCACACAATTCCTACCCTTAAGCCAAAAAAGATTGCCTACTGGATGCTCTAATACAACTGTTTATGTATATATATAAACTGCTATATATATGAATTTGTAAAGTCATATATACCTCTTTGTAAAATCCACGCACATACATATATATCTATGCATATAAATACACATAGGACTCTTATTTGTATCTTTGATTTTGGAGTAAGCTTTGGATTGGAATTAAAGCCAAAATCAAGCTGGGGGCAAGTTTCTTTATTGGCGTCCAGAGAGATTTGAGATTCGGTAAGTAACTCAGTGAAGCGGACCCATGTGTGAGGCTCTATTGATTTCAGAAGTCACAATTCCATTCAGTTGGGTTTCGGAAAACTTGCCAGTTGCGGATTAGTTCGATGACGAATATTATTGCTGCAACTGATTCTTCCAAATTTTGGGCTTCAAGGCACTGTTGAATCAGTTTACCTAATTGTGTGAATATGAAAATCATATGGCTTGATTGAATCGATTCCCTTCCTTCCAAAAGCTCCGACGAGAGCTCTGTTGAAGACCCAATCTGGCCGGAGTAACAATGAAGACCTATCTTGTCTAGAGCTCTGTTGAAGCGTCCTGACCTGGTTCAACTGACAAGCCGAATGAGTCGGGGACGGTGGTGGTATTAGTGTTGGGTTCGATTAGGGCTTTGCAATCGGTGTCGGCAATGGTGGTGGTGTTAGGTTTGATTAGGGCTCTGTAATCGGTACTGCATAGTGGTATTGTTGGTGTTGGGTTTCGATTACAATCAGTGATGGTGGTGGTGGATTGTTTGCGTCTGCATGTTGGTTTTAATATGACAGTAGTATATAAGTGAAATTATATATAGCTGACATATATATATACACATATATATATGTGTAAAATTATATAAAATCGATATATATATATATATATATAAGTGAAATTTCTCAATTTCCTTTTGAATTCTGATATTCTTACGCACCTGGGTTTTGGTTTTTTTTTTTTTCTTTCTATATTATTATTCTCTTATAATCTTGTGTTATACATGTACATGGTGATAGTGGCGACTAGTGGGTCAGTGTGGAGAGAGAGAAGGGAGGGAGAAAGAAGGATATTTTTGCCAATGTTTTTGTCATTTTATGATACTATAAGGGTAATATTGTCTTTTCAAGTTAGTTGAGGGGCATTTTAGTCACTTCAATCAATTTTCCTAGCAAAAAGTATCATTTTTTGTACGGAGGGGAGGTCTTTGCAAAATGGGCCAAACCTCAGGTTTAGTTGCAATTAAGTCAAACCTCAGGGGAGGTCATTGTAGTTTGCCCTAAAAAAAATGTGCAAGAAACACCCCTGCTAAAAATTAAGTGCATATAATCCCTCTATTATCAATCTTTTGAGCAAATGGCTCCCTTGTGATCAATTTTGACCAAATTTTTTATACAAACCCCAAAATGTCTTCACTGCTAATCTAAGCAAAGTAAAAGTCTCTCTCCCCTCTCTCTCACGTTTCTCTCTCTTCTCTTCAGCCAACCACAAAGCCAATCACCACCGGAGCAAACAATGCAACCTCCAGAATCAGTAAAACCCTAAATCCATTCCAACAACTCAACAAGCATTCACCCCCCAATGCATCTACTAACCCCATTAATATAACAGGCCCAAAAAATAAAAGTATGAAGAACCCATTAATACAACAGACCCAAAAAATAATATTAATAATAAATAAATAAATTAAAATTGGTAGGGGATTAGGGAAACTACATTATGATGAGAACAAAAGTCCTCATGACTACCTAGAACAGGGTATTGAAGTGTTGTTGCATCAGAAAATGCTGAAAATCAGAAAGAAAAACTAGAAAATTTCAACTTTATCCGATTCCAAAGCACACAAATTGCTACCTACGGAAGGAGAAATTCCAAACTAAGCAAAAGAAAGATTGGAGTTACTGGATCACCAACAAGATTCAGAAAAGCTTCCTATAGAATTAATTCGCCACGGTATTTGGGTATTGATTTCAATTTGTCCATACCATGATTGCAATGAAGAAAGAGTTGCATATAAACTAGATTTGTAAGAATTTTCTTTTACTCCGTAGATTTAATTTGAAAGAGTTAAATGTAAACCTAATCTAAAATTCATACAAAAGTAACAGAATGAAACAATTACTAAATATGATATTGTGTGTATATTATAACTACAATCCAATTACATCAACCCATTTGTATCAGGCCCACTAAATATCCCACTCACTGGTATTGTTCTATTAAAAATTGAGATTGTAGAGAATTCTTCTCTTTAATGACTTATTTGTATTATGAGATAACAGAGCTTTCCTGCTCACCACACTTCACCCATTTTCTCTCTAAACAATGGCATACAGATCATCAAAACAAATAACACCATCCCATGTTGCATTGGTGGTGTTGCAGGCGATTTGTTTGGAACCCACTGTATACAAGGACGGATGCAAGGGGGGGTTCTGGTGGGCTTGAGCGCCCCCCAAAAAATTATTATTTTTTTATTATAAGTAATTTTAGCCCAGCCCAAAAAAAAAAAAAAAAAAAAAATTAAATAAAAAATTTAGTAGTTCTAATCCACCCCAAAATATATTAGCTCACCCCAGAATATATTTCTGAATCCACCCTTGACTGTATATATGCCTTGCTGTTAAAGGTTACATGGTGACAGCTGTGCATAACTGATTAAAGCATAGAGAAATAAGAGAGCAAGAGAGAAATCCCAGGGATAGAGAGAAAAATAAGGCAGAAGAGAGAAATTTTTTGACTAGCGTTCACTACCTCCTGATGCAGCGATGCACGTGTCTGCTCATTTTCAACCAGGATTAATCCATGCATAATGCTCCCTCTAGGCAAGTTCTTAACCATGTCTAACCACACTCTAGCAAAAACTTCTTTGAGGACTCTTTATATAATTTGAAACATCTCACCATGAACTTTCAGACTGATCTCTTACAGATTCCTAGTGTGTCTATCTCATAATCTTTACAAACATACCATCACCAACCTGATGACAGTAAGCAACATACACCACTTGCTTTATCACAATTCAAAATTTCAAAATTGGTTGTACCCATATTTTTTATTCTGTAGTACAGATCTAAAGACATCCTATTATCTGTGGTTATTATGAAATAAAAGTTTCATAGATTCTATGATTAACACAACCAGATACCTTATATATCTGACAACTCATATCCATATCATAAGACTATAACAGTACAACATAACTTGTCTCAAGCACATTGAGATTCAAATTGTTTAGCTACTACAGAGACTGCAGCAAGAAAGGGTTAGAGTATTTTTAGCCAAGTATACAATGTGCTTCCCTTTGTTTATTTGAAAACCAAGAATTATATTTATGTTGCGTTTGGGAGCACCAAATCAGTGCTTTGGATTTGAGATTGGAGGAAATTTAGTACAAACTTTCAACTAAAATTTCTCCAATCCCAAATCCAAGCCGCCAATTCGGTGCTCCCAAACATAGCATTAAAGTAAAATGCTAGTTCAATTGTAATGAATGCCAGTACCTAACGTAAGAAGTGGAATATTCAGACAAGACATGAATAACAAAATTATCCAATTGTACACATATGCAAAATGGTTTGAATTAAATATTATGAAAATTTAGTAGACAAGTACTCCACCCTTCACTGTGTCCAATAGGGGATAAGGAAGGAAAACTATACAAAGAAATAGGAAAGATCAATAACATTGATAACAAAGGGAATGTCTAGAAAATATTGTAGCAGGGTATATTCAATAATGATATTGCTAAAATTCCGAAGTATAGATAAAAAAATATATATTTGATAGTTTAATGATTTCAGAAGATGGGCGAGAGTGCAAACATTATAGGGGAATTCTTTACTCAGCATCAAATCTGAAAGCGTGGCTTCCCCTTCAAATCGCCATATAAGCCAATATTCATTTCTTTTCTTTGAGGAACTCTGGCATTGATTTAGGAAAGTAATTAAAATCAGTTAAGGAGATTAAAAAAAAAATGTTAATAATTTGAGATCTAGAATCTAATGACTAAATGTCTTGAATAATGGTTCTCCTAATTAAAACGGAAAATACTAAAAGACACAAGAGAGCAACACCTCAAGAAAGCCGTACACAAAATCAGCACAGCTATTTGCACAAGCTCTTCGCACGCGCTCATTCATCCATATCTCCACCGCACCATATTCAGTAGCCTTTTTCAAGACTAAATCACCTTCCTTTTACCAACCAACAAAAGCCATATAATACTCTATTATGGTCTATTCAAAAACAAAGTTCAAGAGGCATTAATCACTTATAAAATCATCAAGGATGAAAACCCGAACTGATAGGAAAATGATTTTCAGAACACTAAATAATCCAAACATATAATGACTGAAGAAAGCTTTTTTTTCTCCTTTTCTCAAGTAAAAGGGTCAGTCCATAATTAGTAATTACTGAAAATAGACCAAGAACAACAAAGAAAATAGAACACCTGATATTCACAGAGGAATTTTATCAAACACCTCATACCTTTGAAGAGGGCTTTTTAGCTAATTGAGCTTTATAAACCACTCCAAAAGCTCCCTCACCCAATTTCTTCCCCAACACAAAATCATCCTGCCATCACACACCAAACCCACAACAACAGCATGAATCAAAACAATAACAAATCAAAACACAACAAATGCAATAAAAACAACTTCAATTCACAAACCTTTCTATAAGATGGTCTAAATGTTCTTTCAACAAAAGCAAGAACAAACATGTCCCAAAAGCCAGGGGCCACACCAGGTGTAGCCCAGAGGTAAGACAGAGCACCCAGTGCTAAAATCACGCCGGGGACGGTGAGGGTGAGACCATTTGATTTGGGCAGTGTGCTTCTGTATATGATATCACCACACTCCATTACAGTACATGGAAGCCCAACTCCAACACCCACGAAGAGATCGCGAACGGCGTCGACTAATTCGACTCCAGCAGCGCGAACCAAGAGGGTTTTCGATCTTGAAGTGGAAATTTTAGAAATTGGTGGCGATTCAGAAAAGGGTTTGAGGAGCTTGAGCTTCTTGCCCAAGAAAGTAGATGGTGGGTTTGGGTTGAGGGCATGTAGTTTCACTCCTCCTACTCCAAACCCACCTGTGGCAACTGTTGCCATGTCTACTTGAATGGACTTTGCATCAACTGACTCTGTGTCTCAGTGAGATTTGCTTCTTCAAATCTAGGCCTCTCTCTCTCTTTCTCTCTCTAATTTTTGTTTTAATGACGGTTAGTTCAGGTATTTTTTGTGGAGGGAAAGGCTTTGACTGGATAGGCGAGTGTTATCCACAAACAAATGACACGTAGACTAATATTTTGGGTTGGGCTCACCTACAAACTAATGGATATGGGCCTCCATTTTTTTTATCTAAAAGGGTATGGGCCTAATATAGTAATTCCCTCTGTCCCAAAGTAGTTAGGTACTTTGCAATTCTCGAAGAACCCAACTATTTTGAGATAGAAGAAATATTTTTCAATATACCTAAATTTATTTTACACGCAACACAAAACATATATATAAATATGTTTCACTATTCACAATGATTTGCGACACAATCATTAGTAAAAGGTGGTAAAATGTTTTGGTTGATGTTATAGGAAAATTTTAATACAATGAAAAGGTGAAACCAAAGCCAACTAGAAACCACTACAAATTTTGTTTCCCTTCAACTAAGAAAATAAATTACCATTTGAAGTGGTACGACGGTTTATACATAAAAATAAAATAAAATAATAAAACCAAGCAATGAAATCAAATAGGGTTCTTTAAATTATAATTTTTATTTTTGGTTGACGAGCCATTCATACAGTTTCAGGGATAAAAAGAGCTTTAAGGGCTAAATCCAGGTTTCCATCCATATTGGGCCGATATAGGCCCAAACAACCATGGGTGCAAGCTGAATGGGGTGGCTTTTTCTTTTTGAAGCGCGGGCATTTTAAAATACCTAATATGATAAAAGGAAGAAGTTTATAGATGACATAATGTCAATATTCATTTACATAATGGGCCTTTATGGGTCCAAAATATTTTAATTATCAGTGCATAATAGTATGAAACAAACAACTATAGTCACATAATTTGTCTAATACTTCCTTTGGTAGGAAGAAAGAAAATTGGATAGAATATAGATAATAAGAAATGAATGAAACATTTTTAGAAATGAGATTGTGTTATTCTCTCTTTTTGTTTGGTTAGATAGAAAAGAAGATAATAAGATAATACCTTATTTTGTTTGTTATGAGAGAAAATAACAAAAAGTGATAATTATAAGGAAAATTTTGTAGTTTAAATTTTTTTTATAATAAGTCTTATAGCATCTCCAACAATATGTTAAAATACTCTTTTGTGTAAAATATACTGCCACGTTTGATTTTGTAAAAAAAATTTCTGTTAAGATATACTATCACGTCACCAATGTGTAAAATTGTTGTATAGTTTATATAATTTTTTTACATAATCACAACATATTTCATTTTTTCCTTCCTTTTTTTCGTTTCATTAACGAATCAACCCGAAATTAAGTAGGCTTGTAAAAATGTAGGGTTGACGCATGACAATGGTTGGTTGTTATTGGGAATATATTTTTACAAAAAAAATGTATAAAACAAGCTAAAAATAAATAATTCAAAATTTTTGTGTAAATTTATTATGACACATCAAATTTTTATATATATATATATATATATATATATATATATATATATATATATATATATCGCACCCTCTGTACATAATTAAAAAAATAAAAATTTATGAAAGAAGAAAGTCTCCTTGCCAAACAAAAATAATTTGTTTCTTCCTTCCACCCCCTCTTCTTTCCTTCCTCCGCGTGTATGACTTGGGAGGGACTTGAAATTTTGAGACAAGAATGCTTGCCAGTATGCCATGATTTGTTTGTTTTATATATATATAACTATTTCATACATTTACTCAATAAAAGAAATGATAAATAAATACGAAGTACCTGACTATTCGTAAAAAGTCTCCTAAAAAAAAAAAAAAAAAAAAAGAGAAGTCAATAAAAATAATATATTAAGTAGAATAAGTATATATTAGTCGATGAATGGCTTTTTTTTCTTGTTGGGTATCAACTGCTATCCACTGAAAATTATTATGCACGGACAATATGTACAATACATGGGGGCCAACCGTGGAGGTCAAGTGGCTCATATGGCCCACAAAGAAGGACTTCACGCCAGGTGGAGGTCATGGTAATGACTTGGAACCATCTTATTAGCGTCACTTCTTTGTCGTGGCACAAGGGAATAGACCGTCGAACTAACACTTAAAATGTTTTTAGCAAGCCACTAACAATCTCTTTTAGATCAGCTTCTCTATTATTAATATCAACCTCCATCTATTTTAATCTTCCATTTTTCAATTAGTACACATAAATTATTTTAGTTCTATGAGATTTTATATAACTACTAAGTATCTCTAATACGGGGTAAGAGTGACAATTATAGTTAACGAATCGTATTAATGTTATGAAAGTGGAGTCACTGTATTTCTGGGAATACATGTCTGTCTTGGTTAGTCCTACTCATTATAATATATATATATAGTTATTATTATTATTTTTTACATATATATGAAAATTTGTTTACAATGCCCCTAAAACTATTAGTTTTCAAAATTTTTTCAACTTTTTATTTTTTTTATTTTTTTTTTTACCCTTCCTTTACTTTTTAATTTCCTTTTAAAAAAATTAAATTTCACTTCTTCAATCATGCTCTAATTCACAAGTACCATATTACCCGAGTAGTTGGGTTACTCCCCGTGTTTGGGAGCCAACCCTCCAACCACTAACTCCTCACATCTTGCCATGAAAAAAGAAATTATTCTCTAATTCTTTTCCTTTCAAAGTTCTATCATTTTTCTTTTTCTTCTTTGTTTTTTCCCTCTACTTTTTTTTTTAAAAAAAATTATTTGTTGCATTATGCTCCCATGAATTAAAATACTGCCTCTGCCCCTACGTGTTGTGTCAAGACATGGATTTTTGTTAAATGGGTCGGCACGAATACAGTACTATTATTATTCGTATAAAGAAAACTTGATACAAATATGACATGATTATTATACGGGTAACACGATAGACTTGCGTAACCCATTTAATAAATGGGTCATGACTTGCCACAACACAAAAAGACACGTTTAAATCATTTCCATACAAGAATATGACACATTTATCCAACTCGTTTAGTTAAATGGGTCATTTTTTACATGAACACAACAAGTTTTTCTTACATGATCACAATTAACCCAAACCCAAACCCAAACCCAAACCCAAACCTACTTGTTTTGTTTGAATCGTGCTAACATATCATGTCAAATATTGTTACCCCTACATGGGGGAGTTCTAGGGTACTATTGGATTGCCTACATGCGTTGATTGTGACATCTTATATTATATGAGGAAGAGGTTGTTGGCATTGATATGTATAATCACCTCTTAATTGTGTAAATGTATTTTAAAATCGTAAGTACAATGAAGAGGGTATGTGATATTAGAGCAAGTTTCCAAGTTGAGAGAGAGAGAGAGAGAGAGCCAGCGCGCACAAGCCTATATGTGGGGTACCCATTAATTGTGTAAATATATTTTAAAAATTGTGAGTACAGAAAAAGTGTGGAAAGCAGTGACTTGTGACAAAGTAGTAAGAGAATCAACATTTACATGGGTCTTTATATTACTAAATATTGAAATTCATATAAAATAAAGATGAGAATGAAGTTGATAATCAGAGCTCTGTGTAAGAATGAATGAAGTTTGTGGCCAATTTAAAAGATAGAATAATATATTTTTATTTTATTTTATTTTCACTTTTTCCTTTCTTTTTTTTTCTTTTTTTTTTTTCTTCTGTGATGACTTGGAATAAAACAACCACTTTTCATTAAATAATCCACCCGGTATTAGCATGTTGGTTTCTAGTCTCCCTCACCACTCCAAACACACGTCTACATCAAATGTTAGGAAAATGAATTTAAAGTCCAACACGACTTCTCTAAGCATCGGTGGATAGTTTATTTCTAGGATGTGGTGTAATCACAGATATATAAATAATATGTAATTATAATATTTAAAAAGTAATAAAAAATAACAATAATTTTTTTAAAAATAAATTTAGTCACCTTTTTTGATTTTATTATTTATAATTTTATAATTACAAATTATTTTTATATTTGTAATTAGACCGCATTAATAAAGAAATAAAAATTTTTAATCGTTTTAAATCAGTAAATGCAAGCTAAATATTAAAAATAAAATTGTCCACATTATTAAAATACACACTTATATACTAATAAAACTTGAAAAATGATTCTCTGGTATATTATACAAGTGAAATGCCTTATCTAGATGGCCAATCAAAATTTATAAATCAAATAATTCACTTTAAAAAATCAGTCAAATTACTTTGGATAAATAAATATAATTAAAAATGTGCCCCTATTTGAATGCGGACCAATTACCATCGAATACACACTATTAAACAAACTCATAAAATGTAAATACAAAATTACATATATTTTTTTAATACAAAATTACAGAAATTAATCAAACAAAATGAATTTGATCAAATTATACAAAAAGGCCTTAAAATCCTCCCACCAACAAAAGTAAAGCACACTTTAGCTAAGCAAAATCTTTTCAAATCCAACCACTGCCAAAAACTGTACTATTTACTTATTATTACATCAAGGCACCAACCATCCTCACCACCGGTCCTCCTCCACCACACCACCACCACCACCACCACCTCACCATAACCGCCGGCGACACCACTGCACCACATAAAATTTTTTCCAATCCCCAAAATACCCCTTCTCCCACGTCAAAATTTTTGTCCCCCACAGTTTTGTCCTCTTTCGTCTTTTCACAGCAGACACGGTTCCTCTTTTCTTCTCCGGCGAATCAACTGTCTGAAAACAACGACGCGTGACGGAACAGATCGTACGGTGCCCACAATCCATCCAACGGACACGGCTTCTTTGAATCCAATCTCAGCCATGGCTTCCCCTTCCCGCTCCAATGTAGCAGACTCACCGGACCCGGATGCAGATCTCTACACAACCCTTCAAGATTGTCCCCACCGAGCCCGTGTTGGTTCCATCGGTGCTCAACCCTCTCCACATTTCCGGCGAACACTAGCAGAAACGGCGGCAACGAACCCAATTCATATATTCTGTATCTCTTCTGAATCCTCATCCAATTCTCGAGCTTATCGGTGTACCTACCTTCCCTCCATTTCTCTACATCGATCACCATCACTCCGGTGTTGAAATAGCACGGATTCCGATCTCTGAAAGCGGTTTTGAACAATGGGTTGGTCCAGAATTTGTGATTGAAGTAATGGGTGAAATTGGCGTGGCAATATTCGGGTGCGCCGAGGACGTGGGAGTTGAGATTGATGCTCCAGAGCTTGGAGACGTCGTCGACGACGATGAGGTCGGAGTCGAAGTAGATGATACGGTTGACGGAGGAGGGGAGGAGCTCGGCGAGGTATATGCGGGCGTAGTTGAGGGGTTGGTCGAGCGCGCGGCGGATGGAGGCGGAGATCTTGCCGTGGACGAGGTTGGTGTCGAAGTGGTAGAGGCGGAAGGTTAGGTAAGGGAAGGTTGTGAGGATGGTGCGGCGGAGGTCGGCGCGGCGGTGTGCGGCGAGGAAGTGGAAGACAATGTTCTCCGGGCAGGTGGCGTGTTGGAGGACGGAGAAGACTCCGGCGATGGAGCCTCGGAGGTAGGTGGCGTCGAGGGTCATGGCTATGTGGATGGTCGACGATAATGGGTTATTGTTGTTGGTGGCGGTGGAGGGTTGGGAAGGGCACCATGTCGTTTTGGAGCATTCTCTGCCGTTTCGGAATGCAGGGGCCTCTCGGAACACCGGGAGATCCCCGCCAGTGGCGGACGCTATGAGGAGGAGGAGGGTGGTGGTAATGAGGTGGCGGAGGTTGGATGTCATTGTGGTGTGTGTGTGACGTGTAGTGTACTAGTGTGTGTGTGTGTGGAAATGTTGAGATAGGAGGGGACTAGTACTGGACCGGTGGCGAGACTAAAGAGGAAAGGGATTTAGAGAGGGAGGGTATATTTGGTATTTCAGAGTTTTATGTTGGGGTATGAGTTGGGCCTACTTATTGGGATTGATTGAGATGAGACATACAGCTAGCGGGGGGAATAAACGTTGGGAGGAGCCAGCCTGGAAAAAGCCGCGTTTTTTATTTTTTTATTATTTTTTAAGTCAGTGATATTATTATTATTATTATTATTTGAAATTCGGGTTTAAATCCTGTGGTGTTGGTTGCACCCACAGCTTTGTGGAACCGTACACTTTATGTCGTACATGAATTTGTCATCTTGTGTTCGCACCCGCCCACGCAATCTAGCTAGATACAGTAGATGCTATTTTTCATTTATCACGGGAGTTTTAATATTTACCGTATTTATAATATTATAAAAATCAATATATATAGAGATCATATAATGTTCACACAGAACCACGTGTATCTTGAAGCGGAAATCAGTACGACCTGTGATGATATTATTTTTTTCTACAAAGAAAAGAGAAGAAGATCGATGTAGGTATGTGTTGGCTCATTTCTGTTCAGTTGGCAAGAGTTTGTGCTTTTGTTGATGGTATTAGGAGATTTTTACATTTTGAATTTGAATCTGTTATTAGTAACTGATATCAAACTGGTCAAATATAATTGGACTTTCTTATCTGGTCAGTTGAGCGATTCTATCTCAATTCTCCTTTTCAGTATAGGTAAATGATTGAAAAAATTAGGGTTCTTCCACTAAGATAGGTAAAAAATATAATGGTTTTATGTGTATTGTGAAAGCAATGTATAGATAATGGTTATTTATAAACAATAATGTAAAAATCTGGTTTAAAAAAAATATAGAAATTGAATTTGGATGTAAAATTATGATGCGTTTATTTAAATAATGGTTATTGATGTTGTGAACATAAAAATAAATTGATTCAGATTGAGCCGAACCAGAGCATGAAATGTTAACTCAAATAAAAAATCTTCTCGTGATAATAAAAAGGATGCTACTTTATGGTTCCCATTGTAAAGTGACAAATTGCCCACTTTAGAAAAACATGTGATTGGATTGAGATTCCTATGATGAATGTCCTTATTCTAAAACTTTAAAGAAGCAGATCAAACCTTATTGTGTGACACACGGGTCAAAAACAATGTGGTTTGGATTTTGTAGAATGGTCCAGTGCGACAAGGCACATGTGAAATGGAGGAGTATAGGAGAATCCAACCCTAGATTCCATCTTCAGTCTGCACAATCTAATCTTTGAAGTGGGTCCACTGTGTTTGTTTTACTCTTATCTTGTCCGATGATCAAAGTCCTTTCCGGTCACATTCTCCTTCCATTAAATTGATCAAAATCTTTAAACAAACAATCTTTGCTATTTAGGTTATTTTAATGGTTGAATTTCGCTATTATTTGTTTAAAGTTGAATTTCCAGAAGACCTTAAACTTTTGAGTTGACAACCCACTCATAAACACGAAACTCTATACTCATGTCTTTATGTGATAAATAAAAAATTTAATAATCTGATTACGATTCAAATTGGATAATTTGACCCATTAACAAATTGGATATGAATTTATGCCAATCTGATTCATTAATAATTTGATCTGATTAAATATATATAATAATATTTTATATTACATATATACCGTACTCCTATCAAATTTATATTAGATGTAATAAAAATAATAATTATTATTATTATAATGTTATATGTACAACAGTGTGATGTTCTCACCCACATATTAATAAATTTGTTAATATACATATTAATAATATCATAATATTTATTCATTAACAAAGAGTAAATGATATTTTTTTTTTTATTCTTTTCCTTTCATATCTTATTTATCTTTTATTTTTTTAATCATTGATTTTTATTCACTTTTGACATTAATTTTTTTTCTTATTTATTTATTTTTTATAAAAAAATTTACACTTTTATTAAATTATCGAATATGAGTTTATTAACAAATTGAATATAGATTCAGTTACAAAAAAATCATTGAATTATCGAATAATATGAAATCGAGTAAATGACTTATCGAATTTGAATTCGAACCTAATCAGATTCGATTCGAAATTCTAACCGTTCACGGGTCTATACCACCCAACGAAAATTTCTTAATAGGGAACCAAACACTAGGCAATGCAGGTTTTGGAGGTTTGTGAAATGTAATTTGTTATTGCCCATTTGAGTTTATAGTGGAAGAGAGTAGTGGAGACAGTCTGGCAGTATGTGGACTTGGAAGAAGGGAAAATGTTGAAATAGAGGGTGGTAGTGTCATAATTATGCTCACGGTGTCTTCCTTTACTCTCTACTATCCGCTCTCCACCACCACCCGCCCATGCCATTAATACCTCTCTCTATCTCTCTCTCTCTCTCTCTCTCACACACACACACACACACACACACACACACACAACACTTTCTCTCTCATCTCACCTGCAATTAAGCAACGTGGCGGCAATGGTCAAAAATGAATTTATAACCTCTTGTCTAATCGTCATAAATTGTTGTTGTAAAAATTAAATTGAGTGATGGTAGCCAGCTGAATCAGTTTCGCAGCTGACAGGAGAGAAGGTAACTTGGCTGACCAAGTGTACAAGACTACAAAACCCACTGAGGAACAATGTTCTAATACGTGCTAGTGATATTAGGTATGGGCTCAGCCCACAAAACTTTGATCAAAGCCCAAGTGGTTTGGATTTATAATGGCCCAGGTTGGGTCCAATTTTATCTGTAGCGATGAAGGCTTAATCGATTCATCATCTGCTTCTTCCATTTATTTATTTTTGTCTATTAAACATAACTGCTAACATGGTTAGTTGAAGCTTTTTGTCTATTTAGCACAACTGTTAACATGGTTTGTTGAAACTTTTTGTCTATTTAGTTTTATATACATTAAATAGATTAACTTTTTTGTCTATTTAGCATAACTTAAGTCACATAAAGTAGAAGGGGGAGCGAGAGCGAATTCGAAAACGGGAGCGTGAGAGTAACAGAATTAAGTCATAAGCAATAAGAATTTAAACGAAATCGCATACGAAACGTGAGAACGGGAGCGCGTTCGAAATGTGAGAAATACAATTGTTGAGAAAGATCGTATGACTTAGAGCATAACTTGTGAATGAGTTTCATAGACGTGTGAAAACCCAAATTTGTCCCAACATGATTTCACAAATATCAAAATCACACACTTACCCTCTCCTATATAAACAGCCACTGCAAATAAAAACCATCCCTCTCACTCTTCATAGCTACCACCCAATCTAGAACACATGGAGAAGGCTTCTCTCAAGATCGTTTTCTTGGTCATCCTCGTGCTCACTGCATCTGCAGGTTAGTCGCTCTCTCTCTTTCTCGATCTCTATATATAATAAATATATATATACAGAAATGATCTCTTACTCAACCGTACTGATTGGCTCACAGGAGCAGTACCGTCATGTTCCAATAACAAGCAATGCCAGAAGAAATTGACATGCCCTACACCTCCTAGTTCTATCTGCCAGAACAAGCGCTGCGTGTGCCCTCCTGCTCATGAAGACATCAACATGCAAGTGTGACACTGAATATGTATTACTAGAAGATGAATTGTCCTCCTTTCCTAAGTTTAAAATTGTGTCAATGGCGTTTTTGCCTAGCTATGTGAGTGGGGGGATAAGAATAAAATGCATGCTATGTATGGAATAAAAGTTATTAATGAATTAAGTAATAAAAAACAAGTAGTTTTGTAAATTGCATTTTGGTTTTATTATAAGATCCAATTATGGTAATTGGACTTAATCATGCATGGCCTTAAACTATGCTATTTTGGTTTTATTATAAGTTGCATTTTGGTTTTATTAAAATTTTGAACCAATAATAGCAAAGGAATGAAAATTTTTGTTGGAGAAATGAGTTAGAAATTTTGAATTTTGAAAGTTTTTTTAAAGATTTTTTGTGAGTATTTTTCAGGAGTTCAGTGGAATGTTTTTATAATTGTTAAAATTTGTACATTAAAAATACAAATAATAAATGGCCCCACCGTGGCTCCTCCACTAGTTTTGTTGATTGGTGACTGGTGAGGAAAAGAAAAATAGTGAAAAAAAGTAGAAGGAAAAGTGATTGCACTAATATATAACTCCTGATCGATGAAATCACATTAAAAATTGTGAATTTTGTTTAGGGGTTGATATTGACACTTCATTTTTATTCTTATGAATTTCATTTTATATATTTGTATAATTATAAAATCAATTTACCCCTTATTCAAGTCAACTCTCCCAATGATGATTGAAAAATCAAATTTTCTCAAAAGTGATCAATTAGGGTTTTGTTGGGCTCTTTCCAACTCTTTTATTACATTATTATTTCTGATTTATAATTCTTAATTAACATTGCTATTTTTCTCGTGTAAAACAATAAGAACATAAAAATCGAAAACATATAGAGAAGTTAATCCAAAATTGGAGAGCCAATAACACCTCCCTTTTTATTCTAAAAAAAAAAATTTAAAAAGATAGCGAATATAAATGGAAAGAGAAATGGATTAGGTCGCTAAGAAATCATGAAGGAAATTAATGGAGATGGATCAATACACAAACATAGACAGACTGCAGTCCAAACTCCAAGGAGTCGACACAAAGACAAACATAAACAAGAAAAATAACTCCAATCCAACCGATCACATGCAACACAGAGCAAAGGAAATATCAAGGAGACCACTAAAATATGGTTAGGTCATTAATTAGTTCTGGTATAACTTCTCTTTATTTAAAGTAAAAGTGAAAGTTGCTTTTAGACTCTACTAAGTATTTTTTAGCTTGATTTGCTGTTTAATTTTTAATCTAATGAGATTAAGAAGAAGAAAATATGTATAATGTTTAGCAATAATGACACATGACTCATCACTCATTTCATCAACTTACTTTCCTCTTTTAATTTCTATATGCTTTGACAATCATAGCTTTTGACTTTATGTAAAGGGTTTGTTTAATTTCCACGTGGTGGAGCCTTGGATTATGGCTTGAAATGGTGCGTGAGGCAGGCCTTCCCTTCAGCCCGGCTCACTGTTCCCCATAAGCTTTGACAATCAAAAATTCAGCATACAATTGGAGACTTTTTGATATGTCGTATCTGCTCATGCCATGGTTCTTTGGATCGATCAATATACGGCGTATCGGTCGGTTCATAATTTTTTTTTAAGGTTCGATATCGTTACAAATTTTAATGAATTAGTCGATTTATATCGATATTCGCTCGAATTCATTACATAACAACCGTAATTAATACCGTGAATGCAAACCATGACTCATACCTATAAATCTTTATAGGCAATGTGTACATCTTGGATCATTAATCCATGCCAAAGCAATCTTGTTCATGTTATAGAGTGCAAGGTACCTTGGGAATAAGTTCTAAATGGTTGCATGGGCAATACCCAGATGGCTTGGTTGGTAAAGTGAGTCTGTCCCATATTCGGATTATCTTCCTTCTAATCTGTAGAAATAAAAAATAAAAAATTTGTGGTTTTGGACGGCCCACAAGCACAGCCTTTTGTTGGTGAGATCTTTATTTTTAAGATTGGAGGAAGGGCTGCAAATAAGTTAACCAGTCCTGGATAGTTCTGGATCAGCTATGTAAGAGCTAGCTACCACTTGTTTTGTTTGTTAACTGAGTCAACTTTGAATAAGGAAAATGCCAAAAACATCACAAAAATAATGCAAATTAGGTGGATTAATGACTTGGCTAATGATTTGACAATGTTGAGAGAATATAGAATATGATAGAGAGAACAAATATAAAAGGTAATTAACATTGAATAGAAAAGTTAATATCATTATAGAATCCAAATCCCTATATAATTCAATTTCTGTTTTGTTTGAAACCACCTTTCACTTCAAATCTGTTTTTTTCCCCCTAGTTTTCTCTTAAATCTTCATCCTTATAGAATTTAAATTCACGCCTAATTTAATAATATGAATTCAATTTTTGCTTAAATCTTCGTTGGACGCACAATCTAGCTATAATAACTATTATGATTCATAATGTTTGGGAGAAAGTGTAATACTCCCTTCATTTTAATTTAGTTGTTCATCTTTTTTTTTTTTTTTATTGTTCCAAATTACTTGTTCAATTTTAATTTTTTTCAAGGCAAGAATGTTAGATTAGAAGTTGTAGGTGCGAAGAAGGCTCGAAACTGGGCTCCCTAGGACAACAAGGATCAACCCAACCGTTGGGCTAAAGAAGATATCCGTTGTCCAATTTTAAAGTAAAAATTACTTTTTTCATATCTTTTCATAAAATACCTTCAAGGTTAAAAAAATTTCAAACTTAATTATACATACGAAATATATTCAAATTTAAAAAGGTGACTTAATAATTTTGAAAAGAGACAATGTAATAATTACACTTCTCCTTAAAAAATTCTACCCAAAAGAAACATCTAATATGGGATAGAGAGAATATCCAAAATAAATAATATTTTTGCCTTTTCATCATCATTGCATCATATTTCACGTATTTGAGATGTGTATCACTACTCTTTAAATAACATTTTTCACCTAATTAACTAAAAAGAGTTAGAGTCTGAATGAGATTTGGTTGATTGAAGGGAGCTCAAATATTGAAATGTTTTGACTCTGCTTAGTTTGGCTCTCTATCACTATCTGTAAAGTATATAGAAAACATGTAATTTTTTTTTTTTAAATTTTTTTATCACCATCTTGAAACAAACACAAGTAATCCTTTCTCTTCTCCTCCCATATCGATTCATGAATAGACTCATTAAACTAAAATCCTAATCATCTCCGAGATTGGCTAAACGAGCTTGACAAAAATAATCCCAAAGTCTGTGAAGCCATGCGACTTTTGTTACTACTTTGAATTCTTCTTTTTTTCTCTTTCTTTTTCTTTTTCTTTTTCTTGATTTCAGTGGTTTGACTTGAACTCTAGGCTATCTTAAAAGGACATTTGATTTATTGAGCATAGCCCTTTTAGAAAATTTACATGCTTGACTTTGCGACTCTCTATTACTTTCTATAATATATATATATAAGATGTAAATTTGCTAAAAGGGCTGTCACTATTATTTTTTATTTTTCTTTTTTTATCCATTATTTTGAAACAAACACAAGTAAGCTTTTAAAGTTCTAAAATTACCTTTGGAAGTTTAAATATATATAGAGTATCGAGTTTAAAATTTTTTAAAAACTGTAAGGATATTATACTTTTAATATGGGACAGTTAAAAAAATAAAACAGTTGGACTATTACAATTTACTAGAGGGAGCATGGCCCCCTGAAATTTTTGTTTTTTTTTTAAATATTTTTATATGTAAATATTTTTAAAATTACAAAGTGTCCCATAAATAAATAAAAATTAATATTTTACTATCCATGTACTCCCTCCATCCCATAATAGTTATCCATCTTTTTTTTTTTGGATTATATATATATATATATATATATATATATATATATACCCAAATGAAAACTTTACACCCCCAGTTCTCCCTTGCTAGGTTGCTGCCTAACCCCCACAAAGTATCTAAATTAATCTATATATATATATATATATATATATATATATATAAAAGTTGGATGTATATGTCATCCCATGAATCTATTTTAATGATATTGCTTGGTTGGTGAAGGCCCTCTGGGCCCACGAGCACCACTGCAACAGAATATTTTTGTGTTGTTTCCTACACCGTTATAAATTGGTTAATGTTTGATAGTGTGGTTACAAATATTTAATGTTAAATTAAATTAGAATAATGCTAAATAATTAAGCCACTGATTTATATATTTAATTACTTAGTTTGTGTCTGTATATAAAATCAACACTAGAAAACAAACCACAAGAGACGTCTGCGTGTCACGGGTGAGACCTACAATGATTCGACTAACTACCAACACTGAAGAAAAGTGACTAATTAGTAATGTTCATATACTACTAATTAATAACTAACACACAATATATATATATATAGTTTAGTGTTTTACTGATTACTTAAACATATGTATAGCTTAATCAGTTTTGTTTGTCAGTGATTCGGTGTACATTTGTGGATAGCATAATGTAGAGAATGAGACAAACTCGTGACTTCCTGTTTTTTTGACGTCTATCTCCTGCTATGTTACTTAATATATATATACACACACACTTTAGACTCTGTTTAATTAGATAGAAATAAGCTAGAAAAGAAAAAAAATAGAAAGTGAGAAAAAAGTGAACTGAATAAAAAGAAAAGAAATTTTTTAGCATGTATTTGATTGACATAAAAATTTATTTAAAAAAATTGTAAAAAAATATTAGTTTGGATAGTATGAAAGTGAAAAGAAAGTATTATACATACCAAAACTACCATTGTGAAGTAAAGTGATGGATTATTCAAATATATAATTGTTTATATTTATATTTATTATTTATATTTAGAATAAGATTTCATAATATTTTCTTAGGTAAAACTAATTATTAGTTTAAGATAAACAAATTTAAAAAAAATAAAAAATTAGAGATGAAGAGGAAATACTATTGTTTGGGAGAAAAATCAAATATTTCATCATAAATAATATATATATATATATATATATATATATATATATATATATACACGGGATTATGAGTGACTAGAATTGCAACATAAAAAATAATTAAAAATAAAAATAAAAAATTCTATTCCGAAGTATGATCTATTTTGAGCAATTTTACTCAAATTATAATTATATAATTTGCCTTGTGAACTTACCTCAGAATAAAAGTTGTTTTGGAGATAATTTTCTACGATTAAGTTATTGGGTAAAATAGGAATTGCAAATAAATAAGCGCTTAAAATAAAATTTAAAATTTTTTTGAGATAAAATATTCAAAGCGAAAAACTAACTTTTTTATTAAGTTTTTCTTTTTATCTATTCAAATTCTAAAAAAATTTTAAAAATAAAAAATTTAAAAATATTATTTTTCATTTCTTTTCTAAATTATTCTACCTAACTAAACAAAGCCTAATAGTAAATTTGTGTTATCTAGTGGTGTTATTTTTCTATGAGAAATGATACGTCTTCCGACTTCAATTACCGACATGTTAGAACTCTTAAAACAAAATCCCGTAAACATTTCTTTCTTTTCGACTCATTCCCAACCACATTGTATGCGGAGAATGAGTCGGCAATTGAGGTCAGAAGACTTGTCACTTCTCCTCTTTCTATTTATATTTCTATATCTAGTTTTCGAAATGGAAAAATATATATTATTAATCTGGTCCAATATACTAATTTTAAGACAGATGACCAAATTGATAAATAAAAAAAAAATCATTTATTAGTAAAACATAAAAAGTAAAAATCATTTTTTTGGATCCGTCCTTGATTTTGGAATAGTTTAAAAAAAAATAAAAAAAAAAATAAAAAAAAAACCCATAAATTTGGCAAATATTTCCAAGACTGTGTGTCACATGAATTTCGTCATGAATGCAAGATGTTTGACATTTGGGCGATAATAAATCAGAGTGCCTCGCATGGCTGCCACGTGTACAAGAGATACCCCAATACGAGGCAATGCCAAATACAGCCTACCCATCCCTTCTCCAATCAACTCTTTTATTGCTGCTCATCACGTCTGTCCTTTATTCCTTTCATTTTCAGTGTCACCCTCATTTTTTTAATCTTACTTCAAATATATATATATATATATATATATATAGAGTACTATATTTAGGTCACTTCAAAAATCTTTGGTTAATGCTAAAATTTCAAGTCAGATTAGAGTTAATTTTAAAATTTTAAAATTAGGAGACAAATATTTGACTTAATTTGTCATACAATTTTTGGTAGTCCGAGCGCGTTCCTGCAACCGCTCCTCTTTGGTGCTCACAATCAATCCATCATTTACTCCACTGTGTAAGGTAGTCATGGATTCTCAGCACATAAAAGTCCCTGTGGGGTCATCCAACTTCCATTCCTACCACAATTAGCTTTACAAACCCTGCTTCTTCATCAATTCATCCATTTATTTCCCCACCCCGTTAATTACGCCCCATTTCCTCTCCCTTTCTCTCCACTTTACTTACCACTACTAGTTTTAGTCGCATATCACTCCTCTCACTCCCTATGTCCAAACAACCAACCAACACCACCAACAAAACATGTCTCCTCCTCCTCCCCTTTTCTTCTTCCTTCTCTCCCTCCCCTTCCTCCTCTCCTCCCCTTCTCTCTCCTCTCCCTTCGGTAAGCTCACTTCCACCACTTTCTCTCTCTATATCTATATAACCAATTCTATACATATATCTATATATAGAGAGACTTATGCATTTTCATTATAACTAACTTTTTTAACTCTCACTGACTCTTAATTTCACTCCCAACAGACACTGCCTACCACATAGACTGCGGTGGCCAGACCAACTCCACCGACAAATTCGCCACCACCTGGCTCTCCGACCGCTTCTACACCGCCGGTTCGACCGGGCTCGTCTCCGAACCCCTCCGCTTCCACAACCTCCAGGAGAAGACACTCCGCTTCTTCCCCATCTCCTCCGGCAAGAAGAACTGCTACATAGTCTCCGTCCCCAACGGCCGCTACTATGTACGCACATTCACCGTCTACGACAACTACGACGGAAAGTCCAACTCCCCCAGCTTCGACGTCTCCGTCGAAGGAACCCTAGTCTTCAGCTGGCGCTCGCCGTGGCAGCAGGATATCGGCCGCAACGGCGCCTACTCCGATCTGTTCGCGTTCGTCTCCGACGGCGAGGCTGAGGTCTGCTTCTACAGCATTGCCACTGATTCTCCCGTTATCGGATCGTTGGAGCTGATTCAGATCGATCCGGCGTCGTACGATTCTATCACGATCGGGAACAGCTCCATTTTGGTGAATTACGGGCGGTTGACCAGTGGTTCGAACCAGTGGGGGCCGGGTTTCAGCAATGACACCGACGTGTTCGGCCGATCGTGGCAGTCCGACGCCGAATTTCGGTCGCAGAATTCGATTGGAGTCAAGGCCGTGTCGGCGATCAAGAACGTTGTCAATACCAATCAAAGCCCTAATTATTTCCCGATGAAATTGTATCAGACGGCGTTGACGGTGACCGGGAACAGCGCTTTGCAGTATGAAATGCCTGTGGATGCCAAATTGGACTACTTGGTGTGGTTTCATTTTGCGGAGATCGATTTGAGTGTGACCAAACCAGGACAGAGAGTGTTTGAAGTGGTGATAAATGATAAGAATGTGAGCCGTGTTGATATATATGAGAAGGTTGGGGCTTTTGCTGCGTATAATTGGTATTATATAGTGAAGAATTTGAGTAGCAATATTTTGAGCATAAAGCTTGTTCCTGTTGTTGGTGCACCTGTAATTTGTGGTCTCGAAAATTATGCCATTGTTCCTGCTGATCTTTCGACTGTTTCGGATCAAGGTACACACACACACACACACACATATATATATATAAACAAAGTGATGAAATTAGAATTCATATCCATTTGATTTTCAGCGATTGATTTCTAGGCTCATAATGGAATAGGGAATAGAATATTGTAGTCATTTGCATATGATTTATTTGTTTATGTATAGGATTCTGTTTCGATGTTGAGAAAATATAGGAAAAGGAAAATAAATATAAAAAAAAAATTGAACTGTTAGAAATTTCATCAGTTAAGGCCCAAGAGGCCCGGTTTAATTGCTTCCTTTTGGACTTGATAATGATTCCTCTTTCCTTTGTGTTTTCAGTTACCAAGTGGACAGTTTTAGACCTGTAGGCTTATAAAGATATAACAAATAGAATAAGAATCTTAGGAAATATTGTGGCATTCTTTTAAAATGCGACCTGTGGTAATTGAATCTGTTTTGCAGTGGTTGCTATGAGAGCTTTGAAAGATTCACTTCGTGTTCCAGATAGGATGGGTTGGAACGGCGACCCTTGTGCTCCTACTACTTGGGATGCGTGGGAGGGTGTCACTTGCCATCCCATTAAGAACAACTCGGCCCTTGTGGTCTCCCAAATGTAAGCACTTTTTTTTTTCTTCCTTTTATTATGTTTGTGTATGGTCTATTAGTTAAACATCTTAGAGCTTCAATATATTCTTAACTATGCATATAAGCAACTTGTATGGTAAATAAAGCGACATTAGGACCTGAATGGTCATATTGCTAAGCTCTTCTCTTTGGAGAACCCTTGTTAACTAAAACTGCAAAACTCACAGAAATGGTATGCAATTTTGAACATTTTACGATGTGCATTGTTTCGTAACAGTCATAGGGTCAGATAATAATCATGAGCTTTATTATTATTGGAGAAGCTTTTAATACAAAGATAGGGGATTCTAACCGGGAGACCTTGGTAGTTAGATCAGGACCCTGAAATGGACCAAAAAAAAAAAAAAAGGAAAAAAAAAAGAAATAAAAAGATATATATATATATGTGTGTGTGTGTGTGTGTATTTAAAAGTGAAATGACATACAACTTTCACACACTACTTTGACATACTATACATTATTCCATAAAGAATGGAAGGTTACATTCGTGAACTTGGAGAGATGGACAGATGAGTTAAAATGTGCCCCCTATTCTCTCTATACATTTCATTCCAAAGATTATCAAGATTTACCATTCCAGCAGCTAACCCATTATCTTTATCATATCCATGGTTTACTTTTACTGCATTTAATTTTAATTAGTAGACCAAGTGCCTGCTGTCATTTCTTTGGGACTTATTCCATGGGGTGTCTGTCTCAATGTCTCTCTCATACAACCTTGGAGGCTCCAAATAAAGTTTTTCTGATATTAGTTCTTAGAGACAAAATTTAACCGTTTCTCACTGCGCTAGCTTTTGTTTTGGGGACTAGAGTTTCTAATGTTGCTGCTGCTCTGCATAAGGTGTCTCCCTTCACAATCCCTCATTATTTTACCAGTTTTCTTTCCCAGCTTTGACAATTCCAGGTTTCATCTAGATTCTAGGGTGTTAGAAGGTGGCACCTCTTGTTTAAAATGCTTTGGAACTCCTTGATTGATTTTCATTTGACCTGTAGACACCAAATTCAATGTTAGTTGCAAATTTTCTATCTACTATAACTATGGTGGCCTTCCAAAGTAAACCAAAAATGGTTGATTTTCATTGGTGATGTCATATATGCCAAATGCCATAAAAAAATTTTCTATACAGAAGTTCTCAACACTGGGACAGGTTGACTCACTAAGAGATGTTAATGAAGAATTTGGGAAAATTCTTAGCATCATTTGTTGGAGTGAAAATGTTGATATATATAGATATCATATCATTTAACAATTAAAGGAATATTATTTTTTACTGCAACGATCTATTTGTCAATTTCCTATATCAGCCTGCAACCAATAGTTGTCAGTATTGATTCCATTGGTTAAGCACCTTTGAAATTTCTCATCTGGTTTCTTATCAACATTATTTACTCTCTCTCTCTCTCTGTTTTCATTTGCTTTCTGTAAGCTTTAATGTGAGGCCACTGCCTTTATTTATTTTTTATATTTATTTCACAGAGATCTTGGAAGTCAAGGATTGAAAGGTTATATTAGTGACGAAATTGCTCTTTTGTCAAACTTGGTAAGCTTGTAAGTACCATCTATCAACTTCTTATGCTTTTAAAGACATTTACATTAAAACATGGTTTCCATGTGTTTAGAGATGAATTGTTTTTGTGTTATTGAAAATAGTTTGTCCAGATATTTAGAGAGAAATATCAAGCAAAATGAGTATTTTTGTGAGGTGTCTCTACTACTTTTGGTGACTGATTGTACATCTAATTAATGTTTTACGGGGCATTTAATAATTGATGTGCTGAGGTCCCCCTCCCACCCACTCATGCGGTATAATAAGCCTAGTACACCTTGAAGTTTGATTATATTTATTGATGTTTGTGGTTTCATGCAGGTGATTAAGACAGAGTAGTTACAGGGATCCTAGATTGATTGTGTTTGGTGCAAGCTAGGACTAATTTGTGTGTGAGAGTGGCAGTCCAGAAATCACCCGAGACTTTGAGGCCAAGATTTCATCCATGGTCAATTTAAGTATGGAGGTCTGGTAAAAGCCTAGAGGCAGGGAGTTGGGTGGTTGGAATGCTCTACAGATTTGGGTGACCTCAAGGTTAGAGAGAGGGAAAGAGCTTTTAGAGGTTAGGGATGCCATAGGCAAAGACTTTAGAGACCCAACTTTGGATATTAATGTTTGAACACCAAAGCCCTCTTTTGGTCCTTGGTTTTCTCAATGTTTGGTATAGGCATACTTGTAGCCATAGATGAGGGTAATTAACACTATGTCTTTCATTTTGGCTTGACAAGACAATACCATGTGGGAAGGAGTATGTGACGGGGACATGAAAGTGTCGATCATTTTTGCATACCAAAAAAAGGAATGTCAATAATTTTTTGATTCATTTTACAGTTACTGGAGATCTTTATCCTATTTTAATGACACTTTTAGGTGCTTTGGTTATTGCGTGCTGGCAAGAGGGTTGCTCTGCTAGTAAGGTTAGTCAATCTTGGAAGATTGCTCCTTTATGTCTTATGAGGTGTGTTTATAAGGAGAGGAACATAGGGCCTATTTGGTTCAGTATTTGAGAATACTTTCAGTTTTTTAAAAACTGAAATGTAGAAAACAGTACAAAAAGTTGTTTGGTTGACAATTCTGAAAACATAATAGGTTTGTTTTCAGTGAATGGTTTTTCTTAAAACAGTTTTCAGATAGATAAGGTCACTAATGAAAGTGTGAGAAGAAAATCAGGTGTAGCATCCATTGGTGAGTGTGAAAATTGAAGAGAGAAATAGAAAATGAAGAACACATGGATATACGTGGTTCAACCACTAGGGCTTACATCCACGGTACACAAAGGCCAACGATATATCTTTATTACAAACTCTTTATTTTTGTATACAATGATCAACTCTATTTATAGGTGAAATGAGAAAGACTTCTAGCTAGAGAATAGAAAATACTTGCTCTTCAAGTATTCTTGCTTTACAAGTATTTTATAATAAAGGAATTACACAGAAAGTCAAATACAAATATGGTTACAAGTGTCATAGCAATATTATGTTAAGGAGTAATTTAAGTAAAGGTTCCTATAAAATATTCTCCAAACTCCCCCCCACCCCCCAAGTTGGTAGATGGAGATTTTAACTTTTAAGTGTCCAACTTGAAACTAAATATGAAATTGTTGAGAGTCTAAGACCGAGTAAATCTCAGATGAGTTGATCCGGAGATCCAAGACTAGTGAAGTATAGAGTGTGGTATGATAAACCTGTTCTGATGCTATGTCAAAATTGAAGAGAGAAATAGAATATGAAGAACACATGGATATATATGGTTCAACCACTAGGGCTTACATCCACGGTACACAAACCTCAAAGGACTACATATCTTTATTATATTCTCTCTCAATATTGTTTACAATCAACACCTCTAAAATGATAAATATGGAAAATACATTGATGGAGGATTCCTAAAATCAATCCCATAAATCACTCAAATCAATATTCTATCATATAGACTAAAATACTTGTAAAGTAAGAATACTTGTAAAACAAGTATTTTCTAATAAAGGAATTACATAGAAAGTCAAATACAAATATCGCTACAAGTCTCATAGCAATATTCTATCGAGGAGTAATTTAAGTGAGGGTTCCTATAATAGTACTCTCCAATAGTGGGAAAATTAGTGAGTAGAGTTAGCTGGTTTGGACACATACATCGGAGACCTAGAGACACGCTGGTCAAACAAGGAAGACGAGTTATAATAGAAGGTAAGAGATGGAGAAGGTGATCAAAAATAACATGGGATGAGGTTATTGACAATGACTTTAAAAAGTTAAATATAGTTGGTGAAATCACAGATAATAGAAAAGGTTGGAGAGAGAATTCATGTGCCCACCCTCATTCATATGGAATTAAGGCAAGGATGACGATGAGGATGGATGATTATTTTGTTTTCAGAATACTAAACCAAACATACGCATATGCACCTTTGAGATGCGAAATTCTTGGTTCGTAGTTGAAGAAAATCTTGTCATATATCTAAAAATCTTGAATTTTCTAGTATAGTTTCCTGGTTCTTACACTTCTTCGTAGATTCTATAGCAGATAAGAACCCTTGTAGTGGGAGCTTATGTGTTAACTCTTGTATACTTCATGTTTATTGGCTTTGCCCTTATGGTGCCTATTCTGCATACACTATTACGTAGAAAAGGATTCGGAGAGAGAGAGAGGGGAAGAGAGAGAGAGAGAGAGTCAAGTTTGATGGCAACCAAGTATAATTGTACATGCACATTTTACTGTATATGGTTATTATAACTCTTCTTTGTCCATAAGGTAATCCCGTAGTGTTTATAATTTTGTTGAACAAGTTAGTCAACCAATCTTAGTTATTTCTTTTCGAGATATCATTGTGTTGCCATTCTAGGTGCCATTATTACTTGGTGGACTGGTAAAGTGCTGAAGTTGTCAAAACGTGAAAAAGCAAGTTCGAATTCCATGAGGAGTCACTTTTTGCGAATAATGCCAAATGTTAGGTTTTTATGCAATTCACCCCCTTCTACCACACTGGGTAATGACCCTTTTGATTATGCCCTCATTCTCTTTCCATGATTGTCAAAGTGCCTTAATATGGGTACTTAACAAATTGGTTTTCCTAGTTTCCAAGAACTCAAGAAGCTATTTTAGCAGTATAGGAGGTTGCATAGCATATATCCCATGCATAGTGTCTGTTATGTTACTTTTCATATAATGAGTTGACGTTTAGAATAAGGTTTTAGCATATGTATTATAGTAGAAATATATAGAAAGAAGAGAAAGAGAGAATTGTGTAAAGGCTTGAATGATATGAATTACTCATTTACAGCTCTAGTATTTATAAATAAAATGAGCGCATGCTCATATTACAAGAAAGGAAACTAAATAAAATCAAAATCAAATCACAACTTATTCTAAAGCATATTCTATAGCATAGTCAAATCTCTGCTATTATGGTAAGTCATACCATAAATCGTGGTATCATATATGCTAACATATGCATAGTCAAATCTCTGCTATTATGATAAGTCATACCATAAATCGTGGTATTATATATGTTAACACTCCCCCTCAAGTTGGTGCGTGGATATCTGAAACGCCCAACTTGGACAATGCATTCTCAAACACAATCTTGCTGATGCCTTTTCTAAGAATGTTTGCAAGCTGCTGAGAGCTTGGGACAAATGGAGTGCAAATTTGACAAGAGATGATGATCTCTCGAATGAAGTGATGGTCCACCTCTATATGCTTAGTCTTGTCATACTGAACGGGATTTGCTGCTATGCTAATGGCAGACTTGTTGTCGCAGTAGAGTAATAATGGAAGCGACATTGGAAGGCACAAGTCTGTCATCAAGGTTTTCAGCCAAAGCAACTCACCTACCCCAAGAGCCATAGCCCTATACTCTGCCTCTGCACTAAATCGAGAGACAACATCCTGCTTCTTACTGCGCCAAGTAACCAAGTTACCACCAATAGTGGTACAATAACCTGAAGTAGACCTTCTATCTAAAATTGATCCTGCATAATCAGCATCTGTCCAAGCCTCAACACGTAAGTGACCATGATTGGCAAACAAAATACCACGGCCTGGACACCCTTTTAAGTAGCGAAGGATCCGAATAGCTGCATTAAGGTGAGGGGCACGAGGAGAGTGCATGAATTGACTCACGACACTCACGGCATAAGCAATGTCAGGTCGAGTCATGGATAAATAAACGAGCTTCCCTACAAGTCGTTGATACTGAATCCCAAATCTGCTTAGCAGTCTTCATAAACATATAGCCAACAGCTATGTTTGGTTGCATCGAATTGACTAGCCAAGACATAATCATAGCGTTATCTGCAAACCACTGTGGATATGCCTTCTCTAACTCAGCTGGCTCTTTCTCAGAACCAGTAATATAGCCAATCTTGCCTTTGCCACCAATGAACATCTTGGCAGACTGTGCCCAAATCAAATAGTTGGAACCATCCAACTTCACTGTGGTGATTTGAAGTCTTGGATTTTTTGATGAGTTGGTGGGAAAAATGGCACCACCACCCACAGAACTTGAGCCAAGAGAATTAACAGTCGAGGATCCTGAATCTGCCATAATCTGTCACACGACAATAAAAAAACTCCAAAAACACCACAAATTCTGTTAATAAATCAAAGGGTCTTTTTAGACCATTAAGAATAACAATGTCTCCTTAGACCATTTCCGAAAAATCCAAATACATACCTTTTTTAAGGAGCGTCGCCCGCTTACATATAGCCAGACAGCCTCCTTAATATTCGGAACCTTTTTGTAGACTAAATTTTTTTTTACCCAAGCCCTTCTGGGTGTTGGAAACCAACTATTCCAATTTACCCAACCCTAGAAGAGTGAAAAAGAAATTGTAAAACTTAAAAAAAAATACCTGTTTTCGATCACAAAACAGTAACACACAAAAACATGTGTAGGCAACGTCACATGATGTCACAAACAGCCTAAGGTAGCTGTCGCACAAGTAGTAAGGCTACTGAAAGGTGTGGAATGGTGTTGGCTCTAATACCAAGTAGAAATATATAAAAAGAAGAGAAATGAGAGAATTGTGTAAAGGCTTGAATGATATGAATTACTCATTCATAGCTCTAGTATTTATAGATAAAATGAGCACATGCTCATATTACAAGAAAGGAAACTAAATAAAATCAAAATCAAATCACAACTTATTCTAAAGCATATTCTATGGCATATTCTATAGCATAGTCAAATATCTGCTATTATGGTAAGTCATACCATAAATCGTGGTATCATATATGCTAACATATGCATAGTCAAATCTTTGCTATTATGGTAAGTCATACCATAAATCGTGGTATTATATATGTTAACAATTATGCATTCTAAGCACAAAGTTGTAAATAAAATAATCTTTGAATTGAGAGAAAAAAAATGCTGAGATAAACCAATCCTTGAACTGTTAACAACAAAGAATCATAAAAGCTTACGATGATGGAAAACAGTGGACTTATTTTTTTATTCATTCATCCACACGGTTATTCTTGTGTGGTTAGACATCCTTATGAGGGCCATGCATGTAGATCAGTAGATGTATTATATTATCAGGAAGTTGTAATGTAGGACCATCTCGTTTTTTTTTTTTTCTTTTCATAATTGACCATCTTGTTTTAGTAGGATGTTTACAATCATTTTTCTAAAAAGCTTGAGCTGATGGAGAACAAAAGCAACATGTTCTTTATTTCATTGATGCGAACAATATAGATTATCATGAGCTGGGCCAACAGATTTTTGTGCTACACTATTCAATTCTATGAGCATTCAATGGTAGATGTAGCTTTTGCTAGGTGTGAGGCTTAAGAAATTTCTTAAGAAATGGTTTTTTGACCTAAAATATGATCATGATAGAAATTGCTAAAATTGTTCCTATGATATCTGCAAACAATTATGATACAGAGATCCTGCAAAGGGTAAGGTATAATATATCTTCTTCAGACTCAACATTTTTTTTCTACTCACACCCACTGTGCCAAGGGGGACTTGAACCCTCACCCTTCCACTTTGGAAGATGAGAAGATACCACTAGGAAGCACATGTGGAACGGGCATGAAAAAAATTATTGTGGAGGGAAACAGCCGAAATGGAGATTGGAATATAAATCAACCAAAATCTCTTTTTGGTTTGCATACTCACCAAGCATACGTCACATATTGCCGAATTTATAAATAGCACATAACGAATGATTCTTAAATTTCTATTTATGTGGAGTTACCAACAGGTCAGTGGCCTAGCGGTATCAACCTCTTACTTCCCAAAGGGAGGTCAGGGGTTCAAGTCTCAGAAGAGACAAGTGTGTGTGAGTACCAACTAAAAAAAAAAAAAAAAAAATTATGTGGAGTTCTGTATTGTTTTATAATTTGATGTCATCTATGCAAAGTTGTCTTTGTTCATTATTATCGTCTTTAGTGATATACTGAATTTGTTGTTTTGTTTTTCTGATATATGGTTAGAATTTTCCCGTGATCCATTTTTATTTAATCTACTAAAACTTTATTTACATGCATGCTACTGCTTCTTTGAATGTCAATCTTTTGCTTTTTAAAATAGGTTAACCAATCAGAAACATTTTTTTTCTTTCTTAATTGCAGGAACTTGAGTTCTAATTCTTTGGAAGGTACCCTACCCTCAGGCCTGGGTCAAAATTCTCTTGTGAAGCTGTATGATTACAAACTTTTACTATGTTATGGCTGATACAAACTTCTACTATGCTATGGCTGATACAAACTTCTACTATGCTATGGCTGATGTATTCCTTACTTTATGTGGCATTTCAATTCATTTTCCCCTTTGAACTCACCCATCTTGCTTCCTCTCCATAACATCAATAAATCAAGCATATAGTTTGGAATTTCTGCCGATTAGTTGATGCATGTGCATTTATTGATTAATAAAGTCTACTCTCACATTTAAAATCTCTTCTCTTGTCTTTCCTTCAATCCTTGTAAGTCAATTCTCCTTGTTATGATTTAGCTTGCAAATTTAATATTTATTGGCTTATTGCTTGGTCTTTTTGTTTCCTTTGTACCCACCAGCTAGTTGTTTTCTTCTTCTCCTCTTCCTCTTTCAATGTTTGTTGGTCTTATGATCAGACATTTGGTTGCGATTGCTGTACTTCTCAAACTAATTATTTTCACATTGCTTGATGTAGGGATCTTTCAAACAATCGGTTTACTGGGTCCATACCAGACAGTCTTACTGCTTCAAATTTACTGTTTGTGTAAGTTATATGCCTTTTCCTCTTTCAACATATTATTTCCCTCTTTTGGCTCCTTAAACAGAGAAAGAACTTTTACTTTACCATACCAGACAGTCTTGCTTCTTCAAATTTTCAGCTTGTGTAAGTTATATGCCTTTTCCTCTTTCAACATTTTTTTTCCTTCTCTTTTGGCTCCTTAGACAGAGAAAGAACTTTTTGCTTTACTAATGCCAGTGTGCCTCAATACACATCCCATGCAAGATTCACTTTTGGCCTAATATCAGATTGGCTAACTTGACCTGTAGCCATTAGCTCTTATCTAGTAATTAATTTTGAACATTTACCCTAGATATTATTACTCGTCACCTCTAGTTGATTCTCTAGGACATTTTACTTCATACTTTATTTTTTCTGCAAAACTTCGAATTGTCTGATTGCCCAAACAATTATGTGGACTAGAAGAAAATGGGAAAGGGAAGATGGCTTGTTTATTTGATCTTGAAATTTAGTGATATCATACTAATATATGCTGTTCATTAATTATTTAGGCATTAAACATTTTTTTGGTTTCCTTTTGATCCTTTTAGTATATATGTCTTCCTTTACTTGTCAGGTTTCTGAATGGTAACTTATTGGAAGGACAAGTACCAGAGAAACTTTATTCAGTTGGTGTCCATGGAGGAGCTATTGAGTATGTTTTACTGTAATTGCTGGTTTCAGTTTTTTCATCTTTGGTTTGCTTTTCTGAGTTTTGAGAAATCTATGGAACCTCAAGTCTACTGTATTTAATATGCTCTATCATTGTGTAATGTTTTCTTTTTTCTCTGTTACAAAGATTATTATTAAGGATAAAAAAAATTACATATAAAGACCACCAAGAGAATTCACTCTAGAACTACAAACAGGTTCACCTGAGACCTGCTACAAATACGTTAATCCATCAAAACTTTATGAGCCACAACTAGTTGTATTATATAACAATCAAACAAAAACAGCCTGGCTACTATACTCTCTTAGAAGGAATAAAATCTAATTTTTAGTGGCATCCTGCCAATGCACTGAAATACCCAAATTCTGGTAAACACTTTACGCAAATGATGAATCTTTGACTCCCATGTATTCCACCAGTAGCTTAGATATGAAGAAAAATGTGAATCCTTTGTTGCCTTCAAAGGTCTAGCCTCCTAATCATCAGATCAAATCTCCACTGCAAGTTTTAAACCTTTGAAGAGATAATTAAGCTGAAGAAACTAGAAAGTGGGAAAAATGAAGACTGGTAATGCTATAACTCAGTTTTGGCTGAGCGAGGCTGTAATGACCATTAAGTAGTGTACAATGTAAAACAAAAACAGACGTTAACACCCATTTCACTCTGTTACCGTTCTATAATCGGTACTATGTACATGAGATATTTTTATTCCGATTTATCATTGTAATGGGAAAGACACCTTTAAAATCCATTTATGGTGGCCGAAAATTATATAAAACCTGATGTTTAGTTCTAAGCTTACTATACAAAGGAAATTTGTGCTGCAACAGTACAATATTAATCAAGAATGTGAAGTACAGCCTATAATCACGACTGAAAATAAAATTTCACACAATAACCAAGGTATGTGTTTTGCTGCACTATGTATGGTTAGGGAGGAATTATACCATTTGTTACATTAAATAAGTGTTGGAATATTCCTCAAGTAAAATGTAAATCAAGTTGTTGGGAATAAGTCATTTATTTGTTAATTTGCCATAGATGTTGTGACTGAAGATTGAAAATTGAGCGGATATCTATGTCAACACGACTCTTAAAGCATTCACTGGGGAAATTTTTTTTTTTTTTTAACTAAAAAAAAAATCCCCATCTTAAAAGTTTTGTTGATAACACAACTTAAGGAATTGTATGTGATCTAGAGGCCATTGGATTTAGGTTTGTCATTAGATTAGTTTGGCCCGTACTCAACCTTTGTGTTTAGGTAAACTTGTTTGAAAACTAATTAGGAGGTTCAATATGCAGAATAATTATGGGCTAGGCCTTAAATCAAAGTGCCTTTTCTGGAAACCAGACGAAAAACTTTGTCAAGAAACGACTGTCATGTAATCAATTAACTTTGAATTCGGAGGCATAACCCCTATATATTTGAGGCAAGTTTGGGACGTTATAGTAGCTATTCGGTTGATTTAATAGTTGATTGGTTGATTCCATAAAATTCACACTTGTAGAGGTTACTATTACAAATTAACTGCAGTTACTGAACAATACCTTGAATCCCAACTATTTGGGGCTTGGGAAACCGGCCATAAGGATGCTTGTTCAACTTGGGCTCTATCCATTTAAATTAGAACTGAATAACCTCAAATTGTTTTATTGCCATGAAGAAAGAGCTGAAAATACATACAAACAACAACTGTGATCAATATTAAAAGTTATGGAATATGTATAAAATATATAATTACCCTACTTATGCCAGAAAGTATGTTGTTTCTTATTTAATTCTTTTGGAGCAATTCCCGATTGTTTGAATCATCTGATGGGCTTCAACACTTCTTTCAGTCTCTCTGGCAATAAGGGCTTGTGTGGTGTACCTCCTTTGCCAGACTGTCCTCTATTTTGGCGGAATGGCGGCTTATCCAATGCTGGGAAAATTGCAATAGGCCTATCATGCCTGGTTATCTTTTGCATGCTGTTATTAGTTATATACTTGTGCTGCAGGAGGGGCCGTAATGATTATGACTTTGGTCTACCTTCCGAGTTGATGTGTAAGTGTAAAATTTTACAATTACCTACTTGTCAAATGTTTTCTGATTTTGTTTCCATTTGTGCATCTGTTGGAAATATATTTCTTGTGCCATCATGTGATCCGCCATACCATCTGCTGCAAGTATTTCTTCCTTGGGATAGATAACGGATTTGGCTGTGGCAGTTCAAAATCTGCAGCATATTCCTAGTGGGTTATCATAAGTTTCAAAATTTCCTCCACTCATCTTTTATTCAGATGGGTTTCAAACCCATAGCTCATCAATATTTGAGAAAATCTCTCAAACTGTGTTACAGTACGTGGCAAAATCAAAAGGGATGTATGGCCCTAGAGTGTATAAACAGAACTAATATATAGCTGGGGATGTATGACCCTACTACATTAAGATATTTGATAAAGTTTAAATTTGAGGTGGTAATATAGCATATATAATTGATGATCTTTTCAAGACCCACCAACGAGGCAAAGTTCAAGTAAGGCGATTCCACATAGATCTATTGATTATTTAAATTTGAGGTGGTAATATAGCATATATAAACCATCGGAATAAATCATTTAGAGTTGGTGCATTGGTCTTTTCATGTTGTGAACTGTAGTCTATAGTAGGGTAGATTCAGCTTCCAACTAATGTAAACTTTAGTTTCTCTCTACACTATTTGCCTTTTTCTCTCACATCTTTCGATATTATTTCCATGTTTAAAATCCAATATCACAGTTTGCAGTGTTAGCCATCATAAAATACAATGTCGGCCTTCATTTTGGCAATTGTTCTCAGAATTTTAACAAATGTACTCTGCAAGTCTGACTGAAATTGCTGTTAACATCATGTTCCAATTTTATTTACTATTTTATAATTGTCCGATATTCTGAAGTTATATGCTCGAATTCTATATTGACACAACGATACTTAAAATGTTAAAACTTTTGATCTTTTTCTCCAGCACTAGCCGCAAAGAGAAACAGATATCATAGGCAGAAATCCTTGATGGCTCTAGAAATGGAGAGCCAGCACGCGAAAGGGTTTATACCGACTTACAATTCCAATTAACGGAGTTTTCGTCGAAAGGAAAAATACAGATTTTGAGCTTATTAGCAAGAGGGGGCATATAGAGAGAGGGGGACCTTGTATGATTCGAGGAGTTGGTACACCACTACTTCAGAAAGATGTGACTTGAGAGGTGTTTGGCTTTTCCCCAAAAGAATTGTATGAAATGAGTTGTTGGCATTTGCACATTATATGTAGAATGTATGTCTCTTACTTTATTCATGAACCACTGAACAAATTCATTTCCCCACAATGTATCATACCCAAATTTTGGCATTCGATGAATGTTACATGTCAATTCAGATCTCAATGCATATAAGATAACACCCCACATTTGTACCTCGTGGCCCCGGGACATTATGCTTGCATGAAACATGATCGATTTAGGTCAGATCAGATCGATCCTTATCTCTATGTCAATCACTGCACATTTGGTGTTTTCGATCTGTGAAAAATTGTGATATAGCTGTTTAATATGTTTCTCATGGCTTATGCTATGAACACTATATATTGAAAACACTTTTCATTCCATTATGTTCTTCCCCAGCTGTTAAAACACAGTGTGCGCACAATGAAATCTGAAGACACATTCATTACTAGTGGTTATGGAACTTACTATGAGATTAATCTGATGAAAAAGGGAGTGCATAAGCCTGAGATCCTTGTAAAGTCCAATTTATAGATCATGTTTTTCCGGATATGGCATATTTAAGAAGGCAAAGTCAATGTATGAGGTCCCGTCATTGCCATTGTGGTATCGGAGGGTTAGAAGTACTCGGTCTTACTTCACGGGCATATATATATATAAATATAAATAAAGTAAAGGTAGGTTAGGTAAACTTATTCTATGCTAGGTTGGACTTCTAATCCAGTTTCTCAGTTTTGCAACATATGTTGTCATGAATCTATGACCCATTCAAAACTATTCACACACATGCACATACTTGATGAATCAAATTTCTGAAACATAATTTGTTTTTTTAACCAGAAGAGAAGTGGAGATAGGAGAAATTTCTATGGTAAAAAAAAATTATAATAAAATTAAAAAATCCGTTAATTAATTATTATTAATTAATAGTAAATCAATAAGAGTTTGACGAACATGCAAGGTCAAAAGGGTTGCATGTGACATTAACGATAAAAGAATCATCAAGAAGAAATTAAGAGTATGGATAATATTATATTTATTGTGTTTCTATGTATTACAGTAATAAATTATATTTATTGCATGGCAAATACTACTTCCAAGTCATACTAAATAATGGTATTTCCGTGGTTTCCCATTTGATGAGCTCAAAATGTCAAATGCTTCAAAAGATAATTATTGAAGATATATATATATATATATAGCATCAAATTAGGCTTAGAGGACCCATGTTAGTTAACATGTCATTCATTTCTTGACTTGTTCCAAGTACCCCTAAATATTACCCATCAAATCACTTGTTTGTCTTATCCCATGCACTTCCTAACTTTGTCAACTTAATTGAAGATATGTATATACACACACGTATCTTTAAGTTATATCTCTCTCTATATATATATGTCTTACTATTTGTATATATGGTGTATTGTGCTAACGTTCACAGATTGGCAATAAATCAAGTTGACTGTAAATTAATCTCACGGTGACTAATTTTGAGAATATTCAATGAAAAAGAATGACTTTGTGAGGTCTTAATTTCATATATATATATATATATGCGGTGACTAATTTTGAGAATATTCAATGAAAAACAATGACTTTGTGAGGTCTTAGTTTCGCATATATATCTGTCCTTTGGAGTGACATTTCCACTTCCCCAACTCTGAATATTATCATTTGACAATAGAGTTAAAAAAATTTAAATTCAATAATCAGCAAAGAAAAAAATGAAAAACAGTAGACTTATTCATGTCAAGTGGACTCCATCTGCATGTTGTAATATGTTGGTTTAGCACGTTAATTAATAGTAATTAATTAGCTACTAGTTTAGTGTTTAATTAAATCCACGTGGTGGTTATTATAATTACTGTATCTACTGTACAGGTTGTGTTTGGATCAAGTTTTTTAATAATCTAGTTTAAAATAAATTCGCATAAAATCGAACCAAATAGATAAAATTGTTTTAAAATGAAGTGGTGTTAAGGTCAAATTTTGTATTATTTATTTTCACAAAGTCATTTACTTTGGGATAGACTTTATTTTCTGAAAATGCGAAAAATCTTAATAGTACTAGAACTCAAAAAAGGGTCATTTTCGAGAATATTTTTTCCACAGAAAGGTTTAAAATGATGTACCAGAGGCTTTTTCAATATCTCTTTTTATTTCTGACTCATCAATTTTTTTCTGACCCACCAAATACGAAAAACTTAATGTCCCTTGTAATGTTGTTTTTGTTCTTCTAGAAAGGAAAAAAAAAAAAAAAAAAACCTGAAAACTTTTAATATTTCTAGATGCATTTTTCTGACCCGTCAATTTTTTATCAGTCCAAATTTTGTAAAAATAGAATTTGATAATTGAGGAGACATTATTACCAAATTAATAATACTCATAACCAAATTTACACAATCCTTCTCAACGAGTGTCGCTTCCGCTTCACGTGACTTAGTTCGTAACTCCTTTTTATTTGAAAGTATCACATTTTCCCTTCCATTTTACTTACTCAATCTTTAAGAATGTCTTTTCCATCCCCTATGTCTTTCCTTTATCCACTTTTCCTTTCCTCCACGCCAAACAAACTATTATATATATATATATATAATATTTATACATCATCATTAATGTAAAAGAACTCAAAGTGTCCAATAATTATTTAATTGGGATGTGTTTTATGAGTATGCATCCCTTGGCTCGTTTATTTTTCTTTCTTTTTATGATTTTAATTTTTTTTTTGGTTATATTGTACATAAGTGATGCTATAAAGGCTCTGAAGTGGAAGATCTTAATTTTCTAAACATATATCACATGACATTAAATAAATAGGATGCTAATCTTATTCATATCGCAGTCAGATGCTAAATTGAGATCAATTTGAAACGATTTGACTTTCATCTCATATATATATATATATATATATGAGCAGATTTGGCGGGGAAGAGAAAACTTTATCAAGGCTGGTAGAGGATACCTCACCCTAATCCCCACCAGCTCACCAATGTTATATATATACACACAATATTTATAGTCAATACCCTTATACTTCAAATATTATAATATACCGTATATATAAAAGTAAAAGTAATGATACAGAATTCAAAACTTGGAATCTGTTTTTACACGTTCTTTTATATTTTAGTATTTCTAAATATATTACTCCTCCAATATATCATGAAATTAAATATGCATTATGTGTATAAATTGTAAACAGAATTTTCAAACTTATTTGTTAGGTTTAAAGGTTTTCATTGAAATTCATGTTACATTGAATGGATAAAAATTTCTTACGCTAGACAAACAAATAGCATTACTCTAAAAACAAATGAAAGAAAAATCTGAATAGGGTCGGATCTGAAATGGAGTACTTGATTTGAAATCGGAGACCAAGGTTTATGATGTCAATAAATTTAGTGATCTTTCATAAATAAATAAAATTGAAAAGAGAAAAAAAAAAAAAGGGACATAAAACTTAGTTAATGTATCTACCATTGGATCGTCAGCTCAACTGGTATAATTATGAGTTGGGGTATAGTGGACATTTGTCAGTGTGTACGAGTATTTTGGGGTGGAAAAAAAAATATAGAAAAAAAAATATAGTTAATGCAAGTTGGAGATGGAGGTTGACCTGTTAGTTGTATAATAGCCACACACATAAGCAATTTGACTAAAAACCCTAAAAATTCCAAGTTGGATGCAGAGGACAAACATTTGACCGTACTTGACGTTTCAAAATAGAGTGAAATGGTCTTAAACGCGTACTAGTGAATGAATAAATAATGGCATCAGTTATCAGCATATGAGTGCAAGCCAACAGAGAATTAGAATTGGCTTTGTATTGACTTCATTGACCTCGATATACGTATCAAGTCTCCTCCCTCTCTCTCTCTCTCTCTCTCACACACACACACACACATATATTTATTTTTTGTTCCAGCAACCTACTTCATATTACTCATACTAATTAATACCCTCTAAAATAAGCAATTAAAATGAACATGGATTCGTAACGATTTTGACCTGCCTATATATACTATGCATTTGAAGAACACATAATCCATTTTTTTTTTTCCTTCACCTAATCCATGTTTAAATTGGTAGAAAATGACATGGCCATGTTTAAATTGGTAGAAAATAACATGGAAAAAGATAATTTGATTTTTTACTTATCCTTGGTGCTTGTACTATCTGTTACTGTCCTTCCTTTTATATAACTATATACGTGTGTATGTATAGGTTGAGAATGACATATATATATATGTAATATATATATATGTTGAGAATGACAATAATTCTTTGTAACTATATGTTGTAATAATTGTATCCACTTGGTACCCAACGAACTAAAACACCCCAAGTGGGCATAGAAGAGGCCTCAATCCGAAATTGACTTTGTCACATTAATTAAGTTTGTGCGTGCCATGTCGGCAACATAGAAACCCTATGTACTATATTAGTCTATTGCTACCATAATCTCTCTCTCTCTCTCACACACACATATGTGTCAATAAAATAAAAATATCAATGGACCCATTTGAGTTAGACAAAACCTAGGATACCTTTGAGATGATCTTTATAGTGGGAAAATCTTTTTTCACCCCCCAATTTATTCCTTAAATTTTATTTTGCTTTCCATCTATCCTTGTTTTTTTATTTTTATTTTTTTTTTTTATACATTTTTCGTCATGAATGTTTTGTTTGGAAAAATATTATCAAAATTAATATTTACAAGGGACAATTCAATTGAATTCATCTTTGTTCACAAATACTCCCTCTGTCCTAAAAAATGTCATTTTTTTTTTTTTTGTTTGTTCCAAAATATTTGTCACTTCCTTTTTTTAAACAATATATTTTACATCTTTTTATATATGTCCTTGGAGTTTAAAATTTTAAATTTGAATATTCAAAACTTAGAAGGGTAAATTAGTTACTTTTCAGGGAAATAAGACATGTCCCACATGTCCCCTTAAAAATTAGTACTCTCTAAAAACGACATCTAAATTAGGACAAGGGAGTAAAGCGTGATTAATCAATTATATTATTTTTGTACCATTAGGTCTTATTTTTTATTCTTCAACCAATTTCATGTGTTAAAAACGAAGATCGATCAATCAATCTTATCATGGAATTGGGGAAAAAAATAAAAGATCAATCCTTGTTTTTGTTCTTATTGACAGCACAATTTTTGTTTTTGTTTTTTTAAAAGAAATTTGTGCCGCGAATATTTTATTAAAATCAAAATTAGTACTGCTATCAATTCTTGGTTTTGTTCTTATTGACAACACATTTTTCTTATTTTCTTTAAAAGAAATTTGTGCAGCGAATATTTTTTTAAAATCAAAATTAGTACTAGTATCAATCCTTGTTTTTGTTCTTATTGACAACACATTTTTCT